CTTGTTCCCCTCCTTCATTCCTTAAGGCAGAGGTTGCTCCCTTTGCTTCTCCTTCATGTGCCTCCTTCAAGCTCTGGGGACCCTGTGGTCCTGGGAGGCTGTGCAAGCTGTGTTCCTGCCACTGTGGTGTCAGGCAGGTCTGGGTTCGAGTTCCAGCTCAGGCGTGCGCGCGCCCTGTGATCGTGAGCACATGCCGCAAACTCTCTGGGCCTCAGCCTCTTCATCTGTAGAACAATAATAGTAGCAGCTACTTCACTGGGTTGTTGGGTGGACTGAGGGAAATAAGGTACATAAAGTTCCCTGCATAGTGTTGGGCTCAAAATAGATGCTCGATAAATGCATTATTTGTCTTCACCAGGTCTCAGGCAGAGTTAGAACAGGCCACCCTGTAGAAGAATGAGATCCCCACAGCTGGCAAACCGCAGGGTCGAGTGAGGGCTGGAGCCTCCCCCGAGGGGCACCGGCAGTACCGGAGGCACACGGGGAGCCGGGAGGCAGGACTGGTCCCGTTAGTCCTGCACAGGGTTTCTCATCCTCGGCATGATTGACATTTGGGTCGGATAATTCCTTGTTGTACGAAGCTGCCTGTGCATTGTAGGGTGTTCAGCAGCATCTCTAGCCTCTACTCACTAGAGACCAGAAGTGGCCTCCCAGTTGGAACAGTCAAAAATGTCTCCAGGGGCCGGCCCAGTGGCTGAGTGGTTAAGTTCACGCGCTCTGCTTCAGTGGCCCAGGGTTTCACCGGTTTGGATCCTGGGCACGGACATGGCACTGCTCATCAAGCCATGCTGAGGCGGCATCCCATATGCCACAACTAGAAGGACCCACAACTAAAAACACACAACTATGTACAGGGGGGCTTTGGGGAGAAAAAGGAAAAATAAAAAAGTCTTTAAAAAAATGTCTCCAGATATTGCCAACCATCCCTTGGGGGCGCAGAATGGCCCCCGGTTGAGAAACCCTGTTCCAGCAGGGACAGAGTGACAGTCACTGTTAGTCACCCCAGCTCCGAGGAGAGCCTGGGATGCACAGCATCTGTCCTGGCAGAATGGGTGGGTTGGCACGTGGCAGAGCCAAGTGACAGGCGGTCAGCTGCAGGCGGCCTGGCAGCAGGCACCAGGAGGCGTGGGTGGGGGCTAGGACCCCAGCTGCTGGAAGCCCAGCAGTCACGCAGGGTCAGATCACGGCTCACATAGTGTTGAACCCATCATACCCTGTGGCTCTTTACTTCCCTGTCCAGGACCAGGACTGGATCCAGGGTCTGGACAAGGCCGAGCCCTCCAGGGCTGGGGGAGGGGGGTTCTCTGCCCACATTAGAAGGGTGTGGGCCTGAGGGCCAGGCTGCACTCCACCCCTGATGACCTTCATGACCTCTAGCTGGAGTACACAGGCTTCCAGATAAGAGAGCCCTGGATCAAATCCAGGCTCTGCTATATGGAAATCAAACCTAAAAAACCCAGGATGCTGCCATTTAAGATGGGGAGACCGCCTTAGGCAGGTTGCTTAACCTCTGAGCTCAGGTTCCTCATCTGTGATACCAGGGTGACAATGCCCACCTCACGTGACTGTTGCAGGATTAAATGCGCTGTTACAGTGCCTGCACTTGGCATGCCCCCTGCCGCATATCAGCCCTCTGTGAATGCTGTTGGTTGAATGAATGGGTCCTCCTGTAGCAAACCTTTCTCCCTTAAATCCTTTTGTCCGTTTTATTTCTCTTCTCTGGAATTTCTCCAGCTTTCTAACATAGGAAGCTGTTGACTTCTCAACGGGAGGAAATGAGTTATTCAGCTCTGTGTCACTAGAAGTGAGCATGAGGCCTGGTAGATATGAGGTGCTTAAAAAATTCAGTTTTCCTTCCTCAGAGGGCAATGACTGTGCCTTATTCACCTCTGTATAGCCATAGCCCAGCACAGCGGCTGGCACACTGCAGGCAATCGTTAAGTGTTTGTTGAATGAATGAATGAATGAACATCCAAAAAACGGTGAAGAAAGGCATGGCCCAGAACATGGCCCCAGGACTCCTCCTAGGAGCCCATTCCTACGCATCCTGTTAGGAGGAACATGGCCGGCCACTCAGAGGAGGTCAACCAAACCCCGGGAAGGATAGCAGTCTCTTCACAGAGGCAGTGGGTGACAGACGTCAGGCAGAAGGAAGAAGGTCTCAGGGAGAACCTCTGCACCCTGGGCCGCTGTGAGGCCCTTCCCTGGGAGCTGTGCTGTAGTGTGCTCTGCTCACCGCAAGGACTGGGATGGTCTCCATAATTCTCCCTGTTGCGGCGGCCGGGGGTGGAGTCGAGGTGTTTTCCTCTACCCTCAGGGTTGACGGTGTGGGCTGCACCTCTGCAGGGGTCAAGTATGTAGGCCACGAGAGACAGAGGGGTTTGTTAGGAAGACCCATGGCTGGGGAGTCAGCAGGAGTCCTGGGTTCTGGCCCATCCCTGTCACCCACCACACAGTGGCCCTGTGTGTTCACTACCCTCCCTGGGCCTCTGTTTCCCCATCTGTACAGTGGGGACTTGGTTATGCCTTGGGGTGACTCTGTCCTTTGGTGCCTGGCCAGGGCAACAAATCAGTCAACAGCCATGTTCCTGAGCATAACCAAGTGGCCCACACAGGAGACCAACCAATGACATCAAGGCACTGCTGGATTTCACAAAACCATCAGCTCTCTAGCCGCCTGAGAGCCACTGGGCATTGAACACAGTGTCTGGTGAAGCGCCTGGTCTGAAATACAGAGGCCTGCTGAGAGCTGGCAGGGCAGGGCAACAGTCACTGTTCCAAGGGGCCTGAAGGTTTTCCAGGGGACTCCTGAGGATCATCGTTGACAGAGGGAGAATGTGATAGAAAAAGTCTTTTTTTCCTGACTCCCCCATTTCTCTTCCCCTTTCTAAGCACAGAATCAGCTAACAGATAGGGGCGCTTTCCAGTTGCTGAAGTCTGTGTGAGTGACAGGTGGGGGATGCTAGCCTAGAAAAGCTTGACAGAGCCTGATTCCCTTGCATAAGAAAGAGGAGCTCCTAAAAGAGAGGTGGGAGGGTTGTGTCTCAAGAGAGGAGCCAGAGGCTGAAACACAGGCGTCCGAGCCTCCGAGAGAGGCGTGGAGAGGCAGCGGGTCTGCGGGCGATTTCAGGGTGGGGTGAGTTGCTTTGTGAGTGAGAGGCATGAGCCGAGGCTCTGTAGTGAAGAGCCTTGGGGGAGTAGCTCAGGCTTCCTGTGCCTCAGTTTCTTCATCTGCAAAGTGCAGATGGTAGAACCTTGTCCATAATGGAAAACACTTAGAATTGTGCCTGGCGTGCAGTGAAGACGTCAGAGGTGTGTGCAGTGGCGATGATGGTGGTGATGACATAAAACCCTTGAAATCTCCAGTAGAATTTATATCACTTAGGGGTGGACCCGGCAGATGGCTTTCTGGGGACCCTGCTGAGTGGCTTGTCCCTTGTCAGCTGCCCACCTGCGTCTGGGGTTCCTCATGCAACCGAGACAGCCAACAGCAGGCAGGGCCGTCTCCAGAGCTCCACTATGGCACAGGAGCCCCCCCAAGCCTGCAGCACTGGGAGCCAGGGCCCTGTCAGGCGGCGGGTGGGGGCATCTGCCCTCTATGTGGCTGAACCATCCAAAAGTTGCCATGGGCTGAATTTTGTCACCAGCCTGCTTCTCACAAGGACACTTCCCCCAGCCGGAGGCACAGACTTGCCAGCTGGACTGGCCTCGGGCAAGCTGCACTGGGGGGATATTTTCAGATTCTGGGTGACATTCCCCTGCCGCTCAGCCTAATGGGTCCCAGATGCTCCCCTCTTCCCTCAGCCTCCCTCCCTCTCGCTGTTCTGAAACCCTGTGTACAGGCCTGCGGCCCGCCTGGGGCCTCCTCGCCCAGTCACTACACCTCTTGACTTATTTTTTTTTAATTTAAAACATTTTGTTCCCCCTTAATGGGATGGCTTGACAGAGGCCAGCATGAAAGAGGCCGTTTCCTCCTGGATTGGGACCAGGACAGCGAAGCAGGCAGAGGAAGGCGGGGAGAAGGAAGCTGGCTTTGGGAACGTGAGGGGCGAGGGGAAACAGGAGGAGTCTTTATTGGCCGAGCATGAAAGAAGCAACAGGAGGAGCAGCTGTGTTAACGCGGCCAGGTCGCGGGGGGCTGGGCGGACGCACCGGGCCCAGCTGGGAATCCCGCGGCCGGGCTCCGTGACTCACGCTCTGCAGACCTCCACACACTGCACTGTCACACTCTACCTCCCTCCCACCCGTCCTCCAGCCCCTTTTGCAGAACATTTGAATTTGGCTGTTGTCAGTAATGAGATGGGGCTGTTGCTGAGGCCTCTGGGAGGGAGAGGGGAGAGTGGACGCACCAGGAGAAAAGGAGAGACAGGCGTGGAGGGAGGGGAGCCAGCACGCAGTGGTGGCCGGTGGCCGTGAGGAGAGGTAGGGGCAGCAGACGGGGAGGGCAGAAATGCCTGACTCACAGCTTAACAGAAACCAGGACAGGCCTGGAGACCTTGGGCGGGGACCCCGTGAGAAAGCTCACTCTGTCCCCTCTGCTTCCTGCCTGTTTCCCACTGCATCTCATCTCGTGAAAGCGTGAGCGGGCCGCGAGCCTGCTCACCATCAACATCCCTTTAGCTTCTGTGACCCTTTTGAGCTTTCGCCACATGCCTTGGCGCCCCCTGCCCCCCGTTCTGCAAAGCAACCATGTACCCCAGCTGGGTGGGTCCCCAAGAGCCCGTCTCGTGGGGCGGGAAGCTGAGGTGTGGAGGGCATTGTCGGGGAGGCTGGGGCCGCAGCTGGGCTGCGCCTGGGGCCCAGACCTCTGGATTTCTCATCCAATAATGAAAATATGGAGATGAAATAAAGGGGGAAGAGATTATATTGGTGAAAGTGGGCCAAGAAAATACAAACTTCGAAGACAGATGGAAACCCCTCAGCTGAAGAATTCTTGGACGCTGCTTCTCAGGCAGCCCCCTCGTCCTCTCTGACCCTGGCATTTTCTCTCTCTCTTTCAGGACCTCCTGTAAGTAACTCCAGTGCAGCCCGGTCTCCCACGTCTGAAAGGCCTTGCTCCCTGCTGGTAACGGGCCCTGGGTGGGGGGCTGACGACTGGCCCCACTGTCTTCCCGGGGAGCCCCGCATCCTCCGCAGAAGGCTGCGGGCTCCCCCCAGAATGTTGGCGTGAGGACGGAGGCTGCGATTTTGCTTTCCACCCACCTCTGCACCCCTCCAGGGCCAGACAACAGCTATTCCCAGGGCAAAGCAGGTCCGATTTCAATCTGAAAGGCTGGCTCGCCGCTTTGTTAGCCCAGCTCCTTTGTCCCCCAAAGAAGCAACTGGAGTCAAAGAAGCACCAGGTATTAGAAAGAAGGAAGAGATCATCTGTACTCAGTTCTGGTCCTTGAGAGGTCTCCTGCCATTCAGTAAACAGGTCAGTGAGCGGGTCCAGGTGTGGACTGCTCCTGAGAACATGATGTCCACACTGCTGTGTAGGCAGCTCCGTTCCGGCCAAGTCACTTGGGGTAGGTGATTGTTGTTGTTATTGGTGGTGGTTTAATGTAAGAGAGAAGTGTCAGCGGGTTAAACTGGGAGACAACACAAATTACAGGCAGCACGAGAGGCTCCTTTCCCCGGCGTCGCCTACAGTCCAGGGTGGGGCAGGAGCCAAGTCGTTTCCAGAGAACCTGAGAAGAGCCCGAGGACTGTCTCCCTGAGGTAATGGGTCCAGAGAGCGGGAGCGCCTCTTCTTTGAGGACAGCATTTGATATCCCAACAAAAGACCCGGAGGTCGCCGCGGGAGCTGGGACTGGAGTTGAAAGGCCCAGCCCTCTGCATCAGATCTTTCTCAGGTTCCCAAAAGCAGCCTGTCATCATCCCGTCCTCAGAGAAGTCGTTTCCTTAGTCGTTTTCCTCCTGATCTGTACCTGCGAGAGCAGCAGCCCAATCTGTAACGAGACCAGTCTTTACTATTCCATCCGTGTCCTGAAAGGTCTGTTGACCCCATGCCGTTGGTCCTGCCCAGCTGCCCAACTGCGAACTTACAGAGAGAGGAAGATCATGTCACTGCCTGAAAGGAGGGCGGATGATTTATCATGACATGTATGGGATGTCAGCTCTCAATTCCTGTCATCCATCTTCCAAAATAAACTCCATCACTGGGAACTTCGACAGACCACCTGCTGCAAATGGTCTGCTTTTCCCCTTCTTTTCTGACAAAGCCAAAAAGAGTCCTCACCTCCCTCACTGAGAACCACCCCCCACCGCTCCCATACACCTCGTCCCCACAGCCGGGCTTCTGGGATAACCCAGCACCACCAGCTCTAGGTCCCTGCCTGAGTTGAGGGTCTGCCCTCACCAAGGACGTCGTGTTCTGAGAGCTTCTGCTGGCCTCACCCAGGACCGTGCTGGGAGCTCTGCAGTGCAGGAGCAAATGAGAGGCGAAGGACATGAGCCTCTCCTCACCATGCTGCCCACCTGGCCACCGCCCAGCCATGGAGTGAAGGCAGAAATCACAAGGCAGGAGGAGGAGCAAACGGGCAGCTGGCCAGGGTGGGACTCATCTTCTAGCCCTGTTCTCTCTGCTTCCTGCAAAGTAAGAATGCTCTTGGCCAGAGGTGAGGGACGGACAGATGGCAGCTGGTGGCAATGCCTGTCTGTTTTCCTCTGGGTGTAGCTCAGGGGCTCCTTCTGAGGCAATTCTGTCCTCCAGTTGGAAGACCTAGGGTCCTATGGGCACAAGGACAGCCAGTGCCTAGAGAACACAACCAGGGAGGTGGATGTATGTGGCAGCAAGCATCATTTAAATGGTAGAAAATTTGTGGGCACCACTGCCCCACACCTCAAGCCCCTGGCAGACAGTGCTAATCAATTAGGAGGGTTCTTAACGTAATGCTTTACTCAGTTGCTGCCAATCCACTGGAGTCAGCACTCAAGCTGTTGGCCGTCCCTGCACTAGATTTAAGGGAGAGTTTCTTAATCATGGGAACTGTGAGACTGAAACAGGTGACCAAGGGAACTCGGGATGTCTCTTTCTCCAGCGGAATACAGGGGAACACATGATGTCCAGCTGCCAGGTTGAATGTGACCCTTGCTGAAATCCTAGCTAACACTGATTATGTGTCAGGCACCATTGTGTTTCTGTGGAGGCGATGTCATAGCATGACTACAAGCCAGACCACCTGGGTCCAAATCCTGGTTCTGCCCCTTCTGGCTGTGTGCTCTTCTAGCTCCATGCCTCAGTTTCCTCATCTGTAAAATGGGGATAGTAATAGTATCTGCCTCATCCAGGTGTTGTGGGGAATATATATATATAGTTATATTTGTGTATATGTATACACACAAATTTGTGTATATATGTCTATAATTTTTTCTGTTTAGAATATATTAACTCATTTAAATCCTAAAAACAGAAGGCTTCCCCTAGATGATCCCCAAAGATTCTGACAAGCCTTTAATTTTAAGGAGGAAATTATTATTCTCTGAATTTTCACTAATTAATTTATTATTTCATTTATTTCTACCCCACCTTATTCCAAGAAACATTTTGGGATGATTTACAAACTAGGTAAGGAAACAGTGGAGGGGGTGGAAAGCAGAGATAGGAAAACAAGGGGAATTCAGACTGATACACAATGACATCCTGAGCAGAAGAGCCACGGCCTTGGCTTCGAGCTTCCTGGTGGTCAGAGCAAAGAGGAAAGCAGGGCTGTTGCGAGAGTCAGGCTGCAGGAAGATAGGAGTGCCCCTGGCCTTTGGGCGAAGCACAGCTTTTTCTGGGACTGAGACCCCAGAGAAGTTCCTCCTGTGCGGGTGATGTAGGTAAACGTCCCTTCTGTCCCTATGCGAGGTAGACCCACCATGTTGGGTTGGGATCCCTCGCAGGCCCGTCCCCTTCCCTGGGATGGAGGGAGGAGGCTGCCCTACTTCTTGGCTTGCTCCCTGGTGGCGTCAGGGCCGGGCAGTTTAGAAGTGACAGGAACAGGGTGTTGGCTCAGCGCTAAAGCTCTGGTTTAAGGGGGATCCTCAGTGCTGAGCTATCTTTGGGGGGCCTGGGAAAGAAGGAGGCCCAGCCCCAGGTTCATGGCATCACCCTCAGTTCATTCATTCACAAATAGGAATTAAGGAACTCCTTAGGGCTCAGCACTCCTCAAGGCACTGGGAGCACATCCATGAACAAAACGGAAAGATCCCTGCCTCGGGAGTTCATGTCCTGGTGATGTGGGGGCAAAGTCCAGCAGAGTGAAGGCACACCCGAGGGCCAGTGCTCAGCATTCCCCAAGGATCCCTGACTGAGCCCGAGCTTGGTTCTCTGGGGGAGTCCTGCACCACCGCCTCAGGGATGCTCAGGACCAGGGAGAGAGGGAGTGACTGATTCCTGGGCTGCCCGCATTTGCCGCAGCAGCCTTGCAGCAGCTGGCCTCTCTCCTGCGAACACCGAAACCCACCCTGGCTCTGCCCAGGGTTTATGGGAAGAGCAGGATGTCTGGAAGGAGTCAAACCACACCCAATAGCACAGTCTCTGGAGGGAGAGACCGAGACCGGCTCTGTGCCCCTCGGCCAGTCCTCCTCTCTTCTAAGAATCGTAATAGCTAGCATTTATCTAGCACTTGCTGTATGCCAGCCCCTGTGCTGAGTGCTTTCCATACATTATCTCATTTAATCCTAGGAGATAGATATGATTGTTCTCCCATTTGCAAGATGAGGAAACTGAGATACAGGGAGGCCAAGCAACTTGCTTAAAGTCACAGACTAGTAAGTGGCAGAGCCGGGATCCGAGCCCAGGCCAGCTGACTCCAGAGCCTGCGCTCTTAGCTAAATCCTCTTGTCTCCCTTTCCAAGACCCCCATCTCTCTTGGACCTCGTGCCCAGGCCAGGCCAGGGTTGGGGCTCGGCTCTAGAAGCTCTCTCCAGGTGTTTCCTCCGCCTCTGCAAGGTGCTCCATGGCGCCCTGTGAGGCAGCTCTTAGAGCGGTTTCCCAGCCTCCCTCTTGTATCAGATCCATCTGGAAGTTGGGGGCCAGTGCTAAAAAGACATGACTTTCTCAGAATTTGCTTGTTTCCTGAGCTCTCCTATGCATGTTGCTATGATGATAATTATTAGTACTAATGGTACATTTTGTTAAATATTTTCCTCTTTTCAGTGGGATTTCAGATCCGTTATATGGAGTCATTAGTTTATGCCCAGAATTGTACTAGCCAGGAATACCAGAGTTACGAATCAAGGGTTTGAGAAAGATATCACCATGGTTGGTGAAGACAAGCTCCTGGAGCCACGCAGGGCGCTAGGATGGGGTCCAGCCTCCTGCTCTCGCCCAGTGCTGACTCATCGTGGAGAGCATGATCTGAAGCTGGTTGGAGGGGTCAAAGGAAGGAAGTCCCACTGCCTCCCTCACCATCTCAACGGAAGGGAAGAGGCCCCCTGGGGATGCCCCCACCCTCTACCACCCCCTGCTCCATGGTCGTGTTCCAACAGCTCAGATGTGGCAGGTCCAGCAGAGGCGTCCCGTGGCAGACCTGCTTCATCAGAGCAGGCATCTCCTGTGTGGCAGGACAGGGAAGACCAAGCCCTGACCCCCTCGGGCCCTTTCCCAGGTCAGGGCCAGCACACATGAGTGGTGGACAGAATATTGCAGTGAGTGAGGCAGAAAGGCCCAGAGAGAGGGGATGTGCTGGTGAGGCCTGCAGCCCTAATGATCCTTCAGTCATGAGGGACAGGAACATGGGAGGAGACATTCTCATCTTTCTGTTCCCTGCAGCTACCCTGGGCCTGGCTTGGAGGAAACTCCCCCACCAACTGCTTTTCTGAATGAGTGAATGAATGAATGAATGAATGCTAGAACTGAAAGGAAGCCTAGTGATCAAGGCCCTCCCTTCATTTTCTTCATAACATAACAGAGGCTCATAGAGCGCATGTGGCTCTAAGGTCACACAGCTGGCTAGGAGTGCGGATCCCGCAGGTGTTATGATACCCTGACCTTCATAAATTTCACTCTTTCCCCCTTTCTTTCAGGGTCCCACTGGAAGGCCTGGCCTCCCGGTAAGTTTTCATTTCTTCCTTCCTTTGCGCCTCTCGTGAGCTCTTTCTCAATCCAAGGACTGGCCAGGTTGGGTGGCTGCTTTTCTCCAGGTGCACCTGGGTGAGAGGCCTCTCTCCAGCGTCTCTGACCTATAGCTGAGGGTGAAGCTTCTTGGTGCCCCTCCTGGGGCCCCAGGCAGGCCCTTCCAGTGCTGGACCTGACTTCCAGACTGGTGACCCTACAATGGGGGGCTGGAAGGGGAGCTAGCCCACTGGCTTACTGGGTATCCTTCTGCATACCAGCCTAGATTAAGACCACTATCCCCACTTCGGCCTATGCCTTCATAAGAGTAGACTCAAAACCTTTGTTTTCCTCCCGGTTACCATTTCTGAATTCTAGAGAGGCTATGACAGGTAACCACGGAGGCTTTGGGACAAAAATAGAAATAATACGAATAGCCATTTCTTACTGAGACCTTAATGCATGCCAGGCACTGTGCTCATCACTCTTCATACGTCTGATTTGTTCAACAACTCAGGGAAGTGGGTGTTATTATGCCCATTTTATAGATGAGGATACTGAGACTCAGAGAGGTAAAACGCCTTGCCCAGTTGTCCAAGCTTCAGTGTAGACCTGCTGGAGGCCTGTGTTATCACACACCGTTCCATGCTGCCGTTTCCTGTGGCCCACGCTCGACATTTGAGAACCATCTTTAAAGTCTTCAAAGACATTGCTCTGTGGGGTGTGGCCTGGGGCATGGATGTGTTGAGTACTGGATCCCATGGGCCCTTGGACAGGTAATGACTCAGGCAAGATGCTGTAGTCAGTCAGAGGAGGAGGTGGGGTGTGGAGGGTGAGCCGGGGCTGGCACCAGGCTGCCCTGTCTCCCTGAACTGAAGGCCACATCCATTCGATTCCAGACCCTTCTGTGCATCCCTCTTATCCCAATTACTCACCTTTTAGATGTGAATTATACTGTAACCTCTTGACTAATCCAACAGCTTCCAGAATTCAAGTCCAACAGCGACTTTCTTAAGGAAAGGCATGTGGGAGAATGTTTAGCCTTTGAAAATGGAAATTCTCCTAGTAAGTATGAGCCCCGAAGTGAAGGAGGATGGGTAAATAGGTCCCATGAAATCCAAGGAGGTGAAAAATCAGATGATGTGGGAACGTGGGCAGACTTTGTTTTTTTCTGACAACATCCACCTTTAAAAAGCATTTGGGGGCAATTCACAGAACAGGGGCTGCTACGCGTGGTTTCCAGTCCCTGGCCATTCCATGCCTGTCCCTACCCTGAACATTTTATGGCCAGGACTGCAAAGAACATTAGTTTTAAAAAAGAAACGAGAAGCAACCAAAACACCCATCCTGCAATATCATTCAAAAGCCCGAGAGTGAGTGGGCCATGGGGATGTCACAGCCCATGTCCAGCAGGCCTGGTGGCCTCAGCAGGAAGGGCAGACCACCGATCCACGGGTCCTGGTCCTGCTCATGCTTCCACATGAAGGGACCTGGGAGTGACCCACGGAAAGATTTGCTGATGCTGGTCCCTTGTTGTGTGAAGTACCAACAGACTTATAAACCTGACTTGCCCGTGGCCTTCCTGGTCTTAGTACCCATAGATGCTATGTACGCAGCACTCACCAGGTGCCAGGCGCTAGGGGTAAGCTTTCCAGAAACATCATCTCATGGCATCCTCCCAGCAGCCCCGGGAGAGAGATGCGGATGCTCAGGGAGGTTAAGGACACAGATCGATGCTTATAGCCAATGCTGCTGCCCTGCCACTCTTTCACAAAGCCTGAACTTTTTACTAAAGATGCCGTCAGTCTTGACAATGTACGGTAACAAGTGCCTAATTTCAGAGCCAATTGCTGTTCTCTGGTGCATCCACATACATCTTGAGATGCTAATTGTCCCTCAAGGCATTTTGCTTCAGTGGGGTCGGTAAATACAGAATCACCCCAGAAATGCCCACACCCTTCATGGGAACCCACGAACCCAGCTCTCTCCTGCCCAGCGGGGTAGGACAAACATCATCTGATGTTCCACCCCCATTGCTTCCCGTCCTCCCAGGCTCCTAGCAAACCCCAGGCCCCACCCCAGGTTTTATGATGTCTGCACACATATGATTGCAAAAAAATATTTTCTACCAAAAGGGGGAGGAACAAAACTTAATAAGCAGATTTCCGGAGTGAGAAGATGTAACCCCTGGCTATAAAACAAAGTGGTTCCTTCTGAGCGTCTGAAACTCGTGATGCAGCTGAATCCACATGGCTCACGGTCCTTCCTGTGGGTGCCAGGGGTGGCCGAGAGGAGGGAGGGTGGAGAAGGGCTCTGTCCACAGCCCTCTCAGACAGAGGGTCCAGGGAGAGGCCAGGGAGTGTGGGCACTGCTCCCCAATCTGGCAAGACAGACCTAGGGAAGTGATTCACCCATCTGTCACATGGGAGCTGCCACTCACCCTGCTCTGTGCCTTGAAGTCGAGCGTGGCAAGGATTCGGCACATCCTAGCCATAGTTGGGATGGATTGTGGCAACAGCAGTCTAAGGGAGAAAGGGCCTTGGACTCCTTATGAAACACATAGGGAAACTGAGGCCCAGGCTGGTGACCAGGCTCCTATGGTAGTGCTCTTTCCACAGCACCATGGCTGAGTGTGGATAGTGATAGGGGTGGCTGCTTGCCAAACCGTCTGTGGGTGCTGAGTGGGCAAGTTCACCCACACAACACCTGGGCATCATCCCAGCTGGCCGTGCAAACCAGGTCTCGAGCACACAGCTAGCACATGAGGTCCTCTGCCTGCTGGCCCGGCTCAGCCACGTCTAATTGTTTCTGCCTCCTTCATCAGGGAGACAAAGGTGCCATTGGGATGCCTGGACGTGTGGTGAGTTGGTGCATTTGTACCTGCTTGGGTGGTCATTGCTTGCTTCTCTATGCTGGCCTGTCCTCCAAGCCATGGCAAGGTGTTGCCTACTCCAGCCCCGAGGAGGGAGCCAGACCACTCCCTTCCCCCACCCAAGTCTGCTTCAGAAAGGGACAGGTGAGGAGAAGGGAGGAAGTTTATTGCAGTCCTTCAGATCTTGAAATATGGCTTTCCTCTCCAGAGAGCTGCCATGGCAAAGCAAAAATCCAAGAAGTTGCATGAATAAAGCCCTTTGCCGATCACCTACTGGGTGACAGGGTGAGGCCTGAGCTCCTCTCGCCATCGAGAGGACTCCCACCCGCTCCACCGGCCCACCCTCAGATTTACGGCTGCTCCTGCCGCTATCCCCAGCAAGAGCAGCGAAAGATGGCGAGAATTGCAACCATGAAATGCTCTAGGGGAACTGCGGTGGAGCCGGCTCAGCTCAGACGGGCTTGCTTCCAGGCTGTGCCTCCAAATCCTCACCAGGAGGCTGGGAGTTAAAGCATTTAATGTTTCCTGCTGAAAAATTAAGGTGGCAAAAGGAGAAGGAGAAGGCTTGACAGGGAGAGCGCGTCTCAGAAATGGGAAGGCCGGCAATAGGCCTTGAGGCCCAGCACCAGTGTTTCCTGGTGGCTTCCAGCCTCCGAGGGGCCTAGAGAGGGCAGCACAGGCACCTGGTGGCAGCCTGAGGCTGTGGTGGTCTCGTGCCGGCCTCACCCCCAGCTTCCTCTAGGACATGGCCCAAGCTACGCTCCCATCTGACCCCTGACTGCCTGCCCACCAGCCATCAGCCTCCGCCTCCACCCGGCTCCCCATGCCCCTGACTACCCCCACGCCATCCTTCCATGTCACTCACATGCTTTGCCTCCTAACCTCACCTCCTGGCTGGTTGGCCTTCAGCCTGGGTGTGGCATCCTTGTGTGAGTTTGCGTGCCTGGTGTGGTGCTTGGAGAAAAGGCATCCAGATCAGAGCTGACACTTGAGAGTGCTAACCATGTGCTGGGCACTGTGCTGAGACCTTGCCCACAGGAGCTCACGAGAACTGCACGAGGTAGTCACGGCTCCCACCCCCATTTTTCAGATGAGGAAACTGAGGCTCAGATGTTAAGTGTCTTTCCCAAGGTCACATGGCCTTGGGAGGTGGCTGATCAGGGACTTTAATCCAGGCAGCCTGACTCCAGACCTGTGCCCTTGACCCTGACATTGCTTCTCTCCATCTCCCTCATTGGCATCACAGCTCTAAGGAGGGGCTGGTCCTTAGGGTGAAGCCACAGTGCCTAGGCCTGGGACCTGGGACATTTCAGAGGTTCAGGACAAGTGTTCCATGTCACAGAGCTTTGAGCTCCCCAGGGCTCAGCCAAGGGCTTTCTATCAAGACATGGGGGCTGGAGCCCTGGGCCACCCCTTGGCGGGCTCTCCCGCCACTTCCCAGACCACAGCCCTGTGGGGTTCCTGCTCCACTTCACTTCTCCAGCTCCAAACCCCAAGTCTCCTAAGCTGTCACTGGGTCCTTCCCTGTGTAGAGCAGGCACACGACGTTCATCCAGCCTTTCTCAGGGGCTCGCTGTGGGTGGACCTGAGCCAGGCATGCTCTCCACCATCACCCTCCAAGGTCTCGTTTTGTTGATGAGCGTGTTGAGACTCAGTTTGCCCAGGATAGCAATGGAGTTGGGTTTCGTACCCCAGCTGACTCCCAGACCCCAAAGTCCTTGCTCCTAATGGGTGAGCTTCAGGAGTCTCCACGCTGAGTGCAGCGGCCAGCCTTCGGGTGGGCTGCCGCCTCCCACCCTCCTTCTTGGGCTCTGTGGACATGACCCCCTGGAAAGTGGCCATTGGATCCAGGTTCTGACCCACAGGGGTGGGGGCAGGAGGAAGAGCCACAGGAGGTCTTTCCATTTCCTTCTACCTCAGGCTATTTTCAAGCCACTTTGGGGCTTCCATGCTGCTTGTGCTATTTTAAATGTGTCAATGGACCCATTTGGCTACCCAGTAGGTGTCCTGGCATGAGCCGCCTGATAAGGATTAGAGCGGCCAGTGGGTGTGAAATGCCTGAGTTGTTCCCATAGTTCACCAGAGGTGGCGCCACTGGCTTCTGCAGATTAGGGTGGATTGAAGCTGTCCACCGCTGGTCACTGTGGTTACAGGGACTCGTCCTCGGTCCTCCCAGATGTGTGGGCATTACTATCTGTCCTCCCACGTTCCTCCATGCCCCCTCCTGCCGTCTTGCCTGGCCAGCCCTCACAACTCCTCATGTGTCTAGCTTGGCAAAGCTTTGTGCTTGGTGCTCATCAGGACCTTCAAACCAAGCAGACCCCACTCCACAATGCAGTCCTTGGGGAAGTCTCCCCCACGCCCACCCCCACCTCAAACGACTCCGCCAGCTGGGGCCATGGCTGCTCAGGTAGATGTTCTGACCTGGGTGGGTTCTCCTTTTCTCTCTGTCTCTGTCTGTCTGCCTGTCTCTCTCTCTTCACACACATACACACACACACTCACAGAGGAGCTTCTTTTTCTTTTTGTTTCTTTTTTAAAGTTAATTTTTGTTGAGTTTATGATAGCTTACAATCTTGTGAAATTTCAGTTGTACATTATTGTTTGTCAGTCGTGTGGTAGGTGCACCACTTCCCCCTTTGTGCCCACCCCTCACCCCTTTTCCCCTGTAGCCACTAATCTGTTTCAGACAGGGCTTCTTAAGGCCCCAGACCGTGCTTCTCTCTCAGTTATCTGGAAGGGCCAGCTGGGGCCGGACCACAGGGTGAGACAGCTGTCCACACACTGTGCCTGTTGGACACGGAGCCGCCACGTGCCAGCATCTGTGTTTGGTTCAGTTTCTTGTTTCACGGTGATTTCTTTTGTTTGGTCATTGTGCCATTAACACAGATTCTTGTGTGTGTGCTTCCCTCATCCTCTCTTTTTTCTCTCCCTCCCTCTCTCTTTCCTGCACCCTGTGTTGCATGTGGCTGCCCCAGGGCGTAAAGGGCCAACCAGGCGAGAAGGTGAGTGTGTGCTTTCCCCTCTGCCCTTCCGCCCCAGCCTGGCTTCCACCCCACAGACTCCTGGGGTTGCTTTCAGAGGCGCCCATCTCAGCCCTCCTCTCAGCGTGCAGGCCCCAGCTCAGCGTGCCAGCCAGGCCTGCTCTGCCCTCGCAGCCTCTCACGGCCCAGTTTCCTAACAGCTTCCACACCATCCGGCAGAAGTCTTGGATTCCTGGGCTGAGGTCCCAGCTTCCCTGGCTGAGTGGGCCTCCCCCGCCTGCTGAGGCTGCACGTGGCCTCATCACTCATTCCCAGCCTTAGGCGGTCACCCTTCCTGGAGGCAGGGAGAGTACCAATCGCTGTTTTGTGTAGCTGATTCTAGCCCCTCCCCCAGCCCACTGGTGCCCTCAGAAACTCTCTCTGTGCTGCCTCAGAGTCCCCCAGGGAAATGCCCAGAGAGACTCCCAGGGTTGTAGAGTGGAGCCCCTGGAACCCCAGACCTGGTGGGTTCTGAGAGATTACACAGAGCAACACATCTAACCAGCTCACTTTACGGATGAGGAAACTGAGGCCCGGAGAGGGGGTGGGGCTTGCCCAAGTCCCCACAGCAATAGTGATGAGCAGGGGCTAGAAGCCAGACCGCCTGGTGCCCAGCTCTCTACTTCCTTGCCTGTGCATCGCTGCAGTGTGTCTCTGCAGTAGAATCTCCCTGACTCCAAAATAATAACAATGACAACAATAATAATAGCAGCCACCGAGTATAGAGCACAAACTGCAGCAGGTGCAGTTTTAATTGTTTTGTCTCTGTTCTCCCAGTTAACACCGACACAGCCCTTCCAGGGGCCTCACTGTTCCCATTTACATGAGCAGGAAGTGAAGCACAGAGAGGCAGTCACAGAGCGGGAAGTCATAGAGCTGGACAGGAGCCCTGGCGTGTCTGACTCCAAGGTTGGGGCCGCAACCACCATGTCTGGTTTCCTCCAAATGGAACAAAGACTGTTGGTCCCACCCTCTCAGGGGTCTCAACTGCCCAGGAGAAAGGCAGGACACATCACTGTCCATGGGCAATAGCCAACACTTGCCAGCCCCACAGATCCCAGGCTTTCTTCTCAGCACTTGACAACCTTATCTCCTGAACCTTTCACATCTACCCTATGAACAGGTGCTACTATTCCTGCCTTACAAACAGGGAAACTGAGGCAGAGGGAAGTTAAGCAGCCCAAGGTCACAGCTGGAAGGGAGCAGAGCTGGGCTTCAAACCCAAGCCTCCTGGCTCTTAGCCATCACACGATGCTACCTTGTATAAAAATTACTGTATAACTGTGATGGCATCGACAGTTACGAATTTGAAATCGCTCCTCATCTGGGTGTGAGGCATGACATCTTACAAATGTGTGTATGTCCCTTGCCCTCTGAGGGCAGCAGAGCAGCTCTTAGCACCCTGGTGCACAGAGGAGGTGTGTGGGCTCAGAGAGGTTCCGTGACTTGCCTGGCAGAACAAGACCTGCAAGTGAGGGCCTGGGTGTCTCCTCTGCCAGGAGGAGTGGATTCCCGGTGAGAAGCAGCATCCTCCCCTCCTCCAAGCAGGGCCGAGTCTCAGTCCTGCCAGAGCATCGCCTCTCATCCTCATCTGTGTTCCATACACCCTTCATCCTCTTTCTGCCTCCCCTCCCCATCAGTCCACACACACCCGGATTATCTGGGCAGCTCAGCCGTCCTTGGACAGCACTTGAGCTCCCAGCACAGCAGCAACCACCATCCTCTCAGGGCTGAACATTCTGCCCCGGACTTAACCCCTCGGTAGCATTCTCAGACCAGGACTAGGAAGTTTGAGGTATCTCCAGCCTTTAGGCTCAGGGCTGCTGGGCCCACACAGTGAGTGTGTGCCTGATCCCCATTGTCTGTTTTCAGCAACTCCACCCACGGGGCAAGCCTGTTCACCATGCAGGGTGGGCAGCCGCATGGGTATTCGGGGCTAGGGGCAGGAGAAGACCTCAGGGGTTTAGAAACTTGGGTGGGGCTGAGGCAGGCTGGAGAGCATCCTAAGCAGGGCCTCGGGGGCAGGCCTCTGGGCCTGGGCAGCCCTGGCTGAGCTGAGTGTCCCCTCCCTCCCTGTGCCACCCTCTTGCCCATCACTGCACTGAGTCCTCTTCCCTCCCCTCCCTGGCCTGGGATCCTACCACGCTCTTTCCCTGGTCCCCACACCTCATGCTGTCGCTCACATCTCCTCTCTGCCTTCCTCCTGCTTCCCTGCCGCCCTTCTCATTCCCTCCTGAATGCTCCATTCATCCTCTTCGAGTTTCCTCTCCTCTGATGCCGTCATCTTCCTCCCCATCCTCTGGCCCCCCTTGTCCTAGGCCCCCCTTGTCCCCTGGTTAGGCCCCCACCCTCGTCTGCTCCTGCTTCCCACCTTCCAGCTCCTCCTTTTTCTCTTTCCCCGCTCCCCTGTCCCTGCCCCTTGCTCCCTCGCCCTCTCCTCTCTCTTTCTCTCTCCCACAGGGGGCCCCAGGAGATGCCGGCATGTCCATCATCGGTCCCCGTGGCCCCCCTGTAAGTGGTTTTTGCTCTTCTTCGGGGTGGGGGGCAGGATGAGTTAATGAAAAGGGCTTGGGGGTGGAGGGAGCACAAGTCCCGGCTGTGCCTCGGGGGTGGCGGCCGCTGCGTGTGATGTGGTCTGCTCGGTACTGCTGTTGGTGTTAAGGAAAGTGACCTGACTAAATATACTTCAACTGCAGCCTCTCGGGAGAGGGGCGCGGGGTCTGCCCTCTAGCCCCACACCACAGCAGCTGTGAGGCCGCCCTGCTGCTCACAGGCAGAGGGGAGAATGCTTGCCTCTCCCGAGGGGCTGCTCCAGCTTTCCAGAGGACAAGCCTTATTTCCGGAGCCCACGCAGCAGATAGCCGGAGTCCTGGTTCCCTGACCCAGGCACCCACTCCTGGTCTCGCAGAGACCCAACCCACCGCTCACCCTCGAAGGCTCATTTCTGTGTTCTGCTGGGTTCTGTGCCTTAGTACTTTCCCCTGGTGGCAGGGGCTTGGGAAAATCAGAGAGGCTTCCCCTCTGATATGCTCCCTTAGGGACCAAAAGGGGGACGTGGGCGATGATGCAGGAAGATATTGTGACTATGGGAAGGAGGACTGGCTGTTTTTCTCAAAGAGTGCCCGAACCATAGGACTTCAATAAAATCACCACAATGTCAGGGTGGAAGGGAGCTCAGTGATGGTCTAGCACAGCCCTCTTAGAAGGGGAAACTGAGGCCCAGAGAGGGGAAGGGGTTTGCTAGGCCACGCCCACACAGAGGCTGGGGCGGGATTAGCACCCAGGACCCCTGGCACCCAGGCTTCTACCACAGCAACAGGCTGCTGTCTCACACTCTGCTGTGTCCTTTTCCTGACCTGCTATGCACCGTGAGACAGTGAGGGGAGCAGAGGGCTAGCCTCTAGGAGTCTGAGGCTAGCCTAGTGGATGGATGAAGCCCAGACTGCCCATTTCCCTGCCTTTAATGGGGAAAGCCAGCAGGAAGCAGGAGTCTCTCCCACCCGCAGTCTAGGGAGAGGGTCGGAGAGCAAATTGCTAAGTCACGTCCAAGGGAGCGGTCCCGATGATCCATGCAGCTAGGGAGGGGCTGTGGCGAGAGCTGGGAGCTCAGAGGTTGAGACACTTCGGGCTGCTGGGAGACTGGGGGCGGTCAGAGAAGGAGCTGAAGGATGGTGCTGCGGAGCAGGGCTGGCAGGCAGGTCAGGGCCTGGGCTGCATAGACACTGCCTTCTCGGCAAGGTTTCCTCTGGCTCAGAGCCCAGCGGTAATGCTAAGGACTGACCGTGGGCACTTACTCTGTGGCAGGCAGCATCCTAAGGCCTTTATGCACGGTAACCCACTCCATCCTCACAAGAACCCCACAGGTAGGTACTGTTAGCACCTCCATTCTATGGATGAGAACAGTGAGGCACAGAGAGGTTGACTTGCCCGAGGTCATACACTAGAGTGTGGCCACACTGGGATTTGATCACTCAGCCCAGGCCGTGTGGCTCAGTCTGCACTTTGAAGCCCCAGTGCTGTAGCAGATGGCCAGCCTGGGGGGTTACCCTCCTCTGTGCTTCTGGGCTTGCCTGGCCACTGCCCTGATGGGCTGTAAGCCTCCTGGTGTATTGGGGGAGCCACAGCATGGATGCCCTGAGCCCGGTTGTTCCTGGAGAAGGTGCTGCCCAGCCAGGATGACTAGGAGATGGAAGGTCACGGGGAAAGACAGTGCCCAGGTTCTAAGGGCAAGGGGAGGCCGAGCCTGGGAGGACCTGTTAGCAGTAGCACTGAACACAAGTCCTACCCTTTGGCTACCGTCTCTGCCTGCCTCCCAGTCTGACCTCAGATGTTCCATTGTGTCGGTCATGCTGGTCCTCTAGCACCCTTTTAGCAGCGTCTTTCAGCAGCAGTTTGTCAACAGGCTACCTATAAGTTGTTGAGAGGCCTCACTTAGGGAGAACATGCCCCGGGTGGTGTCTGCCTCAGCCCCCGCGGCTTCCGCCCGGCGTGCATCAACCTAATCAGGAACACACCTCCTGCAATGGATTTGATTCCAGTGGTGAAAAGTACCTTCTGTCCAGGTAGCAAGTGATAGCTTCCATGTCCTGGTCACCTTTCGCATCCTGGGTCCTGTGCTGAAAGCCTGGGTCTGCGCCAGTCTCCTTCAGTCCTCCTGACGAAGCTGTGAGGCCGGCCTGCCAGCCCCTTTCACAGAGAAGGATGCTGAGTGTCATAACTCGCCTGTGGTCCCCCAGCTAGTCCATGCTGGAGCTGGGGTTGGGCCAGGTCGGCCTCATTCCACAGCCAGCATTCTTTCCCCAACATCCATGTTTTAAGCTCTACTGTTTACAAAGGATATTTACCTTAAGGAGAAAAAACTTCTCCCTCTGAGTGCTGTGTTGGTGCTAGGAGAAGTTTTATGGCACCAGGAGGCTTGACCAAGCCCAGTGTCCTCGGACTTTGGCCTGTGTAGGTGACCATCACACAGATGACAGGGGCTGCCCCTGCTGGTCCTCACTAGACACCAGGGCAACCACCTCAGCTCCTCCTGGGAAGCCACCCGAGCTGGTGAGAGCAGGGGACGGGGAAGACAAAGGGGCTGTTTGTCATTAAGGGGTGGAGGTCAAGTGGGCAAGCCCTCTGTGGCCGGGGATGATGGGGAACATGTGGCTTTCAGCTCGGCCAGGAAGGGCCCAGAATAAATGCTGCTAATAAAAACCAGCCTTGCCGCTCTCAGGGGCCACCTGCCCCCTCTCTTGAAGCTTCAGAAATGGTCTGATCAAAGGGAGAACCACCCAGGCACTGTGGGGAAGGTTGGTTCACATTCCGACGCGGGAAGATGCTAGAGCGGGTGCCCCATTAAACAGAGGGGAGGCTGGGACCTCCAGACCTGGCTGGCCCAGCAGGCGCTGGGAAGGTCATCTGCCAGGCTAGGAAATAACCCCATCTCAAGGGGAGTTCATTCCCTGCTTGAGGCCCCCAGCTTCCCTTCGGGGGCCTGGAAGAGCTCTCTGAACTTCCAGCCCTCATTCACAAGGAGACACCCCACACCAGGTCAACACACCTATTGAGTGTTTCTTTGTTTATTCATCCCATTAGTATTTGTTAGGCAAATATTGCTAGATGGTGGGTAGACAATGGAAACCTTACCGAGGCCTCTTGCCCCTTTGCAGAGAGACCAGCAACCCCATAGTGATTACAATAGAGACAGTCAGTGTTCCTCCAGGGACGGTTAGGGAGCTGTGGGCACACGGAGGAGGCACCTGACTTGGGGTGGGGTCAGGCAGGGAAGGCTTCCTGGGGGAAGAGATAACTAAACTGTGATCAAGGCGGAGCAGAGGTTACCCAGGTAACCAGGCTGGGGTTGCGCACTGAGACCCTGAGGCAGGAGAGGTTTCCATAGGCTATTTATTGGTAAAGGGAGAAAGTTCTTCCCAGAGTAAAACAAGGGCAAGGATGGTGAGAGGCGAGGCTGGCGAGGTGAGCAAGGGCCGGATCATGAAGGACCTGGACATGACGTTCAGGGGTCAGGATTTCATCCTGAGGGCAGTGGGGAGCCCTTGGGTTGTGTTCAGCTGAGGAGGACACAATCAGATTTGCAGTTTAAAAAGATCTGTGCTCCCCCCTCTGGCACGGAGCATCTTTAGAAGAGGCTGCAGGTGGGGGCCTGGCTGGGAGGCACCTGCAATAATCCAGGCCCGGAGCGGAGCAGTCAGTGGGGCTGGTGGCAGGGCTAGACCTTTGAGATGTTTGGGAGGTAGAATTGGCAGGATTTAGTGATGATAAAGATGGGGATTAAAGGACAAGGAGGGATACAAGGTGACCCCACATTTCTGACTTGAGTAACAGAGGGACGGTGATGCCTTCCCCAGAGGGAGAAGCAGATTTTGCCAGGGCGGATGAGTTTAATCTGAACGTGATGAATTTGAGATGTCCTGGTGACATCCAAGGGGGCACGTTTGGTACTCCATCTGCTGCTGGAGGTCACAGCAGGCGGGGTGCTGGAGCTGGCTCACACTGGCTTGCGAGAGCAGGTCGTGCACACCACTCCCAACTCTGTTCAGTGACATCACACTGGTAGCTTGCAATCGGCCGTGGAGGGAGTATGTATACACAGAAATTGGCAAGTGCTGTACAGAATACAGCTCTCCTCTCCCACTGTCCCCCACCCCAGCCAGCGATTAGACATTTACCAGCACAGAGTCTTGTTGGAAAGATGGTCAGCACCGGCTTGGAGGGGGGGCGGTAAAACGAGGCAGGCTTCAGGCAGATGCATGACTGAGCCTCTTTCAGGATTAGATGAGAGGAAAGGGAGACTTCCTGGTAGACTCTTTCCACCCAGGACCTTCTTTCTATCTATGTTGCTTTACCCTGCACGAGTTGCAGGTAGAAGGAAGGCAGGGAGCAGTAGATGCAGGGGTCTGCTTCAGAACAGCAGGGACCCCCCAGTTCCCTCTCCGGCCTGGCCTTGAGTTAGGGAGGACATTTGGGAGCGATGCAAAGCTTATTTCTCTTCTTTTTGTATAGAAGGACATAATATTGATCCATAAATTAATCTACAAATAAGTCTATAATCCATAATAGTAATATGATTCTAATTCCAGTGAATTTTTATGCGGCTCAGAGTCCAACAAAACAATATTCAATTTCATTTGGAAAAAAATAAGCTTGCAAAAATTTCAGGAAAATTCTGAAAAATAGAGTGAGGGGGCTGGGGGACAGGACTAATTGTTCTGCCAGATATCAAAGTGTATGTCAAAAACAGAGCAATTAAAACAACAAATAGAACAGAGTGAGGAGGCCAGAATTAAAGTCATATACGTAGGGGAATTTGGTCCATGATAAAGGCTTCATTTCACAATAGGAAGAGAAAAATAGATTGTTCAGGAAATGAGGCTGGGACAACTGACAAGCCGTTTAGAAAAAGGTAAACCCAAAAAAAGCTTAAAAAAAAAAAAAGCTGAATCTCTCCCTCACTTGTTATATCAGAATGAATTTCCAATGAATAAAATCCTCAGACGTCAACCATGAGACCATAAAATAAAGGACGAAGCACGAGCAGACATTTATAATCCTGAACCCGCGAAGGCCCTTTGAAACGTGACGTAAGACCCAGCAGCCCCAGGAAAAGACCGATCAGTTTGTTGACATAAATGTAAAACTTCCACATGGCAGAAAATATACCATAAAAAAGACAGATGCCAAATTGGAAAGAATATTTGCAGCAACACCTCTGACTCTCAAGGAGTTACACTTCTTGACAGAGAGCTTTACTCAAACCAATAGGACAAAGACAAATAACGTAGTAGAAATTACTGGTAAAGAATACAGACCAGCAGTTCACGAATAAATAGGACCGGCCAGTGCTCATGGGAGGAGATGTCCAGCCTCAGCATGTAGCGGAGGAGATGTAAATTAGAAGCCAGTTCCAGGCCCCTCCGAGTGCCTTACCCAGGCCCAGCCTCTCCAGGAAGCAGAGTCCCAGTTTCCATTTGGTCGACAACATTCCTCCAAGATCCCTGAAAAAGCCCTCGTTCGCCCTGGATTTGGCTCTGAGTTGGAGAGAGGCGTCCTGCTCCCAGGGCAGGCTCTGTAATTAGCAAACCATGTGATTATCCCTGCCGTGTAAACATCATCCGGAGCAGGACTTGAAGATGTTTCTTGGAATCCTCTCCTGCTGACCTTTTCTTCAGGCGTCTCAGCATTCAGAGTAGTTGAAAGTTTACACTGGGAGGTTTCAGGGGTTACTTTGCACGGTTTCCGGGTTTTCTCCTTAGTGCTATTCTTAGCATCACTTATCCCCGAGAGGAGAGAAGCCCGGGGCTCTTCTGATCTATGAATGGCATCTCCTCCTTCAGGCGTTTTGGATGCCTGCCACAAGCCCATCCTGAGCCTGCAGCATTCTCCAGCTTGCTCCCTGCCTGACCAGGTCACCCACCCTCATGGCAGGGTCCCCGTCCCACCCAGCCTTGTCCCCTGAGCATGTCTCCTGAGCAGAGGCCTCTGGGCACTTATGTCCACAGTTGCAAGGAGGACCCCAGCAACCCAGAAATGTTTCAGCTTCACAGCAGATGGATCACAGCAGAGAAATCTTCCTCTGGATGGGATCTGACTCTGAAAGTACTGCTTGGCAAGGACAAACCTCCATTGATCCTAAGATGTATTGGGCTCAAAAGCAGCCTTGCTTTATTCTGGCGCTCCTGATTCGGTTCAGTCCAACTAACATCTGATGATGGCAGCTGCCATTTCAAAAGTCTTTACAAATACAGACCATCCCGGATCTACCATGGCTGGACTTGTGATTTTTTGACTTTACGATGGTGCGAAAGTGATATGCTTTCGGTAGAAACCGTACTTCGAGTTTTGAATTTTGATCTTTTCCAGGGCTAGTGATACGCAGTACCATAGTCTCTGCGGTGCTGGCGGCAGCAGCGAGCCGCGGCTGCCAGCGAGCCGCGCGATCACCAGAGTAAACGATCGATACACTTAACCGTCCTGTTCTTCACTTTCGGTACAGGATGCAATAAATTACATGAGCATGCAACACTTTATTATTAAATAAGCTTGTGTTAGATGATTTTGCCCAGCTGTAGATTAATGTAAGTGTTCCGAGCACGTTTAAGGTGGACTTGGCTAAGCTATGGTGTCTGATGGGTTAGGGGTATTAAATGCATTTTCAACTTAGGATATTTTTAGTTTACAATGGGTTTGTAGGGATGTAACCCCATCATAAGCAGAGGAAGATCTGTATAACTGAATGTAGTTTAATGACTCTATGAGGTTATACTGTCATCTCCATCCTATAGATGAGGAAACAAGCACAGAGAGGCTAGACAACTTGCTCAGTCACACAGCCATTGGTGATAGATGCAGCCAGACTCAAAAGCCCAAAAATGGGTAGAAATTGTGACCACCTCAGTCAAGGGGAGCCTCCAAGCTGAGGGCTGAACATGGGAAAGGTGTGGTGGTCCAGGGAAAAGCGAGTGAGCCAGTGTGCCTAGCAAAGAGCAGGTGGGGAGGTGGGGCAGGAAAGGAGCTAGAATGGTGGTTGGGGATGAGACTGGGGATGACCTTGAATCGTGTGTGAGTAGAAGAGAACCCTTGCCGGTTCTTGAGAAGGGAAGTGATAGGCCTCATGTTTCTCAGCGCTCTGTTACCAGCCCTGGATCTGCACAGCCTCGTGCTGCTTGTAACCTTGGCACATCTCTTTTGTCTTGAATCTTGACCATAAACCACTGGGCTGTGACCAGTGAACCTGCTTCTAATCTCCCACCTGAATACCTGTCTACGTTGCACTCCACTTCCAGGAAAATGGACATGAGTGACCTGCATCCCACAAAGAGTAGGGGATCCAGAGACTGCCCAGCTAGGAGAGGCCTGCCAGCCAGGGTAGAGGAAAGTGAGCAAGTTGACCTATTCTGGCCTGAAAACACACATTCTGAAGGTCAGGTTCTGATAGCCAAACCATCCTTGGATAAGTGGCCGTGAGCAATGCCTGTATAAATAAAAGGGACTTAGAGAACCGCAGTCCAGGAGTTCAGTGTGCTGTGAGCTGAGTCCCCACGTCCTTGCTCTCCATCCGCCTGTTTACATGCTGGGGTTCAGGGCATCCAGGCAACAAGGAGCTCTCGGAGGCTATGTCCCAGGAAGACTCAAGGGATGCTGGCGCCCCCTTTCCCTTCTCCACTCCCAGTCCTTGGAGGAGATTTCCTATGATGTTCTGCTTCCATCTTTCTCCATCCTCCCTCCCAGCCAGCTCACCATGGCAAGGGTCTCTCCCAGATGATCACAGAGGAATGGGAAGGAACCCACGGACGCTCTTGGAGCAAAGGTGAACCAGGGGACTGAGGATTAGCTTCATCTCCCCCTCACCCATCCTCTCTCCTCTCTATTCTTTTCAGGGTCAGCCGGGCACTCGAGGTTTTCCTGGATTTCCGGTAAGTGGGGAGGTTGAGGTTCGCTGGGTCCCCGGTGACCCCTGGGCCTGGCTGGGTGAAACTTCATGCAGGGCCAGCCCTCAAGCTGTTCTTGCCCTTCCAAACTCCGGTCATTGAGGACCCTCTCCCACAGCCTTTCATGGAGAACAACCAAGGAGAGTAGCTGGGCGCATGACTCATAGTGCAAGAAAGGACAGGGAAATAAATATAGAAATAAAGGGGCAGCAGGACAGGAATAGGCAAGTGACGTCGCAGGTTGATAGACCCAGTGGGACACTGGAATGAGAAATGGATGATGACCGCAGGGAAGCAGCCTCCCACCCAGCTTTGAGGGGAGATCCACCAGGACGGGGCAGTGAGGTGGCCGTCTGGATGTCCTTTGACCCCTGCCTAAGGGGACCAAGACATGTTCTAAGAGGGAGGGCAGAGGAGCAGCGAGCTCCCCTCCTCCACAGGCCTCAGTGCTGGCCAACCCCTGCCTCTCTAGGGGCACAGTGTCCGCTGTCCACTCGGGGTAAAGAGGGTCTGTGATAGCAAGGGCAATGGCCACATCGGTTCTCCATCCTGCCTGGCCCCTGGCAGATGCATTCCACTCACTCCTCACAAGGACCCTTTGTGGAAGGTTCTCTTGTTCTCATCTCCATGCTAGGGTGGAAAACCGAGGCTGAGGCTTACCGATGGTCACAGAGCCAGCAAGTGGTCAAGCAGAGACTTGAACCCTAACTTGCTGGAGCCTTAAGCCCCTGTGGCAGACACTGAGGGGCTTGGTCTTTACCTCTGGCCTCTCTCTGCTTGCAGGGTCCCATTGGGCTGGACGGCAGACCGGTAAGTGGACCCTCTTGGGCTGTGGCTCCTCCCCCCCCTCCCCCTCACTCGGTCCAGGTCACTAACCTGGGTCTCTCAGTCCTTCTGCAAGACCCTGACTCCTTGGAAGAAGCTGGGGCAGAAAGTCGTGGCCAGTGGGAAGGGCAGGGGCCCTTAGAATAAGGTGCCCCTGACCCAGTGCCAGTGGGCCTGCTAGCTGGGCTCTTGGCTTCCAGAGCGAGAGCCATCCCTAGAATGTGGTGATCCTGGGGCGCTCCAGGCAGGGACCTGGGGTGGGGAGAGAGGCAAGGAGGCAGCAGGGGGTGAGGAGGGCTGGAGAGCTCAAAGGCTAATTCTACAGGAGCCTGGGCGTGCAGTCACGCGCTGGCTTCCAGCCCCACCAGGCTGCCTCTGTGTCTCACTCGTCAGGGTCTCTCGTACCGGTGGAGACGCCACACACGCCCAAGGCCTCATGGAGCTGCTTCCCCATCCATAGCTCCTCTCTTGGTTCATTTCAATCCTTTTGACTTGCCCCAGACACAAATGTTCTGGGGGAAAGGAGGCCCCTCCCCACTCCTAGGAAGGAGTGAGCTGGGGCGAGCTCACCCCTCCAATGCCCTCAGAGATGCCCCCCACAAGTGAAGGCAGTGGGTGCCAACCCCAGCCCCACCCACTCACCTGTCCCCTGGGCAGCTGGCGTCCTCTCAGATGGGGGCCCGGCCGCCCGCCTAGTCACTGCCCCACTGCAGACCAGAGCTAGGCACAGCCGGGGGCTGTGGTGATCATGTCCACTCTTCTCACAGAACCCAGCATCCCTCAAAGCTGCCCATGTGTGTGGATGGGGCAGGGACTGGGGTCCAGAGAGACCATCCTCATGCGTCTATCCTCGAAGGGCCAGCAGCTGCTAAATAACACCCAGCCAAGGGCCGCAGGGAAATGACCACGGCTGGTCAGCGGGTCAAGGACTGGGTGGATGAGTGAGTGAGCGAGTGAATGTGTGAGAAAAGAAAGAAATGTGTAAAATAAGCAACCAGCAACGGAGGGAGGAGCCGCGGGTGGCAGGCAAGGGGCCTTCTGGCATTCATGCTCTTCTCCTTCCAGGGCCACCCCGGACCGAAAGGGGAGATGGTAAGACCCCAGCTTTTCTGCCTTCCTTCAAGGGGTGGGGGGTCGGCCTGGCCCTCGTGGGCCACAGCCAAGCACTGCCCAGCAAAGGGGCCAACAGGGACGGGGGAAGTGGCTGCCCCTACAGTCACTCGCCAGCTGTGTACAACACATCCCCCCCAGGTCCTCACATCACGCAGGGAGGAGAGCGGGCAGGGGGCCTCTCCACCTGAAAAAGGAGGAAAAGGTGGTCCAGAGAGAGTCTACGCTTGGCCAGTGTCACAGGGAGTGAGAGGCTGGCGCTCCTGAACTGCCACTCGCCTGTACCTCGGGGACAGGCTTCCGTTCAGACTCACTCTGGGAGCATGGGGAGGACTCCACGCACTCCTGCCCCAGCTGGGCCAGAGCAGACGTGGAGAAGCAGGCGGCTGCCCCCACCTTCCTCCCAGTCCCTCCCACCCTCGCAGAGCTTTGTAAAGGGGTTTCCTCTCTACGGTCTCCCCCAGGTCCCTCCTTCCAGAAGGGAAAGGCCTCCCCTGTCAAGGGCGGTCCACTCTGGGGAGAGGGCCAGTTCTCAGCGGGACCGATGGGCCGTTAAGGGCAGTGGGCCGCCCGGGGCCGGGATGCATTCCCGCCTCCCAGGTCGGTCACGTCCACGCTGTGCGGGACCTGCTGCCGGCCGACCTGGAGTTTGTGTGGGTGGTGAGCGGCGGGCAGGCTCCGTCTCCTCTCCAGTGGGCTCTGGCTCCTGCCTTGCTCCAAGTGCTGGTGCGAGGACACTGTCCACCCACAACGGGGCACTGCCAGGGCATGGAGGCCAGACTCCTGCCCCTGAGGGACGTGGATAACCTGTGGATGGAGAAGGAGACAGGGGAGTGTCGGCTGGGAGCCTTGGCTTTAGCTTGACTCAGACTAACGTTACGGGGATTTTCTGTGTGGTGGGCACACGGCTAAGTGCTGTACGTATATTAACTCACTTAACCTTCAGCATAACCCTGTGCTCCAGGGCCTATCGGTATCCCCCTTGCCAGCTGTGGAAACCAAAGCTCAGAGAGTCTAAATAACTTGCCTGAAGTCACACAGCTAGGGAGCATCCAAAACAGGATCCAAACCCAGTTGTCAAATTCCGTCCCCCCACATTTTATTGCTGTTCTCCCTCCTTATTCTCCTCTCTCCTTCCCTATGTCCCTGCCTCCTTCCTCCCTTTAACGCACTTTTATTGAGTATCTACCATATGCTGGGCCCTGTGCCAGGGCCAGGGATACAGACAGGAGCAGGAAAGACACTGTCCTCGCCATCCCATAGCTCACAGCCTAGTCGGGGAGACATGCATTTAAATAATCACTCATGTAATTAACAAATGGCCTTTGCAATCAGGGCTATGAAAAGGCGGTCCCGTTACCCTGCGAAACATCGAGAGAACAGCACCTCACCGAGGCTGAGGGTCAGAGAGGCTTTCCTGAGAAAGGGACTTGAACTGGAGCCTGAGGGATGAGGATTTAACTAAGAGAAAAGGGGATGGGAAGGAGCATTCTGGACTCTGGAGAACAGCATGTGCGAAGGCCCTGAGGCAGGGAAGTCCTTAAAATAGCTGGAGCACTGGAAGGGCAGAGAGACACTGGAGGCCATGGGTGGAAGATCTAGCATTAGAATCCAGGTCCCCTAGTCAGCTTTCCTCCCCATCACAGCCGCCTCCACTGCAAATGCATTTCTTGTTGCTCCTACCCTGTTCCCAAGCATGCTGTGCACATGCATGAGGCAGTGGAGACTGAGGCAGGAAGAAACTTCCATGCTGCCATTGTTAGAGAGAAAGAAGTTTGAATGCCAGGAGTTTGGGTGCTTATCCCCTCAGCCCCCTCCCCACTACCTTATTCCCCTTCCTGGTGGCCTGACGCTACTGTAAGGTAGTCCATCACAGCCCAGAAGCAGTAATGATGGTCATCAACTGGGCACAGTTCTGTCATCCTCATAACAGCTTATTATCCCCACTCTACAGAAGGGGAGATGGCAGCACAGAGTGACTGATGTGTTGCTGTGCTGCTCCTAAATAACAGCTGGGACTGAGACCCATGTGGCGGGGTCCACCCCTCCCCCGCGCCTCCTTTCTGCTGCTGGGGCTCTTTGTTCTGAAGGAAGGAACCCTTCCGTGGGGCTCCTCTTCCTGCCGTTCCTCCGCTCCCCCACTTAACCACCCATGAGTCTTCCCTGTCTGTTTGGGGGTCACAGCTAACTTGGGGGAAAGGGTGGGGCCATCCCACCTCCCATGAGCCCACATCAGCGTGATAGATCCCCTGTCTGCCTCCTAGTCATCCATCTACATCCGACAGGCCACAGAGCCATTAGGCTCCTGTTTGGCTTGGCACGGGGACCCTGAGCTATTAATTCAGCACGCCGTCCAGCGTAATTATCTTGGCCTGCTTATTGTCTGTCCGTCTCCCACTCGCCTCCCTACCCAGATGGTGTCCCCTCTGCTGGGCGTCCAACGTGGGGACCTGGGACTCACCCTCACATGCTCAATCTGTGTCCTCACCTGTCAAAAGGGGGTCACCTCAGCCCCACCCCCTAACAGTAGCCCTGAGAACCTGATGTAAGGTGTAGACAGGATCAGGGGTCCTATGAGTGCTGTAAAGGAGAGCTGGGACTCTGATTTCGTATCTTAGCCCACCACTCACACGACTGTCATAAGGGTGGGAGGAGCTCGTTCCCACCGAGTGCTGAGAACAGTGCCTGGCACATAGACACCCGAGAAGCGCCTTAGCTAGCACGTCCCCATGACGTGTCTTAAAGGGGCAGCCACTATTCAGCTAGAGCTAATTGGTGCCCGTGTTGTTGGGCCTTGACATATCCAAGAAAAACTTGAAATCCAGATTTTTGTTGTACTCTCCTTGCTCTTAAGTGATGGCAATTAATTGAAACAAAACTGTGTAGGATCAACAAAATACCTCTGGGGACCATGATTGTCCTGTGGGCCACCATTTGGGACATCTGGACTCCATCCTCCACGCTTCTGCAGCCCCAAACCTTTGTGTCATTTTTCTTGGCCCCTGGCCCTCCCCTCTCTCCTCACACCCTCTCTCTGTCCTGAGAGAGGGTGGCCTGGTCACCTGCAGTCTGGTTCCCTGCCACATGCATCATATTCTGCTGAACTTGATACTAAATACCTGGTCAGCCGCATGGGCTGGGGTGCTACATGGGTTGTCCCAAAGGCCACTTGTCTCCCCCGCCCCCCACAAACCTCCTGGGAATTTAGCAGTTTCGTAGTTGGTCCAGGCAGTCAGGAGCAACAGAAGGCTCTTCTCCCACTCAGATGGGTCTGTCCCTGGAGATCCTGAGTTCTTCAAGTCCCAAAGGGACTGGTCCAGCGGGTGGGTCGTCACAGGCCCTCAGGATGTTGGCTGGAAGGGACTTCAGGGCTCCAGGGGCTGGGGCAATGCCTGTGGCTCTAGCTGAGTCTGGAAGCCCTGCCTCCTGAGGTCCAACCCAGTTCAAAGTGTGGCAGAGTGCGAACAGCTGGATCTTCAAGGTCAGACAAACCTGGGCTCACGTCCCAGTGCCACCACTCACTGAGCCGCAGGGCCTTGTCTCCATCGCCTCGTCTGGCAGATGGGGCTGACGGGTGTGAGCTCAGCACATACGGAAAGCCTGCCTCAGAGTGGCTCCTCAGAGCCTGAGGCGTGTGTCCTTCCTCTCATCCCTCCAGCCAGCCGGGAGGCCTCCTCCACACCGGCCTCAGCTCTGGCTCCCGAGAGAGCCAGCTGCACGCTGTGTTCTCCTCAGAGAACTAGGGTTTGCTCTGAACTCGCTCCCTTCTCAGCCCTGCAAACTTGACAGACGCCCTGCAAACCCCAAGGCCATTCTGTTCCTCTGAGGGGGCTAGAACATGACTGTAGTCACCAACTTCCTGCTTCCTCTCTGTTGCCAAAGGTTTCTCCAAAGCCCCCAGCGTTGGCGCCAGCCCCATGTCCCCAGAAGCCCGTGTGTTTCGGTGGGTTTCATGCTGAGGCCGCAGAGGGAAGAAGACAGAACGTGCCAGAGTCTCCTGGAGGCTTTTGACCGCCTCCTTCTTGGCTCCGTGAGGAGATGGGCAGGGCTGAGGCCAGGCAGCCCATGGTAGCAGGGTGTCGCCTGACACGTGGAGGCAGCCTCCTTCCTGGTGGGCCCATGAGATGATGGTGGTTGGAGGAATGCATGAAGGATGGCACTCCTCCTTCATCACGGCCGCATGCAGGGGGCAGGCACACCTAGTCACGCCCCCTGAGCCGTGGTACACAGGCCACATCCCCTGGAACGTCTCGGGCACAGGAACACCAGGCCGTGGGGGGTGGAGCCCAGCCTTTGGGACTCTGGGCATTCCGAAAAGCACCTGGCAGCCCTGGTTTCTAGCACAGTCCCCACCGAGGCCCACGCCTCTGATTCCGCCTGCCTGCTGTGCACCCACTGACCTGTGTGTGTTTCCTCCCCACAGGGCCTGATGGGTCCCCGAGGACAGCCGGTTGGTACCTCGCCCTAATGTTCCCCAGCAAAGGGGCTTCGGGCCACTGTGTCCTTAGCTTCTGTTTCTAACTCTCTCATTTCCATCTCTTTGTAGGGACCTCAAGGACAAAAAGGAGAAAAGGTAAGCCTGATGGAGATTTTCTAGAATTTTCATCTCAGGAAATAGCCTCCCAGCAGGTAGAAAGGGGTCCAGAGTGATTATTTCCAAACTTTAGTTTCTATCAGCGGAAGCAGGACTTCCCCGTGTCCTGCGGCATGAGAGAGAAGGGAAGCTGCCCTGGGTGATGTTCTTTTCTTAGGGGAAGGGCCGCCTGGAGCCTGGCCCTTCTTGGTCTGCTTCTCAGCCCCTACTCCTGCCGCTCCCATGGTGTTTCTCCACCCACCTCCGTGAGCCTCTAGGATGTGGAGGTGTCCTGGCCCCTTCCCGACCTCCTGGATTCTCTGTCTCCTTGACTGTCTGTTGGAGGCTGTGCTGGGCTTGCGCCCAGGTAGATGATACAGGAATCTGCACCCCCGGCTCAGAGAAGGCATCTCCGAGGGCCCCCATTGCCTACAACCTGCCTCAGTGTCTGCTCTTTCCCTTCGGGGGCTCCTGTTCAAGGTCATTGGGTGGACCCACCCAGAGGGTCAACCTTTCCAGTAGATACCTCCAGCCAGGCATAGAGCACAACTCCTGACTGGTGTCATGGCAAGTGGTACATGGCAGTGGAGTCCTGTCCTAGGCTCCGTGCGGCCACGTCCAGGCAGGCCCTGGGGGTTTCTCCCCTGCTGCCAGCCAGGGACGAGGGAGGGAATTAGTTCTCCTGCCTCAGAGAGCTCAGTCCAGGACCAGAGCTGGCAGGTGATGAGTATGTGTCGTGTGTCCGCAAGTCCTGAGGGGATCCCTAGGTGACAGTCCCCACAACAACTGCCTAACACCCTCCCTCCCTTCCCTCCCTTCCCTAGGGTCAGTGTGGAGAGTACCCACACCGGGTAAGTGAACCCCTAAAACGGATCCATCCCTGGGGCACAGCCCCTAGCTCAGCCTCGTCTCCCAGGGGCCCCACCCCCTCCAGATCTTGGGGGACAGGAGCAAACAGCCCCCTCTGTGCTCAGTAGCCGGAGCAGTGGCCGTGGTGGGGGGTGTTTGGCCGGCCGGGGTGTGCGCCTGGTGCTCAGTAGGTCCACTGGTGCAGAGCCAGCACCAGAGCTCGTGTCTGCCCACCTATGCGTGTCTGTGTCCCCTCCCTGTGCTGGCTGGGCCTTCAGCCTCCAGCATGTGTGTGTCTGGGACTCATGGGCCGAGCTGTGTGTCTCCTTCGCACATCGCCTTCTCTGGAAGGCCGTGAGACTTGTGCAAGTCTGTGTGTCTGACTCCCTACCCAGTGCGTGCATGACTGTGTGCGCCTGTCTGGCTGCCTGCCCTGGCCACACCAGAGGGACTTTTGGGTTAGTCATTGTTTCAGATGACCCAACCTTGAGGGTGGGAGATAACTGGGGACTGACTGTCTCAATTCAAGGCGAAAGTCTCTGCTCTGCCTCTTCAAGAGTAGAGGAAGCCCCCTCCAAGCAGAGTGGGGGGTTTCAGGGCTGGGATGGTCTCCTACTGTGCCCCCCCACCACGTCCCACCCAGCTCCTTCCATTTCCTTGCTCCACCCCAGGATACAGAGCCCAAAGCCTGCGTAGGCCTATTAGGAACCTCCCAACCTGTGAGCAGGTTGCCATTGTTGGGACAGGGAGGGCCCAGGGGTACACTGCTTCCTCCAGCAGGAGCCCCGGTGGGCGGGGACCAGAAACATGCCCCTCATTATGGATCTGCCCTGCCGCTCTCACAGCCGGCCAGTAGGGGAGCATTCCCCTGTCAGGGGCCTCGCTGTGCCCAGACATACGCCCACAGGGTGGGTCCCCTGGCCGCCCACCCCTGCCAGGCAGAGGGATTGAGGGAGCAGAGACAAGCACAAGCCAGGTTCAGAGTCAACCTGGCTCCAGAAGGCCACTGGGAGGGCCTTACTAGCAGGATCCAGGTACTCCGACTCTGACCCCTGGGTTCCTGGGCCAGGGAGAGGCCGCAGGGGCCTAGACCATGAGCGGCTGGGGTGGGTTTGAGGCCAAGGCTGGGCTGGGCCCGGGCAGGGGCGCAGGCCGGCAGGAGCACAGAGCGGGCCAGTCAGTGGCATGTGCTCCAGGGACGCAGGGGCCCTGGTGTTCCGGCCAGCCTGATCCTGATACAATAATAGAAGGTCAGCTGTGTTTATTTGAAACGATGGGCTCACAGGATTGTTATGTCACCCGAAAGAAAGATAGCATCCCCCAGCACGAGAGACAGCACAACCGCAGGCGCTCTGGCGGTGTGTCATCCGTCCTCAGCCGACACATGGGGCTGGTGGAGGAGAAGGCTCTCTGCCCCTCAGCCCAACACAGGAAGAGGGGGAGGGCGGGGATAGAAGGCTCCAGAAGCACCTTGGCCAGAGGGTGCAGCGAAGCCTGGCGTTATGACTGCAGCAGTGTAGGGAACAGGTCAGGCAGAGGTGAGAGCGGATTTGGAAACCCAGCTGATGGGCAGGGCAAGGCAGGGGGCACCCTCTGTCTATTTGGAAGTGGGTAGGAAAGCAGGGGCTTCTAGGACAGGTGGTCTGTTGGCTTTCGGAGGGGCTTGTGGGCACGGTGGGGGTGGCTGGCCTCCATACCCGCGAGATACCAGGAGATCCAGGCTGTCCCCGCCTCTGTTCCAGCCTGCAGCATCCTCAGGGAGGGAGGAGGGGGAGGAGTGGGAGTGGGTGGGATGGAGCGCCCGGGACGGGGAGCAGGGGAGCGGTGTCTGTGGGCTCCAGCACTCACTCTCCCTGTCACCCGTCTGCCACCTCTGCCTCCGCTCCAGGAGCACCTAAGCAGCTCTTTTGCAGCTCTGCGCTCCAACCAGATAATTACCCTGAAGGTTTGTAGGCTCGGAAGGTCTCTGGGCCCCTCTCTGCTGAGAGGCTCCCTGGACGCAGGGCCAACATTGCACAGCCCCAGGCCCCATGGGGGAGGGGTGGGGCTCTTGGGGCAGCAGCTGCCCCTGAAGGCAGCGAGGACCTGGAAGGGTCACGATTGGGCTCCCAGGTCCCCAGCTGGGCGCATTCTCGGCTCAGGGGGCCCTGGTTCTTAACGCTCATCCCAGAGGCCTTGCGTCAGTTAAAATACTTTGAAAAACAAGAGATTGATTACATGCCATCTTTGTTTTCACTTGGGTTCTGGCTGCTTCTAAAGCCATGGGGTGCCCAACTTCAATGGGTAGAGGAACTGGAAGCAGCAAGAATTTCCAGAAATGGAAATCACATTAGATGATGTGAGTGCAAGTTGCCTCCCCCCAAAAGAGTGGTTGAACTTGCCGGAGACATCTTTGCCCAGCCTCTTTTTTCCAAGCCCACCAGCCCCGGGGGAGACCTCAGTTGCGTTTAGCTTGTGCCCACACTGGCCACACCCTCTGCCGCTCAGCCCCCAGGAGCCCAGCTTGGCACTGCCCTTGACCATCCTCCCCAGATTCCCTGACATCAGCCTTCCTCGTTCAACCAAAAAAAGAACACAGAGGTTGCCACACACCAGCCTGGCTTCAAGTACCAACCTAGCTGGTCCTGTGGCTCCCTAGCCAGAGCCTCAGAGTTGGCTACCCTCAGCCCAGCAGCCTCTCTCCATGACCAGGGATGGGTGGGGCCCACAGTGCAATGTTGGGCCGCGTGTCAGGCGGCCTCTGCGGCCCAGCATGGCCATGGAGGGCAGGCCTGGCCAAGGAGGGCCACTCTCCCAGTTGGGGGTGCTGCTGGCCAACACCCTGAGGGCCACTCCTCCTTCTGGGGGTAGTGTGCCATCCCAGGGCAGGCTCGGCACTGTGCCCCCCAAGCCAAGAGAGTGCCCCATCCACGCCCTCCCTCCCTGTGCCTCGTGCTCGCTAATCTCTCTTCTCTCTTCCTCTCCTCCCCTCCCTCTTGGCCATCCTGCCTTCCTGGCGACTTTCCTGGCATCCTTCTCAACACCCGCGATCTCCGGCCTTTGCCCTCTGGCCTTCCAACTCACCTTTCTCCTCAGCTGCTGCCTCTCCTCAATTCAGTGCGACTGGCTCCACCCCCAGTCATAAAAAGGCGGACCTTCCAGGTAGACACCTTCCCTCTGCGCAGACTACACGTGACTTCCCCAAGGGCCTTCCCGAGGAGTTCAGCAAGCCTCCGGGCCCTGACAGGCCAGCTGGGGCTGCAGACAGAGCCAGAACCTCACTCTTCTTCAGTTAAATTAAATCAGGCAAAAATAGACCCATGAATGCCATAGATGTGGAAATACACAGCACCCAGGCCCGGGAGATCCACAACTACTACCACACCGTTACCACTCACATCGGCCATCGCCGTGTGCCGGCCATTGTGCCACACATTTTACAGGCCTGATTTCATTTAATTCTCTTAACAGCTTTAGGAATTAGGCATGATCATCCTCATTTCACAGATGAGGAAATCAAGGCTCAGAGAGGTTAAGTAAATTGCTGTTGGCACTCAGGTTCTCTGCCTCTTAACTAGCTGTGTGATTTGGGGCAAGAAACTGAACCTCTCTGTGTCTCAGCTTTCTCACTTGTGGAAGGAGGGTAATAGCAGTTCTTACTGCATTGGGCTGTTGTGTATACAGAGCACTTGCAATAATTCCTGGCACAGTTTAGGTGCTATAATTAAATTGAGGCTCAGAGAAGTGAATTTGTGCCCAAGGTCGCACAAACAGCAAGAAGCAGAATGGGAACTGGCAGCCAGGTCTTCAGACCCCGCGTCCGGGGCTCTCCAGCTGGACCTACACCCTTTATATTTAGAAATGCAGATTGCTTAGCATCTGATTGCTTGTAACCTGAGTGTGAGGAGTGAGGGAATTCACAGAGGAAAATGTAGCCGGTAGCCAACAGGTGTAACCACTGTGAGCACTGCTTCCTTCTTCCTGCCTTACTAACCAGGGAGGCCGGGGTAGGACCAGATGACAAAGAACAAAGAACAAGAGACCACAGACTTGGGGTCCAGGCACAGGCAGTGTAGCTTGATTCCAGGCCAGACAGCCCGTGGCCACCACCCAGGCCCCCAGCCTGCCTTCCACTGCACAGGGGTCTCCCCCAGGCCACAGGGATGCTGGAAGCAGCAAGGCTCCGAGATGCTCTCTGAGAGCCTGACAGCAGGGCCTGGAGCTCCCGTCTGTCCTGACTCAGGAGTCAGGAGCCCAGGGGCTTGCATGTTTAGGCACCTGATTGAGCAAGGCTGAAATATCACTCCGATTAATAGCTAAAAATACAGAGGGACAAATGAGGCACGTGCTGCCAGAGCCTGCGTGCCCCCTCACACCAGCCAGGTCCTCCAGAGCCCGTGTGCTCCGAGCGCCTACCCCAAGCATAGCTATTCAGGGGGCCCACTGGTGGCCCAGAGCAGCACCAGGCCCACCCCACTGTCACCCACTCCTACCCATGTCAGACCCCGCCAGGAGAGCAGAGTCCTTGCTCTCACAGCGGCCATTCTCCTCAATCCCCAAGAGCCACCTCCTGGCCTCAGTTGCAGTCACTGCTGTTGGCTCAGCCCTCGCTGGGTTCCAGGTGGTGGTGTAAGAATTCTACATGGATTATCTCGTGTAATCCCACGCCAGCCACACGGCAGTGGAGGGGCCATCATCATCAGCCCACCTTACAGCTGAAGAAATGGAGGGGGCCCAGGCGTGTTCCTGCCTTCCTTTTCAAGAGCAAGGGGTGGGCGAGCCAGAGTTTAACTGTGCTGCCCCGACTTGGCTTCCAAAGTAGAGAGAAGAATAGGGACCCCTATTCTGCCTGCTGCAGACTCTGCCTGGAGAATAAGGTTGTTATGTTGTCAGTCATCATGGCACATAAAAAGGCTTGTCCATTTCCTACCAATAAACCAATATTGATTTTACAGGCTCTGTAAGATGCTTAAACATCAGGTCTAACATTAGTTGAAAGAGGAAACTGTATGAGCTATGATGGGCTTAGCAGATGGTGTTGGAGGTCATTTCCCAAGTGCAGAAAGTTGGACGGTGAGCAGGTTTCACTGGGGGCTTATTTGGAATGAAGAGCAACAGTCTGGACTTCCGAGTGTGGGTCCTGGCTGCCCCTGAATTCTCCATGTGACCTTGAGGGGGGCCTCACCTTCTCTGAGCCTCAGTTTTCTTCTCTGTAAAAGGGGACTTGTGACCCGTTTCTGCACCTGTCTCCTCCCCCAGGGACACTCTGAGCCCTCAAGCTGCTTCTCAGAGGGTGTAGCAGGAGGAAGTCCAGGCCCCAGGTGACACTGCTGGGTGCCATCTGCCCTGGGATGTCCCAGCTAAGAGATGGTTCCAGCAGGTGCTGCTAAAATTCTACAGTCCTCATTGAGAGGTTGTGTCCTCCTATTTGTCGTCATCACTTCCTCTGTAGAGTCTGCAGCAAGCCTCCTCGGCTCCTTTTCCAGCTGAGGAAGCCAGAGTGTCACAGAGGCCTGCTGAGATCATACTGAGAGCAGTGGGCTGGCCTGGAGTTCCGGCCACCCGTGTCGCCCTGAGTCCCAGCCTGGAGCTCACACACCTGCCAGGCTGTGCTGCTGTAGTCTGTCTGCAGGGACAGGCCCCTTCTCATAAGAGCAGAGCCTAGATGGTTTCTGGAGTGGTCACTTAGAAAATAACACAATGGCACAAGTCTAGACCCAGGATGCCTCCAGCCCCCAGCCCCAAGATCTGGGTCCTGTGGGCCAGGCTCTCTCCTGCTCCTGAGGGGACACAATACCACCCCTGCCTCCCTGAGCCCTTGGTCCATGTGGAGCACAGGCATGGTGGGTGGGTGACAAAGGCTGGGCTCAGAGCAGCCAGCTCAGGAATGGGGTCAGGGAAAAGAGTAATAGTAGCACCACATGCAGGCACAAAGCACTTTACAGTGTCAGAGCTCAAGTGAGCTAAGGTTTGCAAACTCAACTGTCCTCTGAGGCCGGGCATGTTCACATAGGTGACAGAAGCAGGTGCACATGGAAAAAATAGGGAGGATGGGACTGAGGCAACTGGAGAACTCATGCCCCGCCTGAAGGGGCGCTGCTCCCCTCGCCCAGCCAATGGTTGCTTCTAGGCACGTGGGCCTAGCTTGCCAGGGCTCTCAGTTACTCATCAGAAGCCACTAATCCAAATTTTTTGCGTAAAATTTCTTGCCCAATTGTTTAGTGAGCCAAACAAAATTCTGTGGCTCTGACCTAAGGATCTCCTTTGACCCTCTGGGCTGGAATCAGAGAGGGTCAAAGCTGTGAGAGGAACAAGGCATTGCTTGCTGTTCCCAATGGATGGCCGAGAGGCCGGGGTGCAGAGATGATGGGACTCGCCACACAGGGGGGAGCTGAGGCAGGCCCAGGTCGCACACCACCTGGGCTGGACTCCAGCCATCCGGCCAGGCGGGGAGCAGGCCTTTGGTCTGGCTGGGGGGTCATCCCGCTCGTTCCTCTGCCTCTGCCCCTCACAGCAGAGCTCTTGCCCTCGGGACCAGCTGCTTGTGCAGCAAGTCCTCCTCGAAGCCCCTCCTCTTGGGGGCCTAATGTCTTGGCCATCTCCTCGCTGTCACCAGTCCCTGCATGTAGTCACCACCACAGCATCATCAGCGTCACGCCACCACCGCCTCGCCACCAGAGCCCATGGCGGGCCTTCACTGGGTGCATGGCACTGGGGCGGGAACCGCTCTATAGCTGGGGGTCTCTCTCTAACACGTGTTTCCATGAACCTCAGGGTGAGCAGGGCCAGGCCGGCATCCAAGGCCCACCAGGGCCACCAGGGCCCCCTGGACCGAGTGGACCTCTGGGGCACCCGGGACTGCCAGGGCCCATGGGGCCACCAGTAAGTACCCCTTCCTCTCTACATTGCTACCTCTTCTTCAAGATTTGTCCCAGAAATTCCTCTGGAAGCAACCAAACCTTTCATGACTTCAGGAACCTGGGTCCCAACCAAGTGGCAGAAACACCTTGGCAAGGCCATTAGACATGGGTGGCCCTGCAAGGAGCTGCCCCTCCCTGTCACACTCACCTGCTGCACTCTGGTTCTGAAAGCACACCTCCTGGGGCCGTGTCCCCAGCGCCAGTCATTGCCTTCCAGGGAGGGAGTCACTACCAGGCTACTCCTATCCCACCCTCAGCAGAGAGGAGCTTGGAAAGAAAGTTTGCAGGGCCACCTTTGGTGCTTGTCCCCTGACCCCTGGGTATAGGAAAACCTGAGTTTGGGGCAGTGGGCTCTGAAGGAGGTAGCAAGAGGGTGTCAGACCACCTGGCACCCCTAACAAAAACGCCATTGCTGGAGTAGGTGGGTTTCACACTCCTGGGCCACCTTCCAGCCAAGCTGGGTGCCTGGTTGGCCGGGGGGTCCTGCTTCGAGCCTGAGGATTGGACCTCTGCTAGGAGGGGCCTAGGGAGGCCAGCAGGCTCCTCCCTCCAAGTGAGACCACACTCAGGCAACAGGTCAGGCCCAGGCTCCACCAAGTCACCCGTTTCCAAGCTCTGGCCAAGACCTGACTCTCTCAGTCCAATTTAGTGCAAGGAAGCACCAGGGCAGGACAGCTCAGCGGACAGCTGGGCTTTGGAGGAAAGACTTCTCCACCCGGAGCTGACTAGCAGCATATGCTACTGGAGGCCTGGGGTTAGGGACAAAGTCTGTGTAATAATGGTTTTTCCCACATGGATAAAAGCAAAAGAACTGATTTCTTTCTTATGACAAAAACATTGGACATTCACTGTGAAAAATTTGGGACATAAACAAAGAAAAAGTTTTAAGTTGTCTATTTTCCCATATCCGGAGTTCACTGTCATTACCATTTTGGAGAGTTCTTCCATTTTCTCCTTAAACATACCTGCACAGGGACATTCTCCAGGTTGGTAATGTCCTGAAAACATACCAGTTTGTATCCTGTTACGTTTTTCATGTAACATCATCACCCACGCCCTTCCTACGTCAGGCGTGTCCTGGGATGTGGCTTTTAGGGCTGCTCAGCCTATTTACAGGGTAGTTAATGAGTTCCCGTCTGTGATGTACATCCTTGCACATCAATGTTTATGCACATTTCTGGTTCTTCCACTGCAATAGATTCCCAAAGGTGGAATTGCTAGGTCAGGCATGTCCCTGCCAAATAGCCCTTGATGAGGACGGCCACATTCCAGGTCAATCGGCTTCACATCTGGGCTCCTCAGCTGCTCCAGCTGCCAATGCTGAGGCTCAGTATAGGGTCCCTCTAGGCTGGGCGACAGCTCCGGCCGATCAGGACGCCCAGCTTGGCCAGAAGGTGGCACAGCAGTGTGAAAACCTAACTTGCCAGCCCTCCTGCCCAGCTTGACCGCCTCGGCAGATTTTAAATATTTCTGTGGTTTTTTGCCCCAGGATCTGAGGGAGGAAGATTAGTCTTACTTCCGTGGTTTCTAGATGGGGAAAATGGAAAACCTGAAAGGAAGTTAAATTTAGGGAATTAAACCAAACCAAGCCAAGAAAACCAAAAAAGTGCTCAAAATCCACTTCTTTGCTCACCACTCTTCCCCAAACACACTGGGCTCCCACTCACTGAATCCATGCCAGGTGGTTTTCTTTGTTAGGCTGTTTATAAAGAAAAAAACCCAGGGGGTGTGGTTTTAAACCAATGGAAACAGACCAGACTCGGGCATCATGGTTTTCACCAGCCTGTGTTTGCCCGAGACCGTGGTGGAGCCAGCCTTGCCTCTCCTTTCTCGGGCTCCCGCAGGCGCTGGGCCCACGCCACCTCCCTGCGGCTGGCTGCGTGGTCACAGTGCCCCAAGAGGAAGGAGACAGAAGGCTCCCCTGCAGGCTGGCAGGCTTCTGCTGGGCAAGGTTGGCTTTCTAAGGAGGAGTCCCATTTAAGAGGTGGGTGGGTGGGGATCTGGACCAAACCACATTGTCAATTTAACATGATGCCACTGACCTGTTTTCCAGTGGGTGAGCACAACGGAGATGCCCATGGTGCCCACATGGCTCCAAAGAGGGACATGACCCTGTTGTCCCCACATACCCTCAGCAGGTTCCACATACCCTTCCAGGGTCCTTTAGATCTGTTCTCTAGCACATCCAGAACCCGTTACAGTTATTCGGGGGCTACTCTGCTCCTCTAGCCTCCACTGTAAACAGGACTAGCCCCAACCATTTGCCAGTGGGATCCATCTCCACTCACCTTTTCCTTGCTTCCACAGGGCTTACCTGGGCCTCCTGGACCGAAGGTGAGGGCTCTCCTGGGTGATGCACTGAGTGGGTGGGAGAGTTCCCTGCAGGAGAGAGGAAGGAGAGGCAGCACTGAGGGTTACTGAGTAAGGAGCTGAGATGGATCTCAGCTGAGAGGAGGCTCATGTGTGGCTCAATTCCAAACGCCCTCCTCATGGGAATTGATGGGGCCCACAAGGACTGCACTTTTGTGTGCTCAGGCCAAGAAAATGGTATGGCTGGTATGGAAGGTGCAGTCCCATCCTCCAAGGAGTTCATATTCTAGTTGCAACTCAAGATTGATGCCCAAGACACTGTCACAACATCCTAATGAAATAGTGTTTCATAAGGGGTCAGAACTAGAAGGGACCTTCGGGGTCATCGGTCTCTTGCAAAACCTTATCTAGAAGCCACAATGTCAAACAGACTCTCCCTTTGAAGCTGGGGGCCCTGGGGCTATGGGGATGAGAAGTTGCAAAGCCCAACCATTCACAGTGTGGAAGCTGGGAGCCCTGGGGAAAAGAGACTTGTCCAGGTTTGACAGAGAGTCAGTGGTGGAACCAGAACTGAAACTCGGGTCTCCTGAGTCCCTGCCTAGTTGATGCTTCCCACCATCCCTCTGCCTCAGCCAGGCAGGGACTTGTTCCGAAGAGTAGAGCAGGCTCTGTTGTTCCAGGGATGGCTGGAGGCGGAGGTCAGAGGATGTGGGGTCATTAGGAGGAAGAGGGTGGTGATGTGAGAGGAAGAGCATGAGCCAGAGTTTGGCACTGGGAACCCCTCTGACGGTCTCTTTGTTCCCGCAGGGAGACCCGGGGATCCAGGGCTACCACGGCCGGAAGGTAAGAAGGAGGGGGAGAGGAAACCCAAGTCAGGCTTCACCATGCTGCACAGTGTCCAGACTTGGTTGTGCACATGCACTTTTGCCCACACTCTCACACAGCGTGTACCTCACAATGCTTGTGAGGTTGGCTGGACAGGGGTTCATGTCTCCAAGTGGGGGAAAAGGAGACTCAGAGGGGGCAGGGCCTTGAGCAAGTCAGTGGCCCAGCTGGACCTCAGACCCAGGAGGGGTCTCCCTCACCGACCTGAGCAGCTGTGTCTGTACCGAGGAGGGCTGGGTTCTCACTGGCCCCCTGAGCACCTGGTAAGTGGGAGCTGGGCAGAGCTCCGTGCTGAGCATGGTGGGCTAGGGCCCCAGCCTTGCTGTCCGGCAGCTCACAGGCCAGAGAGATGGGATTCCTGCACAGATAACCCTGGCGAAGGCCAGCTGTGCTAACTGCCACCATTCCAGAGCTGTGTGAATACAGGGGGTGGAGAGATTAATTCCAGGTTGGGAGGAGTTTGGGAAGTCTTCTGGGAGAAGACAGCCTGTGAGCTCAGTCCTGGTGAATGAGGAGGAATACCCGTTATCTATTGCCATGTAACAAACCATCACAAACTTACTGGCTTAAAATGATGATTTATTTCTCATGATTCTGCGGATTGGCTAGCTGGGAGTTCTGCTGGTCTCCCCTGGGCTTACTCATGCAGTCCCGTTGGACAGTGGCTGGAAAGGCCGGAGGGGCCAAGACAGCTGCATCCACATGTCTGGTGATTGGCACTGGTTGTGGGCTGGGTGCCTCTGTTCCTCCCATGTGGCCTCTCAGCCCCCAGCAGGCTTACCAGGTTTCCTTACAGCGTGGTCGGCCCAAGGTGGTGTTCAAAGTGGGCAAGTCCACTGCACAGGTGGCTTTCCAAAGCATTCCCCTGCGTCACATTTTCTGAGGTCATGTTGGTCAAAGCAAGTCAAATGGCCAAGCCTTGTGAGTGAGTGGGGTTGGGGGATCCAGCTTCCACCTATTCTTGTGGAAAGACTAGCAAAGCATTTGTGGTCATTTTTGATCCACCGCTGTGGGCCTTCAACGAGCACATTTCAAGGGAAATGGCATTTTAGACAGGGAACCAATTTGAGCCAAGGCCCAGAGGTGGTCATTACAATAATTATCATAACATAAAAATAATTTTGATAAAAGTCACCACTTCCTGAATGCGTACTGTGTGCCAGTCCGTCCTTTAATGCGACCTGCACGATTTGTAATCCTAAGACCACCCTATGAGGCTGGCACTATTCTTCTCCTACTTAACAAATGAGGAAACTGAGGCACGCACAAAGTCTCCTGGCTCCCAAGTGGCAGAGCAGGAATTCACGTCGAGGTCTGCGTCCTCCCCATGGTACCACCTGCTGCAAGGGGCCCATCCTGCCCTCCAGACCCCAGCTGGGGAAGCATCCGGAAGCTTCCAGGAAAAGACAAGAGGCACGAGGGAAGAGGAGGACACAGGGGCGGGGGTGGTGGGTGGGCGTTGGAACGGGAAGAACCCCTTAGAGATGCACATCCCGCATGCTGGGTAACCAGGCGGCTGCCATCATCGCACTGTTTTATGGGTGCTCAGCAGGTGAAACTGAGAGACCCCAGAGACCTTTAATTAGTTCTGCATAAACTGAGAAGTTTGTATTGTGTCAGGAAGTGGAAATTATAGCCCCCGCGGTTGCCTCCATCCACTTATGCAGACTCAGAAAATTTACTGCCTCCTGGAGCAGCGCAGGGTAGGGTTTCCCATTAGCAGCTGGACCAGCTCTTTCAAGCTGTGAAGAAACTGTGGGGCCAGCAGGGGTTTCCGTGGGGCCACGAGGATGCCCGCGGCTGAATCCATGCCATGGTGGGCGTCTGCATTCTCCTACCAGCCTAAAGTCTGGTTCTTCCAGACAGGAGCTTGGGGGTCTATTGTCCTGAGGGTGGAGAGGCATCAGCTTAGGGCTGGGGTTTCATGATGATAGAGGACCTGGTCCCATGAGTGTAGCAATCCTGCACTCAGGTTGTGGGAAGAATCATTCAACCCAGGCTGCATTGACTTTGCAGAGAACACCAGCATGGTCCTGCTGACAGAGGGGCAGCTCCTGATGCTGAGGAAGCCTGCTCTGGGAAGAGGAGGCTCTAGCATGGAAGGGGGAACGTACTTCTTTCGCATGACTAGGGGTAGAGCAAGTGCTGATGGGTAACTTGGGAGGGAGGGAGCTCCCCATCACCAGAGGTGTCCAAGTAGAGGCTGGATAACTAGAGATCTGGGATGTCTTAAGAGAAGCTTTCATATCAAATGAGAGACTGGATTAAAAGCCTTTCCAGCTCAGGTAAGCTAGAGCTTCCTGGGCACAGAGTTGGCTCCACAGCCTCTGGAGAGGAACAGACCCCTGGCTTTGTGGGGAGTCTGCTCCCTGAGTCTTTGTCTGGGTCTTTCTTCATCCCCATCCAGGGCTTGTTGGAATCATCGCCAGTCTTAGATCTCATGAGGAACCCAGAAGACCCTTGTCCTTTGTGCTCGACTCCTGCTCCCCACCCTTTCTTTCTCTCCAGACCACTCCCTCCCCCTTCCCAACGGCCTCTTCCCAGGGAATCTGGAGGGGCTGTGAGGCTGCTGGCTCCCCCTCACTGCCTCTCTGGGTCTCTGGAAGGCTCCTGCTGCCTCCCGTTCTCCCTGCCTGTCTTGAGTCTTTTCAGTCCTGGAGCTACCAGCCCCCAAAAACCCCCCGGGCCGCAGGTGGTCTCAGCACCCTTGTGTCTGTGCTGGCCCTTAGTCTGCTGGACCCTTGTCCTGCCATCACCTCAGCCACAGCCTCGTAGTCCAACAGAGGCCAGGGGGCGGGCACTGGGGGCTGACGACCAGTGGTAGAAGGTCCACCCCCAAGGAGTTAGGGTCATTCCTCAAGGTCAAGTGACTCTCAGGAGGCTGCCAGTACCCGTCCGCCTGACCCAGCCCATTGAGGCAGTGAGCACCCGGACCCCAGTGATCACCATGCCAGGCAGAAGTTTGCTTCCCGTCAGAACTCTGAGATGAAGAGGGTGGTGCTCAAGGACAAGTGCAGAAATACTTCACATGTCTGGTTTAGCCAAAGTTCATTCACTCCCCATCTCACTGGGTCCTTCCCAGGCCCAGTACTTAGAGCTCATTATCCCCACTATACAGATGAGAAGCTCAGAGAGGTTAATACCCAGCCCAAGGTTGCACAGCTAGTGAACAATCATGCTGGAATTGGTGCCATGAGTCCAAGCCCAGAGGCTGGTGTTCTCGCCCTGGCGCAGAAGTGAACGTCTGCTGTGGGCATCTCACCCCAGCTGAGCTAACTGTGTACAGACCACTCTCCCCTGTGGTCTCTCTGGGATGTGGAGTGTTATCCCTCCAGCTCCCTTCTCTTGTCCATCGGTTCTTTTTCTCTCTCCCCTCTCTCTGCTCTCTGCTCGGAATGAGTAACTAACGTGAAGGGTGGCTTGACTACAGATGCTGGGGAAATGAGTTTGCTCCCAGCCCACCACCCCAGGGAGGAGCGGGCACCAGCGGGGGCGGAACACAGAGCTGGGACAGGGCCATAGGACTGCCCCTTGTGTTCAGGGAGTGAGGGCACCTGAGGGGTGACCGATGACGCTCCCCGTCGGCTTCAATTGCTCTGTCCAGCGACCTGACATGCAGGCAGGGGGCCTGTCTTTCAGCGGGGGTGGAGTTTTACCCTCAGCAAGGACGCTTCTCTGCCACTGAAGTTTGCTAAGAGTTAGTTCCTTCCACCACCACCAGCACCCGCCCTGCCCTCCCCCCAGCAGCCAGACCCGGCCTGGCCTCAAAGGCCAGTGAGGCCAGCAGAGCAGGCTGCTCCATCAGCTCCTTGGGATCAAAGCCCAGCATGGCCAGTGGGCCCTGTGCCGCCCCCAGCCCCCCGGGGGCCAACTCTGCTGCCTAGACACTGCAACTATTGTTGTGTACCCATGTGGTACCTATTTGATCCAAATTTATGATACCGATCTACTTTAAATATGTTGCAAGAGGCAAAGTGTGTTTAAAACATTACAACCTTGGCTCTCTTTCAAGAGGATTGACGAGTATTGTCAGACTGTGTGGATCACAGAACCTGGTGAGAGCTTATCTTTGAGCGCGTCGGGGCTGGTCCGTCTGTCTCTGCAGTGGGGGTGCATTTGACACGTGCGGCGGCCGGGGCATCAGGTCTCCGGTTTGCCTGAAGGACACGTGCCCCTCCTGCAGGAGCTGGACCATGTGCTTCCAGACCAGAGGAGGGGGAGGTGGGAGCCTCGTGCGGGAGCAGTTTCGCACTGCCGTCACTCCTCCGGGGGGGCTGAGGGGCTCCCCAGCAACAGGGACTCCCAGGGGGAGGAGATCCCCTGGGCCCTATGACCGACGGCTAGGGCCCTGGGGTGAAGGCGTGAGGAGCGGAAACTCCCCGGGCCCATCTCGGCCTTTCTTGTCTGGCCATGCCGGGCCTCCTCAGTTCTCCTTAATCCCCTACAAAAGGGCGCAACCATTCTGCTCCGCTGGTCAGAGCCACATGGTGGACACGCTTCTGTAGAATGACAGCCACTATCGTTACATCTACCCTACGGGGCCTCGTCGGAGCACTTTGCCCACATCATCCTGCAGGATTCTTGTAAAGGTTTTATTCTTATCCCCAGTTTACAGATGAGCAGACTGAGGTTCACAGAGGTGACTCCCTGAAGGTCCACAGCTAGGAAGTAGTGACGCCAGGTCTGTCTGACCCCAAAGCCTTGCTCTGAGCAACTGTACTACCTGGGTCTTATGAGCCCTGGGCGACCCCGCGACATGCCTTCCCCCGTTCTCCTCCACTAGCAGGAAAGGAGGGGAGAGTTGAGCTGTTTTCCTCCTGTGAGAAGAAGGTTGTGGCTGGATCCAGGCCTTTCCCTGACCTCCCAGGCTCTCTGTGAGCAGAAGTGGGGTACTTGGTGTGTTTTAGTCAAAGACCCAAGGAAGAAGGGTGCTTTGCGTGTTGGCACTGATTCCAGCTGAACGATTCTCCCAGGGAGTGGGGATGGTCCCAGGACTGCAGTAAAACCAGGAGAAGGCAGCTTGCCTCCGCCTCCACCACAGCTGTTCCCCAAACCTTCCTGCAGCCCGACCTGAGCAGCCCCAGGCCTCTCTCAGCCCTCACAGCAGAGCACTCCATGCACATGGAAGTGGGGACAGCGCTTTCTTTCCGAGCCATGAAATCCCAGTGGGGACGTCCAGACCATTTAAATTAAAACAGATCAGGGAGCTGAGACACAGGCCCCAGATCTGAGGCCTCGTCGGGGCTGAGGGGACTCCAGCCCCAGCCTGTGCGCTCTGGGCCCTGTCTCTCCTGAACTCCAAAGTCCACAGATTAATTAGAGCTGACTTTCCTTTTTGGAACTAACTACAAAATCAACTGATCTCAAATCGAGATTACAAGCCAGCCGCCCTTGCAAAGCCCTGGCCTTCGATGGGGTGCCTGACCCCGGTAATTCCCCAGATCACTTCCTGCCGGCCCTAATTACCGGAGGGCCTGGTGTTTCCGTGGTTCCAGCCCTCTCCAGTCTGGAGCTGGCTGGGGCAGGGGAAAAAGGAACTGAGCTGCCTTTTTCCCGGAAGGGAGTCCCAGGAACTCTTTGGGGGAGAGAAAGACATTAGCCCTCCTCCCCCAACTTTTCCAGCCCAGTAAAGGGCCCTGGTCCAGGCCTGAGGCCTGCGCCTGGCCTCCCCAAGCCCTCCACTCCCCACACTCACGCAGGCCTTCCTCCTTCCCTGCAGAGAACAAAGAGTCTGTGTGTGGAGCTGCTTCAGGCCAGGCCCTCCCAACCCAGGGCTGGGCTGCCGTGGGAGCCTCAGTTCGGGAGGTCCGTTCAACCCCCCTGCTTCTCCGCCTGACCTTTGCTTGGCTGGGGAGCTGACCTTGAGCCCCCCACCTCCTTCCACACTATGTCTTCTTGCCAAGTTCCTGGCCTGCTTGTTCAATCAACAGTAAATCACTAATTAAGGGGCCACTTCCACAACACAGGAGCACTACTGGTTTGTGCTACAAGGGGTCTGCTTCCATTCTGTCATCTCAGTAAAAGGATGGGTCCTCCCACCTGGAAGCAGGGACTGGAATAGAGAACCTATTGATGCTGTAATGCACTCACGTGCAGTGGCCCCGCTGGAGGGTCAGTGGCATGGGAAAAGTTGGGCTTGGGACAGGCCTTCAAGGTCATTCAGGGCAGCCCCCTTTCTAGCCATCTGTGCCCACCCAGAGCTTTCTTAGACACGATGACTGGGATCCACTCCTCCTGGGCCAACAATCAGGCGTTGGTTCTTGGCACCAAGGGTAAAGAGCCAGCCTCCCAGATGGTGGGCCAGGACCTGGCCTGGGGGCCACAGGCTTGCTTCCACAGCAGCTACTGCCTTCCATGCTCTGTGCTCCTAGGCTGAGACTCTGTAATGCTCAGAGCAGCAGCACCTGCACGATGGCCCAGATCGGGGAACTGAGAGCCCCCCAGAGGAGCCTCCGGGGTCCCACTGGGAGGAGAAGGGAAGGCAGAGGTAGGGAATATAAATTGGGGCCCTCCGGCTTTGACAGACTGAGAGCTCCCTCCCCTCTTAGGGCGAAACCATTAGTGGGTTAGTGGATCTAAATTCAGCACAGCTCCAAACTTAAGCTGTTTAAATAGGAAAGGCTTTAGGGAGGGAGAAGGGAGAGAAGGATGCTCTAGATGTGCTCTCGCAGATGTGCCCCAGGGAAGAGCTCCCTGAGCAGCAGTGTGTGCTCGTGCTCCTCTATCAACAGCTGCCAGAAGCAGCCTCGCCCTCGCTCCCTGCACAGGAGTGCCCGTGCCCACGGCCACCCTGGGGTCCTTGACAGTGACTCTCAGCCCTCTCCCCTCACCCACGTCCAGGAGTCAGTGTTGTCTGGTGTAGGACGAGCCCAGCCCCCGTTCAGAGGTCAGGCTGGGGCAGGCCCATGAGACAAGCTCTGGAGAAGGAGACTGATGAAAGGGGAATGGGCCTGCAGGGGGTCAGCCGGGGGCAGCCCTGTTTCCTGCCCAGCAGAGGGCCACAAGGGAGGGAGGCCCTGGGGTGGGGATCAAGGAAGCCTGGGTCATTTGCAGAATTAAGAGACTTGACCCAGGGGGAGGGAAGGGGCGAAGGTCAGCCTCCCTAACGAGGAGGGCTGCCTCCCCTGGGGGCTCCGAGGGGCCCAGATTTCCCTGGATGCGTGGTTGTGTCTATATACTCAGACCAGCGTGGCTGAAGACAGCCCCAATTAGCCAGAAACCCTCACTCCCGGGGCCGCTCTGCAAGCTCCTGCAGAGACAGGAGGCAGGAGCCCAGAGATGGAGCCTGAGCAGCCCCCGCCCTCCTTCCGTGCTGAAGCCTCAGAGTAGGAGGAGGGAAAGCAGAGACCTGCTGAGACCCCTCCCAGAGCCGCATTTTCACCCAGAGCTAAACTCCTTCCCCCACAGAGCCTCCTTACGAAGTTGCCAACGCACCCAGTGTCACTTCCCCAGCTCTGGCCTCTCCCTCCTAAAGGCCTATCTAGTCTAATCTCACTTTACAGATAGGATCCTGGACCCAGAGAGAGAAAGTGGCTATCCAGGATCACACAGTCTATCCTGACTACCAGCCCAGCTCCCCAAAACGGAAGCGGGCAGAGGAGGGCAGGAGCACTGACGGAGAGATGGGAAGAGGATGGAAGAGGAGGAGCGGGACAAACGGGAGGTCCCTGAACAGTCCACCAGGACTCCCAAGCTGACCTCCCACCTGTACCCCCTACTCCAAGGGGCTCTATCTGGTGTCCTGGGGGCTGAGTCAACCCAGGGGGCTGTTTGGAATGTTAGCAGGGGACCTGGTCCTCCGAGGAGAGGGTGACAGAGACCCTGGGCTGGTGCTCTGGGGATGGGCGCCTTGAGACCCATGTGGTCACAGTTGCCAGACTTCTGACGAGGTCCTGTGGCGCCCTCTGCTGGCCACAGGGTGGACCTGTGCTGGCAGTCAGGGTCAGCCCACCTCTTTTCTCTGGTGCCCTTGGTTAAAGACCCAGCCCTGGGCTGAGCTGCCCGCACTCTGGCTCCTTGGCACCCGAGGGGCATAGCCTGAGGGCCCTCCACAGAGGGCTTTGCCTTGCTTTCAGACAGCAAAGGATATTTCATGGAGCGGATGGAACACCAGCCCATCCGATGCTTAGGGCTGGCAGAGAGAAATGGGTACCAGGGCTTTGGCAGCCGAAAGACCTGTGTTCAGATCCCTGCTCCCCATGACCTTGGCAACCGTACCTGACCTCTCTGAGCCACAGTTTGCTCACCTGTGAAGCAGGAATAACCTCCACTCTTGTGCTGCAGGGCATTCTTGGAGATTGAATAGAGGAAGGATGTAAAGCCCGTAGCCCAGGGCCAGACACGTGGCAGGCGCGGTAAATGGCCGTGCCTTTCTCTGCTCTTTACCGCAAGAGGGATTTCCCAGAATTTAGTGGCTGAGCCAGGCCTGGGGCACAGGCTTGTCTGCTGTGGTCACTTCCTGAGTCCACAGGTATGTCAGGGCTCCGTATTGCCATCCACAGCACTGGCCTTCAGATGCAGGCTGGCTGCTGTCACCTGTGCTGCCCAGCATCCTGGGCCCTGGCTGGGCCTTCATTTGGAGTTTGACTCATGGAAACCAGAGCTGCCTCCATTTTCCCCTGAGCCCCTCCCTCTCTGACATGGCAGGTTCATCCTGACTCACCTCCTCTCAGCCCCGTTTGTCACTGGCTGTCCCCTCCAACCCTTTCTCCTCTGGGGCATCCTTCCAAGGAGGGAAGAGTATACTCCCTGTCCTTCTTCCTGAGGTCGTCTTCACACCCATAGGTTTGGCGTTTTCACACAGAGGTTTCTTTAGAGGTTGAAGAAAAAGACGGGATACTGGCCAGATGGTAGAGCAAACCCCACGATATCCCAGAGAGGCAACAGCTCACCTGTGTCTCTGGATGGGCAGGGTCTGGGATGCGGTGTGGAGAAATGGGTGGGCTTGGGGGCTCTGGGCAGCGCCCTGCCTCCATCCACAGTCCCCACGACCCAAAGCACAGGCTGACCCTCCACCATGTGGGGCCAAGGCCCACGTGCCCTCAGGAAGAGTTAGACCCAAGGAACCTGAGAGGAGAAGGAAGCCTGCGTGAAGAGGAGAGCTAGGAGCGGTGCCTGGCTTAGCCAGCACTACCATCTGAGCATACCTGCTGGAGTGGAAACGGGGCAGGAAGTACCAGACGGGGATGGGAGGGGGGTGGTGTGCTGTAGGTCAGCAGCTAAGTGGGCCGCTTCCACCCCTGGCCTAGCCTGCAGTGCTGAGTTTCAAGCCGGCTGGGCCCCCGGCTGGCGGTGGATCTTGAGCAACACCCCTGCCCCCCAGGTCTCAGGCTCTGTGACTTGGGCCCTTCTATGAGTGCACATGGCTGAGAAGAGTGGCCCACGGTGGCTGCCAGCGATGGCAAGGTCCTCAAAGCTCACCATGAGCTGGACGGCCTTCCCAAGCTTCCAGACCAACCTTCTCACGGACGTCCTTGCAGGCCACGCTTCAGGGGCTGAGGCCTCGGGGTGCTGAGTTGGGTCCTCCTCTCATCATCCTCTTGTTTCTTCCCGCAGGGAGAACGGGGCATGCCAGGGATGCCAGGCAAACAGGGAGCGAAGGTACCGGGCCCTCGCTATGTCCTGGGCAGCCCCCTTCCAGCCCCTAGCGCTCTCTCCCAAGCTCTGGGACACCCTGCAGCCCAGCTCCTTCTCCATCCCGTGTCCTGCTGTGAAGACAGGGTGCTCATCTCCTCCCCTGCCCCTCCCCTTGCTACACCGGCCTGTCCTTCCAGGCAGAGGTGCTCCTGTTTGTCCCATGAGCCGTCACTCACCAGTGCCCTCCTGACGTGGCCAGGCCACCTCCTGGGCATCTCTGGGTCATAAAAAGCTTTTCAGGTAACTTTCCCTCTGGCTGCAGGCCTGAGACCCACATGGGGAGTAGGGACCCCCAAAACTTGCCTTTACTTGGGATTTACTAAGTGGTGAGTTTGGTGCCCTATGTACTTCAAAGTAGGTGGTCTTGGGCTGATGTAGAGATGGGGTTCACTCCCAGCTGCTCCCCAGTCCACGAGGACATAGGTCCAGAGAGTGCCCTGTGAGGAGAATCCCACTTGCACGCTCGGGGGACGACTGTGCAGCCGTCTACTGTTCGTCCCTTCCCACAGCTCTCCCACTACTCCGCCTTCCCCTCCCACCTCTTCCCCTTCTTTCCTATCCCAGGGAAGCTCTCCCCCCTTTCCACTAGGGATGCCCCCATCTAGCCCACCCGTGGGCTCCCTGCCAAGGTGCCCACTGTGTCCCCCAGGAGGGCGCGGGAGCTGAGCGGGTGGGTATGTGTGCTGCATAGAGCCTCTTCCTCGGAGCCCACTCTCCCTCCGCCCAGCTCAGCAACCCACCTGTCCTGTGGGTCTGGGCGGCTGACAGAAGTGAGCAGTCAGCCTTCACATCTCCCCAAGGGGAGGCTGGCCGCTTCCTCGTGCTTCCCCCTGACCACAGGAAGTCTCCACGTCTTTTCCTCTCTCTGCCAGGGTGCTCCTGGAATCGCTGTGGCTGGGATGAAGGTCAGTGGAACGTCGTAACTCAACAAATGAGGGGCAGGATAGGAGAGATGGAGAGCGGAGGACAGAGCTGGGGCTGCAGGGGCTCAGTGGGGTGGCCACTGGAACAGGGAGGGACAGACGGGATTCGGAAACCTTTCTCTTAAAGCAACATTTATGCCAGATGCACAACTTGAACAACAGATGTTGCACTAAGCCTTGCAAGTAAGTAGCAAGTGTTTACCAGCCTCAACTGAGGCCCTCGCCAGGCTGCCATGTTCAAGGGGGCCCAGGGCTTTCCTTTACCCTCTAGGACTCAGCGGCTGTGTGCCTGCAGAGAGGAGGGCAGGGGTCCTCCTCCTGGACGCCACATGCATGCAGAGAGGAGAACAAGGGTCCTTCTCCTGGACCCAGCCCTAACCACCCATTGGTTGGCAGGCAGATGGGTGGATCCCCCAGCAGGTCCACCTGCATGGGGCATCGTGTCCAAAGCAAATGACCTTTCCTTCCTCGCCCTCCTCCTGGGGTGCCTTGCTGATGCTCACACCTGCCACCCTCCTCACCTAGGGGAAGAATAAGAAACAGTTGGGAGCCTGCTTGGGCCTGGGGCCTGGGGCCTGAGGCCGAGGCAGAGGAAAGCCCTGGGCTGGCCGGATCCTTCGCCTTCCCCCAGAGCACCTTCTCTCCTGCTCTCCCTCACTCTCGCTCGCTCCCTCTCTCCCATTTCTTTGCCTGAGTCTTCTTTTTTTCCACACAGGGTGAGCCAGGGACCCCAGGAGCCAAGGTACGGATACAGAGGGAATGTTCTGGGCTGCCTGGAGCATCAGGCACGGGGTGGAGTTGGGAGTGGCTGCTGCTGTTTCATCTTGGTCCCCCTGAGGCTGGCCTGGGGCTGGGGACCTGACTGAGCAGAGGAGGGCCCCGCCGGGGAGGGCCTGCTTGTCGGAAATACACTGCGAGTGCCTCCCCCTCGCTGGATCCCGAGCTGGGCAGCTGGCCAGTTTGCCTGCACGTCAGCTCCAGCGGGCAGTAGCTGCTGTCCCCCTACCTCCAGGGCTCTGTCTCTCTCATCTAGGACAATAGGAGATGTAACATGAAAAAAAGTTTCTGTGGTCAAATGTGTTTGAGAAATACAGGGTTTAAAATATTACACAGATTTCTTTACTGCAGGCCTGCTCAGAGCCTTTAAAATGCCAAATGTGCACTGGGAAGTTCTAGAAAGAAATATGCTGTGCAGCATTTTCAAACTTTTTGACCAGGGCATGCTTTTTCAAGAGGAGCATCTTATGGGACTAGTATTCTGGAAACACTGGTCTTTGATCACTGTCCACCAGCCCCTCACCGCACCCCATCCTCTTATCAGTGACTTTCTCTTCTTACTCCAAAGGGAGACCCAGGAGCAGCAGGGAAGCCGGGGCCCCCAGGTTTGCCGGGAAAGAGGGGGCAGAGGGTAGGATATTGTGTCTTTGAGTGTGTGCCCCCTTCATCCTGGCCTCCGCGGGTCCCCACTCCTTGCCCACCCCTGTGGCTGGTGTGCTGCCTGCAGTGTGCTGTGGGTGCATGTGTCTCCAGGAAGAGGGGAGTGCCGGGATGGCCTGAAAAACTTCAGAAATTCACACTCTTGAGTGCACCCTCCCTCCCTGAAAGCCATCAGTTATCCAGGAGGAAAGCCCAGCAGACGGCAGGCAGGCCCGCCCTCCCTCCCTCTGTCCCCACTCCCCCAGGGCCTCTGCAGGGCCACAGCGGGTCCTTTCCCTGTAGACCCAGCCTCTGGTGTCAGGGCAGGCCCCAGCTAAGACACACCCTAGGTGCAGCTCAGGCAAAGCAGGGCCGCTGGGGCCCCGGACTCCCTTCCCACCCAGCACCTTGGCCCTTACCCAGCTTCCTCCCCTCCCTGGGCCAGCTTCAGGCCATTTTGTCATTCAGCTTTTACCCAAGGGCAGGTAACAAGGGGATGACACCCAAAGAGTTGGTGTGGCCTCTTTTGTGGCTGCAGCTGGAAAGTTCATTGAGACATCTGAGCAAATTATGACCCCAGGGCCCTCGATTTATGTTATTACATACAAGAAGCACCAGCCATCAGTCTATATAGAGTGGAGCTTCTCGTGCAGGCCTGGCGGGGTGCTCTTGGGGGCTCTCCTGATGTGAGACACTCTGTGAATGCCAAGTGAAGTCTTCGTGTCTTAGATGACGGAGCATCAGGAGAGCCAGGTGCTAGGCCTGGCTCTGCCACTGTGGCGGTGAGAGTGGTCCATGGTCACAACCCTTGTCATGTGCAGTGACCACTGGGCTGGGGGATCTCTAGGGGACTGTGTCCACATCATAGGGGAGAAAAAGAGTTCTTCAGTCATGGAAGCAGCTGGTTAGGGGCAAGTATTAGTTTGCTAGGACCACTCTAACAAAGGACCACAAAGTGTGTGGCTTACACAATGGAAATTTATTGTCCCACAGTATGGAGGCCCGAAGTCTGAGATCAAGGTGTCGGCAGGGTTGGTTCCCTCCGAGAGCTGAGAAGGACAATCTGTTCCACACCTCCCTCCTAGTTTCTGGCAGTTTGCTGGCATCCTTGCTGTTCTTGGCTTGTACAAGCATCACTCCAACCTCTGCCTTCATCTTCGCTGGTGTTCTCCCCACATGTGTGTCGGTGTCCAAATTTCCCCTTTTTATAAGGACACCAGTCATAGTGGATTAGGGGCCCACCTACTCCAGTGTGACCTCATAACATAGCTAATTATGTCTCCAGCGACCCTATTTCCAAATAAGGTCACATTATGAGATACTGGGACTTAGGCCTTTGACATACAAATTTTGAGGGGACACAATTCAACCCATAACAGGAGGCAAACTTCTTAGAATATCCCTCTGGGGGAGAAGGCATGGATGGTTTCGTCTTCCCTGGAGGCAGAGAGGAGGAGGGCAGAAAGCTCTCCCCAGAGACCGGGCCTCTAATTACTAGGCATCACAAACACGGAAAAGAGCATAGTGGTTAAAAAGAAGAGCTTTTACTGTCATTTCACACTGCTGGCCTCACCCCAGGAGACCCCCAAATGGGACTACAGGCTCTTGGCCTTGGCTACGACGTGTGGCAGTGTCACTCCTCTGCCTGCGTGAGTGGTGAGGGCCCAGCCCCCATGGGGACAGGAGAACAATGATGCAGACTGTAGGTTTGGCAGAAAGTAGATTCCTTCAGAAAGCAGCCCATGAGGGGCAGGGAGGCAGGAGAGAGAATCCAAGGCCCTGTGCTGGTGGGGCTGGTGCCTTTGGACACCCTGGGGAGAAAGTTCCTAACGCCTCACTGTCTGCATTTCCTCCACAGGGTGAGAAGGGGGCTGCAGGCCCCCCTGGGCCACTCGGCCTCCTGGGGCACAAGGTGAGTATCGATGAGCTCTGAACAGTGGGTTCTGCGTCCAACCCCACCCACATTATCGGCCCTGCACACTCACATGGACCCCAGCATTGGAGACGTCCCTCCCAGACTGGGGGGAAAGCAGCTGGAACACAGCTGGATTCTGTTTCAGGGGAGGGACACTTGGGGTACCACATGGGAGGCCCTCATTGTCCCCAGTGCCCAAATTCAACGAACTCAGTAGTTATGACCTAGTCACCAGCTTTGAAAATGTGCTCTACAGTGCATGAGATACTCTATTTTTAAAAGATATTCCATTTAAAAAAAAAAACGCCTTGAGGTCAAGTCAGTTTGGGGAGGGCTATGTAAGACAGGACCCCTTGGAGGGTCACCGGCACCTCAGCCTGTCCGAGTCTGGGCACCTGTGTGGGAGGAGCTGGCAAGCTTCATCTCACTCTGCGTTTCCTACTATTGTTTGGCCGCCAGACCCTTTGTCACGTTTCACATATTCCCAAGCCCCTGAGGAGTGTCCCGTGGGACACGCCTTGAGAAACACTGCTGAGGACCCAGGTCCTGATGGTCTCTTGTTTCAGCCCTACACGTGTTCCCCTTCAGCAACCAGCTCCATTCTCCCTTCATATCCCACGGCCGGATCAGACCAGGCCTGGCTTCTGAAGGCCTCTGGTCCCCAGCCATCCTGGACCCCACAGACCTCTGAACGTCCCCCCATTCAGCCTGGACTGAGACCACTGCCTCCATTCCTTTGACCTGTGAGGGGGGAAAGACAGAGGATCGGAAGGAAAGGGTCAACCGCCTCCCTCCAGAGCTGGTAACTCTGCCTTCTGCCCCCAGGGAGAGAAGGGTGATGCTGGCAACTCCATTGGAGGAGGCAGAGGGGAGCCTGGCCCCCCAGGGCTCCCTGGACCCCCAGGGCCGAAGGTGAGTCTTTCCCTGGGATCAGTTCTCATGGGACACGGTCGCCTGTGGCCTTTATCCTCAGCCCATTGTTGGGCACTCTGTGTCCTGGACACCTTGCCTTCTCTAGTCTTCTATTCCAGATTTGTAGTTTTTCCAGTGGATTCCAGAAAGGTCATTTGTACTGAGCATCTGCTTCTAAGCAGTGACGATTTGACCGTCCAGGAGAGATGTCCCCCCTGGGGCAGATGGATGGTCCCATTGGTTCAAATGGCTGTGGTGTATCTGAGTCAGGGCCCAATGGATACAAGGCTTAGGACAGCCAGCAAGGCCCCTCGCCTAGGCCCTGAGTAGGTGGCAGGTCAGTGGTCAGCTGGGCCCCCCGTGCTGGCACAGGGGGGAGGGGGTCGCAGCAGAGGACAGCTGCAGTGGACTGCCCGCACTTCTTTGCACTGGGTGGAAACGCAGTGGTGAGATTTGTTTCCCAAAGCAGACACCTCCTGTGTTGCTTGGTCTATTTTAGCAGTGCAGGGAAGTGAGGGGTCTCTTTCTTAGCTTGTAAGGGGAGGAGTCATTACTCCATGTGATTTGAGGCAATAGATGCATTCATTCCACTGGCATTTACCCAGGGCCTGCTGTGGCCTGGGCCCTGCACCGGCAGTGGGGCTGCAGAGAGCCCGCCCTCGGTTTGCCCACGATCTGGCAGGACAAACCAACCCACAGCTCACAGGCATATAGTGTAGGGAGCCACAGCGAGCCCTATAGACAGATGAGAAGAAGTGGCGGGAAGGGCCTCGGGATACCCAGCCCCCCATGCCCACCTGCCAGGGCGGGAATAGAGCTGCCCAGGCATGAGCACCCGCTTTGCCAAAGACGCCCTGCCCCTGGGCTCTAGGATACCCTCAGCCAACCCTTCAGGGCACGGATACCTGGCACATCTTGGGTCTTGATTTGGGGTTGGGGAAACCTGCATCCTGGGACAAAAGGGAAGGAAAGCTGGAAGAAACTCGTGTCCTCTTTCCAGGACGAGGCAGATGTTGAGGAAGTGAGGTATTTGGAAGGGCCTCCTCCTGCCTCTCCCTGCCCCTCCTGTCCGAGGCCTCCTGGGGCCTCCCCACCTGCCCAGGGCCTTCACTCTCCCCTCTGGCTCCCAGGCAGGACCTGTTGAGGTGCCTTGACAGGTGTTCCAGGCTCCAAAATGACCTGCCTTCCCACAGCCAGGGGCTGATGGCAGTCCACAGATGCTGCAATGGAGCTGGGCTTGTGTGTTAACCGAGAACCCAGGAGGGCCTGGCCGTGCCGGGTGGACATCAGCAAGTAGTGCAGAACTCAGGGGAGAAAGGGAGTAGACAGGGAGGGCAGCCAGGAAGAGGTGAGACCCGGGCCGGGCCCAGGGGTGGGTAGGAGTCAGATAGGTAGAATTGGGTGAGTTGGTAGAAGCCAGCGGGGAAGAAGACAGAGGCCGAAAGACACGTACTACCAGGACATCAAGAGCAAGACCATATTTGCCCCCTTAAGCAGCTGTCTCAGCTGCCTTGCGTGCCCTCACCCCATCCCCCTCCTCTTCCCCAGGGAGAAGCTGGTGTCGAAGGCCGGGCCGGGCCCCCAGGACGGCAAGGAGACAAGGTACAGAGGCCCGCAGATCTGAGAGCTGCAGAATAAGGGTCTTCTTGGGAGTTCAAGCCCCAGCTCAGAGAGAGAAGCAGTCCCCGGCCGACCCTGCAGCTGGACCCCTGGGGCACAGGCTGATGGGCAGTGGCTCCCGGCTGCCGTCTCTCCTGGTTGCCTGGGGTTGGAGAACCTTCCACTGGGACAGCAGCCAAGCAGAGGCTGGCCCAGGGGCGCGACACTTGGGTGGGAGTAACACAGACCCCTGTTCTGTTAGCTTCCAAGCCGCTGGTGAAGGCGGGGCTCCCACTTCTCCAGGTGCTCCCTATGGAAGGGTCGGGTCAGTGCCGCTGGGTCCCACACAGGCACCCCTGGACTGAAGTGCTGTGGGGGCGGGGAGGTAGGGGCAGCTCACTGGAGGTGGCAGTGGCTCAGCGCTCTGTGAGCTGGCCAACAGCAGGGTCACCAGGGGTTGAGTTATGTGAAAGGGTTTGTTTTCTTTTATTTTTACTTTCTATGTTGGTTTTTAAAAAATTGTCTTCAGTGTTACCATCATCCCAGAACAAATGGAACTGTGGTTTGTTTTGCACGATTTACACCACTGTTCCGTTTATTCCCCATAGTTCTGTCCTGTTTGCACAGGAACAGGTGTCCCCCCAGCCCCGCCCTGCCTTGGTTCCTAATACCCAACACTGGCCCCGTGTTTCCGCTGCATTTGGGGTCTTTGGCAAGCCGACAGGCCCCGGAGAGAACCACAGAGGCTCTCTGGCAGTTACTCACCACCCAGGCGATGGGCAAACTGTTACTGAGCCCTTGTTACCTGAGCAGATTGGAAATGAAGGGAAGCAAAGGGCCTGGTCCCTGCCCCCAAGGAGGGGGCTGACTTAGAGGACTGGAGGGAGGGGCAGGAGGAGGTGCTTCCTGAGGGGTGGAGCCTGCCCTTCATGCACAGGGCTCCTGAGGAAGATAAGGCTCCTGGCCGCTCCACAGCCCCTAACAGGTGACCCATCTGGGGACACGTTTTCTGATACCCGGCTTTATCCCCATTTCACTCCAATTTTGTCATGCAACAGGGGGAGCCTGGAGCAACTGGAGAAGAGGGACCAGCTGGCCCCAAGGTACGTGCGTCTCCCACCCAGAGTTACAGCACCGCCCTGGGGTCTCAGCGTGAAGTGGCTTGTCCCTGGGGTCTTGAGGGGGAGGAAGAGGAAGAGCATTCTGGCCCCAGATGGGAGGTCTGACACTGCAGCCGTGATCGGTCTGTCCTCTGCAGGTCTGTCTAGTCCAGAGTTCTCACATGGTGTCTTCTGTGTTTGCTGTAGAACCCCTGGGCATCCTCTGAGAGTGTTTGCAATCCCCTGACAGGCTCCCTCTATTGCCACTCTGCATCCACCTGTGTGCAGCCAGGTGCAGCCACTGTTGGCCCTGGTCCCATTTGATGGAGAGCAGGTGACACTGGTCCTCAGGTCCCTGCTGGCCCGGGCCTGCGTTGAGATCCCATTGTCTTGTAGGGTTCCAAGGGAGAACCGGGGAAAGAGATGGTGGATTACAATGGAAACATCAATGAGGCTCTCCAGGTGAGTGGGCCAGCCCAGAGACCAGAGACCTGGAGGTGTGCGTGGGCCTCCGGGATCCGCACCGGGCCCTGACGAAGGGCACTGCAGCACTGATTAGTGTCCCTGACGCCAGGCCACCAGGCAGAGCTTCCAGGACAGTCTCTCCCTTGCTTTCTCTCCTTTGGCCTGCCACCACGCAGCCTTCAGGCAAACAGCCCCCTCGTTTGGCATCCAGGTGACCTGGCTCTCAGTCTGGACCCAGTTGGCCCGTTATGGCTCTGGATAACTGAGAGTCGTAACTGGAGCATCTGGCACCCTGTGGGCTGCTGGCCCATCCAGGGTTCTGGCCCCATTTCTTCAGCACACATTCCCCTTGCACATAGTAGCATCTGTCTTTCTGAAATATATCTCCCTTTGTGTCAATTTAGTCATATTTCACATTCACATGGTACTCACCCTTTAAAGTGGGATTTCTTGGCACCATTGACACTTGGGGCTGGATGATCTTGGCTGTGGGGAAGGCTGTCCTGGCTGTTGTAGGATAGTTAGCAGCATACCTGGTCTCCACCCACTAGATGCCAGTAGCACCCCACTCCCAGTTCTAACAACCAAAATATGTCTCCAGACATTGCCAGATGTCCCCTGGGGGACAAAATTGCACCAGGTTGAGACCCGCTCCTTTAAAGAATCTTTGTACCTGTGTGAATCCGCTTATAGGGTGTAAATTCTTTTTTAATGCTAACAGTTGTCCCTGTAATTTACTTTTGAGTGGTTCCATATTTTGCTATACTACATCTGTTTATTTAAAGGAAGTACGTCAGAGCCTTGAGCTGGGTTCTGGGAGAAGACAAGAGAACAGGGAGGGTCCCCGTCAGCAGTTGGAAGGAACAGGAGATAGTGCTTCCCTCCGTCTCTGGTGGAGTGAGGGAGAGGCTGCCGTCCTTGGAGGGCACGGCTGAGCCTGTTGTAGGACAGCTTCAGAGCAGCATTTGGTGACAGGTGGCGTGTTCTCTGTCCAATGATTACAAACCTCTGGGAAAGGTGGGGGTGGCATGGGGCTGGGAGGCACAGAGCCCACCTAGAGCGTCTACCTCTGCTGTGCTCCTGGAGGGGCCCAGCTCCCATGTTTCCATGACTGGGCTGAGGGGACACGATGGGCGACTCTTGACTCGCTCTTCAGCTGACTGCGTGGTGTTGGTTTTTCAGGAGATCCGAACGCTGGCCTTGATGGTGAGTCCTCCTCCTTGCGTGCTCTCCTCGGGCCCCAGGCCAGGGTTGGGGGAGGCAGCCTGGAAGCAAGGACTTGAGCTCTCGCCTCCAGAAAGCAGACACGGGGCTTCTGGCTTAGGGTCGACCCTATGGTGCTGGGCAGAGGGCAACGTGAGCCGGAGCAGGGGGTCTCAGGAGCTGCCCGCCCCTGGGTCATGGCCGTCTGCTGGAGCGGCTCTTCACGACTCAGCTCTGCTCTCTTGTCAGAGCATAAATGCTGGGTTCTGTCGACAGCTGTGTCGAGGAAACAGTGATACAAGGGAGGATAGTGTCATGTTTCTCCTTTTTCTCAACCTTCAGCTAATAAAATCCAGCAACTTAAAAAATCAGTAGCAACCTTCCACATTTCCCCCTTCCCTAGAAATCAGTTTCATTATCTGCATTTGGAAAGCCAGTGACTTCCAAGCCTTTTTTTTTCAGGCTCTCAGTTAATATTTGTAGTTAAAACGACTGCCACCAGGTTTAACTTCCAGGTGGAGAGAAGAGGGGAAATCACAAAGTTCTCAAACTACTGGAATTTCATTTCACTTAATATCTTTGGTGGCTGCATGCCACAGAACACACTTAGGGATGACGCAAACCCAGAATCAAACACCAGTCATCTGACGTCCCAACCCCAGAAAGTGGTATGAACCACATGATTCTGGAATCAATGAGCTTCATTTAATGGGCACATTAAAATATATTATTTGAAATAGGTGTTGGAAGCCAAACCTGCCTGGAAACTTCTTTTCTTTTTTTTTTTTAATCAACGTGGAGGTATAATTTACATACAATAAAATGTACCCATTCTAGGAGTTTTGACAAATGTATATACTCACATATGCACCACCCCAGTACTCCAGAAAGTTTCCTCATGGCCTGAGGAGTCAATCCCACACCTACCCCCAACCCCAGGCCACCACTGATCTGCTTTCTGTCATCACAGATTAGATTTGTCTTTTCCAGAGTTTCCTAGGCATAGAATCACACAGTACGTAGTTTTCTGTGTCTGGCTTCTTTTACTCAGTGTAATGGGTCTGGGTTTCCTCCACACCATGGCATGTACCAATGCCTGCTTCCTTTTTCAATGCTGAGTAGTATTCCATTGAATGGATGTACCAGATCTTCACCTATTGATGGACATTTGAGTTGTTTCCCAAAGACGTTTTTAAATCACTGTCAGGGAAGGTCAGATTTGCCTTCTTGGAGCCCAAGGAGCCCCCATGGGTGCTGTAGAGGGAAGAAGGGGGAGAGGCTGTTGGGCATGGCTCTAGGATCCCCACCCCCCACTTTAACCCAAATATACTCAGTGCTTATCTGCTTTCTGCTGTGGGGTCTCCATGTTATTTCCTTTGCAAAAAAGTGTTCCTGCCATGGAAGAAAAGTTTGAAAATGACTGATATCTATAAACCAGCCTGCACGTACACTCCTCTGGCAACAGGCCACCTCTCCTCTGTCAGAAAGTTCTTCCACGCATCTTTCTTTTCTTTCGTAGGGGCCCCCTGGTCTTCCCGGGCAGATCGGCCCACCAGGAGCTCCAGGGATCCCAGGCCAGAAGGTAACACTTGTCTTGACAACAGGGATGCAGACCCTGCAGAGGTCTGTGTATGTCCTGAGCACAGGACCTCAGGGCTGCCCCTTGTCCTGTGACCCGCTCATCCTCCCACAGCCCCCGCTGCACTCTGAGCGGTAGTCCCTCCCGATGCTCCACGAGGCCCCACGAGCCCTGCTCACCCACATCCCAGCTGCTCCCTCTCCTCCTGGGCTCAGTTCTTCCCTTGCTCTCCGTCAGGGGCTCCTGGAATTCACAGGCCCTCCTCTGTGGTGGAGCCTGGGTCTAAAAGAGCCCTTGCCCCACCCGGACCACAGCGGGGACCCCAACCCGCCATCAGGGACTTGAGCTCCTCCCCAGTCTCACCCTCCCTCGCTCCCTGCCTCTGCTCGTTTTATACTCTGCCCCTCACCCCTGTGAAGTTTCTCAAAAAGTCCTTCAAGGGGCTGCCCAGTGGCACAGTGGTTAAGTTCGCACGTTCCGCTTCGGTGGCCCAGCGTTCACCAGTTCGGATCCCAGGTACAGACATGGCACTGCTTAGCAAGCCATGCTGTGATAGGCATCCCACATATAAAGCAGCGGAAGATGGGCACAGATGTTAGCTCAGGGCCAGTCTTCCTCAAAAAAAAAAAAAAAAGCCCCTTCATGTTTGCCCCTCACTCCTCTTCTTCTGAGGCCCCTGCCCTGACGTTCCTTCCCCTCTTCCTTACCTTTCAAAGTCCTTGCAATTCAAGCCCAACTCAAAGGCCCCTCCTCCTTGAGGCTTCCCTGGGCATCAGGCAGTGTTCACTGCCCTTTCCTCTCCGCTCCGCTCACAGCACCTACAACGTTCTGCCTTGGGGATGCGGCTGGTTGTTTACCTGGCCTCCCATTCAGAGGCCCTGCCTCCTTTATCTCCCTCCTGAACTAAGAAGGGGCTCAAGTTGATGTGAAGATGAAGGGAGCTGCCTGTGGGGCAGCCAGGACAGGAGGGCGCGGTTTGAGGGGGCAGGAAGGGAAGCACCCCCTCCCGTGGAGCAGCGGGGGATGCCCAGGGCCCTCAGAGGCAGCCGTGTGAGGCTGTGGAGCCAGAAGGCCCCAACTTGGATCTGGCTCTGCCCCTCACCAACCCCAGGTCTTGGGCCCCCAGCTCTGCACTGGCGTCCTTACCTGTAAACTGGACACAATGCAAGCACAGAGCTCCTGGGACAGCGCTGAGAAGGCGCTGGCCCGTGGGCGGTGCTGCTGCGTCATGACAGCTTCCCTCTGCTCTGCTCTGAGGCTGACCTTTACACGTTCTGGCTGCAGGGGGAGATTGGACTGCCAGGCCCTCCAGGACACGACGGGGAGAAGGTAAGAACAGACACTCAGACAAACCTCTCAGGATGGCCCTTGCTCAGGGCGGGAGGGGGCAGAAGGCCCTGGAAGAGGCCCCGGCGTGAGCCTGGAGAAGGGAGAAGGGGAGGAGAGTGGGGGCGGACCCTGCAGAAGTCCAGCTGATCCCCACACTGCTGGCCCAGGGGAGCCAGCTGACCCTCGCTGGGCTGGGCTCTCTGCCTGGTCCATTCAAGCACGAGGAGCTGGGTCCTCTGGACCTCCCATTCTTTCCTGTTCTCTCTCCTCTCTTCTCTATTAGTGTATCTAATAAGTGTGGTTGATATTTTCTAAAGGGACCTCGAGGCAAACCAGGAGACATGGGCCCTCCTGGTCCCCAAGGCCCCCCTGGGAAGGCTGGGCCTGCAGGAACGAAGGGAGAAGACGGACACACGGGGAGCCCGGGAGAGAAGGGGGAGAAAGGGGAGCCGGGGCAGGCAGGCCCACCGGTGAGTGCCCGGGCTGGCTGCCAGACAACTCTGCCCTGTGATGCATGCGCCACCCCCAGCATGAGCGCCACACTGTGCCGGTGCCAGCTGCCGCTTGGGCTGGGAACCTGGAGCCTAGAGTTGGGGGCGAGGGATTCACCCAGTTTCCCCTCAAGCCGCTTACCTCGTGAAGGCCAGTTTCCCACTTTAAGACTCCTGGGTCCTCTTCTGTCACCTCCTGTCTGTGTCCTAGGGGAATTCAGTGAGTCTGGCAGAGCCTCGGTTTCCTCATCGCTAAAACGGAGAGAACAGTGCCTTCCTGGGTACCAGGCTGGGTTGTTGGGAAGGCGATGAGGTCACGGGTGTAAATCTACCTCTCAGGAAAGCATGCAGAATCTCTATACCAGAAGAAGTCGCACGGACACAAAAAGGACCTTAGCCCAGTCCTGTTAGGCTGCTGGTTTGACCTGGAAGCCTTCTCTGAGCCTCAGTGGTTTCCAGTGTGGGCACCATCCCAGACACTGCCCTTGGAGGAAAGGAGCCATGTGTGCATGCCACCGTTGGTCACGGGTGCTCAGCGTGACGACCTTGCACTTGACTAACAGAGATCTTTGTCTATATGTAGGGTCTAGACGGCCCAACTGGGGAGAAAGGAGAACCAGGTGGCCAAGGGAGACCTGGAACAACAGGATTGCCTGGCCCAATCGGGCTCCCGGGATTTACAGTAAGGCGAGAGGGCTGGTGTCAAGGTTGTCAGCAGGCAGCTGTGGATGAGGGCAAACGAGCAGGGGCGCCCCTCAGTGTGGTCTCCAGCCCAGCGGGTGCCTGGCCTCACAGTGAGGCTGCGCTAACCCCTAGGCTGCCTGCCCGGCCTGGAGGGGAGAGGGGTGCCTCTGGATGAGCAGCTGCTCCCTAGGGGGCATTTGAGTGTAAACAGGGGCTCCAGCTTCTTCAGCTCACAGCATGGTGGCTCTGTCGTCAGGCGCCAATCCAGGTCAAAGGTGCTAGGATCTTAGACCGAGAATTCTCTGAGAAGTACAAAGAACCTCAGAGGTCAGCCGGTCCCACCTCTGATCCGGTGCTGGAATCTCTCAGGAGCCCCTGCCCGTGGCTGCCCCCCTCAGCTGGGACAGGCAGGCGGCTCACGGCCTCCTGACATGGCACCTCCACCGTGGGGCAGCTCCAAGCCAGGGGGATGCTCCTGGATGTGGTGTGGAAGCTTCCTCATCAACCTCCCCCATTGGCCCTCACTCTGCTTCTAGAGCCATATTTGTTTTCTGTGGCTGATAACAAATCATACAAATTTGATGGCTTAAAACACATACTTATTATCTCATAGTTTCTGTGGATTAAGAGTCCAGGCACATCTCAGCTAGGTCCTCTGCCCAGGGCCTCACAAGCTGCAGTCAAGCTGTGGGCCAGCTGCATGCTCATCTGGAGCTGGGTCCTCTTCCAGGCTTGCTGCGGTTGGCATAACTCTGTTCCTTGCTCTAGTGGGACTGCGTCCCTCAGCTCCCAGAGGCCACCCACCGTTCCCTGCCGCATGGCCTCCCCCATTGTAGGCGGTTCACATTATAGCAGCTGCTTCTTCAAGGCTGTGGCCAGCAGGAGTCTCTCAGTGTGTGCTAGCAAGGCAAAGTTCTTTGTGTGTGGTGTGTGTGTGTGTGTGTGTTTGTGTGTAACATATCTGTAACATAATCTTCACCTATGTTACATGGTATCATTTATATAACATACGTGCGTTATAGTTTGCAACATAATCACAGGAGTGACATCCCGACACTTGCCATATGTCAAATTCTGTTGGTTAGAAACAAGTCACAGGTCCACCCCAGGCTCTGTGCCCTGCGGGGTGCGTGCAGAATATCAGCCTCTCCTCACATGTGCTGGAACCTCAGGTTCTTGAAGACAGTGATCACGGGCCCTGCCCTGGTCCTCGTCCTTCAGGTTGACTACCCCCACAGCCTCCGTCCAAGGTGTTCCTTGCTGACACCCAGGCCTAGTCTAGTCCAGGTCTGATTTGCCACAGATTTGAGGATGTGTCTGTCCCAGGCTCCCCCGAGTGCTGGCACCCACGCCATGCTGTTTTGTGCCCACAGGGAGAGAAAGGAGAAGCCGGGGAGAAGGGAGACCCGGGAGTGGAGGTAGGTTGTGTCTGCTCTGCCTTCTGTGTCAGGGACCTCATCCCACCACAGTCTCTCCAGTGGGCACAGCGTGTCCTGACTCTAGAATGAAACTCGCCACTGCCTGATTCGGGGAGGGGGCGAGAAGCTGAAGGTTTCTGAGCACCACGTGGGTCAGCCATGGAACCTCAGGGCTGCTCCCCAGTTCCCCCATTAAGCAAATCCCTCAACGGCATTCGCAGAGCCCCCGCCATATTTCATTCCCGGTGCTAGAGCCTGGAGATAGGAAAATAAGCAGAACCAGCCCTGTGCAGCAACTTCCCCAGTAGTGGACGCTAGAATGGCAGCTGCTCAGGAGTCAGGTGAGGACCCCAGAAGATGGGTCATTTGAGCAGGGTCTTGAAGACTTTGTAGGAGTTTGCCTAGAAGCTCCCAAGGTAGGATTTCCAGAGAGAGACATTATCGTTTGAGAAGTGTGATGGTAAAGGGAAGAGGAGAGGTACTCAGGATAGAGGCCAGGTTATCATCAGGTGGGAGGGAATCAGGCATATTTGTAGGGTTGGGGGAAAGAGCCAGGAAAGCAAGAGGTCAAGGATGCACAAGGGAGAGGCTGTTTGGTGGGCGGGCCTGGGCCCCCCCAGACCCCACTACAGAGCTAAGGGATAGACCACTAAATCTTCTCAGTCCCCAGAGAGGTTCCCTGGCCCCTGTCACCTTCAGTGTCACCAAGCCCCATCTGCACTTAGTGAAACACACCTGATCATATAACCGCTGCATTACTTACTTGGAGACGGATGGCCTCCTAAAGAAATGCTCTGAAATTCAGGAAAAGCATTATGCACAAAAACGTTCCTTCCAGAAATATTTAAAGTAAAAATTGGAAACAGCCGACATTTCTAACAAGACGGAAATGAATAAATAACTTATGGCAACAATACTAATGGTAATAATAGTCCTCATGCTGGAGAGCTGTCCTGGTGCCAAGATCTGCTCCCAGCCCTGGCTGGGTAACCACGCACATTCATTCCGCCCACGAGCAGCACATCGGCCTAAAAGGAGGCTTGTGGGGAACATACAAAAAGCAGAAAAAATAGGTTTCAAGTTAAGTGAAAAAGAGCAGAGAACCAAGCTGTATACCTAATATCATCAAAAGTGTAGACATATTTAAATACATTTTATGCATCAAAAAAGAGTGGAAGGAAATACAGCAAAATATTAGCATTACTCAGAGATATTTATTCTTTTGTCTTCTTTCAATTCTCTTGAATGTATTAAACATTCTAATGAGTCTGTATTCTTTTTAAATTTTTTATTTTTTAAATTATCCAGTAAAACTGACTTGGGGGGGCAATGTACAGTTCTGTGAATTTTAATACATGCTTAGATTTGTATAACTACTTCCACAGTCAGGATAATGAATTCTTTATAGTAAGAAAAAAAGCAGGGAACTTTATTTTAAGGAAGTGGAATTTCTGCAGATTGAGTTCCCTCCAAGGAGACTGTGGGACTACAGACCTGGAAGGCCACAGCTCCAAGGGACGTTAGTGATGCCCTGTCTGCCCAGTGCGGGGGCTCCCTCTATGGCGGGCTGACGAGGGATCCCCGCCCGGGCCACTCTCGAGGGGATTCTGACCCTGGGAAGGCGAGGTGCCCGAGGACAGCCCTGGAGCCGAAGTGGGCTGACAGCTCAGAAAGGAGCAGGCAGCTCTGCTTCCTGCCTTTTGGGTGGCTGAGTGTGGACAAATAGATGTCCATCTTTGTCAGAGACAGAATCTGCAATGCACACCGTCCTCCGCAGAGAGGAAGAGTGCCCTGGCTTCCTCCGTCTTCACTGTCCACTCTGAATCTCTTCTACTTCAGCCTGCCTTCACGGTAAACAGACCAGTAGTCTCTGTTACAAACCTGAGGGGACTTGAGGAATATTCTTTAGAAACATCTCAGCCTCCTCCCATTCCAGATAACCAGTCTCTCCTCCTCTAAGCCAAAGGTCTCAAATTCAAATGGCTACAAGGGCCAGGCATGCAACAAATGAATATAAACGTCTAGGTAAAAGACAATAGGGAGTAGTGGGGACCAGGGTAGACTGAAGATCTCATGCCCCACCTGGAGGGGAGAGCTCTTATTCAGCTCCAGGCAATTATGACCATGCATGAACAAGAACATAGCGCTGCCATATTTTCTGGTTTTTCAAGAAAACCTGGAAGAATGGACATTTTGAGGGCATTTCCTGGCAATGTTTTTTTTTACAACATTGTGCAGGCTCAGGAGTTGCTTTGAGTTTCTGACCTGTTCTAAGCCTTCATTTGGAGACTGTATGCTGGGCAGTTCTGTCCTCCTCTGGTTTTGCAGTCCCCAGCTGGACCCTGGGCCACGTGAGAAGGGAGGACCCCTCAGAGTATGACAGAGGATGGGCTAACTATCTCCCTTTGGCTTCTAGGTTCCTGGGCCACCAGGGCCAGAGGGGCCTCCTGGACCTCCGGTAAGTTTGGAGGGCTTGTCAGTGTTTCAGTCCACTGTGATTGTGTCCCTAATGTCCCCTCCCCACAGCAGTCACTGGGCTCAACCTGAGCCTTGGTTCATACCACCTTCTCCTCCCAGGGCGGATTTTCTCGTCCACAAATCCTTCCCAGCTCCTCTTCCCTCCCACGTTAAACAGGCACCTTCTCGGTGACACTGAGGAGCCTGGGCCTTGCCCAGTTTGCTGGAAACAGTTGACGGGCACAACAGCCCAGGGTCTGGTCCCACAGCCCTGCAGGAGTTGCTCTGTCACTAAACTCTGCCCTTTGCCATCAGACATCTGCTCCTTCTCTTCCTCCTTCCTGCTAACCAGCTGGCAGGAAGACCAGGATTAAAACTGAAAGTGGGCCATTTAGAACCAGCCCCACTGGACTGGCCTCTCCATGGTTACAGATGATAAGATGAGGCCTTTAAAGGGACCTCTTTGTGTTGCACCTAGAGGGCCCCCAAGCATCCTAAACCAACAGATGCTGGTCCTTGCCCCTGCAGAGTTCAGGGTCCCTGTGACACTATGTCACCTGTTGTCACTGGTAGAAGTAGCAGTAGTAATGACAATGATAGAAGCCAATGTGTGTTGAAACTTGCTATGTGCCAGACTCTTCTGTAAGCACTTTGCACATGTTAATTTCTCTAACTTTTCCTGGGGGTCTCTGCAAATCATGAGACTCTGGTTCAGCCATGGGGGCCACAGAGAGATTCCCAGTCAGTGCCAGGCTGGGGAAGCCCGGCTCAGCCCCACCCCAGCGAGCCCCCAGCACAGCCCCCCTTCAATCCACTTCCACCTCCCCAGCAGGGACCCCTGGCCAGGCTCTGCGCCTCAAGCCCTTGCTGTTTTATGGTCCAACTTGTGGACAAGGAAGTTGACTTAAACAGAAATGCGGTTCTGAGGTGCCTTGTTTTGATTCCAAATGCAGGGGCTCCAAGGTGTTCCTGGACCAAAGGTAAGAAGAGGTCCTATGACAGGTGCTGGCCCAGGGGTACGGAGGGGGCTGCATCTCGGTGAGGGCAGAAAAGAGGGAAGGTGCTTCCGAGGCAGGCAGCCCAGCTGACCCCTTCCCTAAGTGGAATCATGTGACACTCCAGCCAGTAGGCTATGGTCAGGATAGACTGAAGTCCTGTGGTCCCTTTAACATCCATCATTGACACCTTGTGTGCTTTGGGTTTAGAATTTTCCCATCCATCAATCGACCCTACCAAGTGACAGGTTAGAGTCTTAGCAAATGATGAAATCCTCTTACCATGTATCCTGCCCCAGACCCTTCACTCCCCGTGAAGTTTGGTGGGAGACAGAGAGTGACATAGCATGGGACCCATCCCAGGGACCAAGCCTACTGGACTCTGGCCTGGGGCTTTCGCAGTCAACCTCCCAAAGCATTTCAAATGAATAAGGGAGACTGGAGGCTGCTGGTATGACAGTGACCCTTGCCTCCTTCCCTGACATTCTTCAGGAGACTATTAGACAATTTCTTTTCCTAAATAATTTGGGAGCCTCAGAGCTCCAGTGGTGGCATTTCAAGCATCTGCCAGCCAATCTCTGCAGGGTCCCAATTTACCTGCCATGCAAACGGTCACCTACGCCAAAGCCTGACCTGGAACTGCACCATCGGCTTGTGTCCACTCCACTCATCCTTTTTCCCTTTGGGGACCTCAGAGTTACTACAGGGATGCAGGGGTCTCTAGCAGAGGCAGAGCCAGGCTAAGAATTCAAGGATTCTTGGAGGACCAGCCTACCACCCCTGTGCCGGCCCCTCCACCTTCTCCTTCCTCCCTCCTCTACCTGCCCCGCCATCACCTCCCACCCCTGTCTCCGGGACCCCAGAATGCAAGAATGAGTGTGGTCTGGGACATGCCCTCCTGTGATCTCCCCTGTCTCCCTTTCCTTCAGGGGGAAGCAGGACTAGATGGAGCAAAAGGAGAGAAGGGCGTCCAGGGAGAAAAAGGAGACCGAGGTCCTCTGGGATTACCCGTAAGTATTGCGGACCCAGCTGGACTCTTGTGAGGAGGCCAGACGGGTGATCCCGATGAGGGGCTGGGCAGGGCCCCGGGAGAAGGCCCCTGGAAAACTCGAGGTTCTAAAGTTCTGAGCATCCCCAAGCTCTGTGTGGTTTCACTTTCCCACCTGAGCAGGACCGTAGGCTCTAATCCTCTCACTGAGGGCCTCCTCTGGGCCAGGCCCTGGTCTGGGGGGAAGTCAAAGCTGGAAAAGGACAGGGTCCCCCACCCCAAGGAGCACCCAGCTGGAGAGTCAAAGGCGGCCTGACAACAGCCTCAGGCCCTTCTCGTGGCTGATTAAAATCTGCCCTTGCAGGGGCCAGGCTTGGAGGACTTGGGAGCAGTGGGACAATGGAGTGTTTGCCATCTCTCTCCTGTTTTCCCTGAGGGACCCCAAGAGAGCCCCCACTCTTTGCTCTTAAGCACTGGCCATGGCAGAAAAGCTTGTAAAAAGTCAGATTCTCTGGTCCCAGTGGGCTAAGGCCACTCAGATCCCGGTTCCACGAGGTCTCCGACCTCAGTCTCAGCTAGAGACCCCAGGTTGGGCAGGGGTGGAGGGCTGCTCAGAAGGCGCCGCATTTCCAGACGCGCAGCCTGGGTGAATCCTTTGCCCCAAGCTCCCCTGGGCTGATGGCCTCATCAGGGCCTCACCTGCGTCTAGGTGAGCGTATCTCAACGCCATCCTGGAGCCCTGGGCTCATCCTCACCACACCCCAGTGAGATGGGCAGTCTTTTTGGTTTGTTTTTCAAGATCTGGAAGGGACTTTAGCAATCCAGTTAATCATTTTACTGATAAGCCTAGAGAAGACAGTGAGTCACCTGAGGTCATACATGAAGTCGGTGGCTGGGCCAAGCTGCAGGCTGCTCATCCACTGAGGCCACGGCCTCCTAAAGGGGCTCCTTCCAGCCACTGGGGCTTCCTCTATCCCGGGCACCGGGCCAGTTCCCACCCCAGGAAGCTGTAAAGAGCAGGGGAACAATGGGAAGCCCAGTTACCCCAGCTTGGCAGAGCCTGAAGGTCTGGTTAATGTCATCGCAACAATTGAACAGCTAGAGCTGAAGGTATGTTACAGCCACGTTAGTGCGTCAAATGTGGACCGTTGAAGGAGCTGATGCACTTGACAGACTGCAGAGGACTGATGACTTTAGCAGGCATTTTCCCACGTCTTAGGCTGCGTCAGGAATGATTAAGTGCTCCTTACTATTAAAGAGCCTTCTGCCCCCACCCAACCACAACTCTCTCCTTGTCCACCTTCATGGCCCCAACAGCCCTGGTGAACATTGGAGAATTCAGTCAGGGGTTGAAAAGGAGACAGCACAGAGACCAAACAGGTAACATAAACAGAGAAAGTGCCAGAGGAAAGACAAAGAATCCAGTCTGTCTTTAATTTTTCAGCTTTTGTTAGAGACATGGCTATAGAGAAATACTTTTGCTACCTTAAGAAAACAACAGAGCAAGCATATTCCTAGGAGGCAACTAACATGGACTTTGGAGAACAATAGGGAGTGGTGAGGACTGTGGCGCACTGGAGACCATGTGTCCCTTCTTTAAGAGAGCAGCCGCTTCTCAGTTCAGCGCACTGTTGCCCTAGGGGAATGAAGGTCCCATATTTCTGAAAAATTTCTAGTTTTTCAAAGAAGGCTGGAAATCTGGCATTTTATGTGAAATCTCTCTCATTTTCTAACATTAAATCAAAATTACTTGCAACACTGCAGACCATCCGAAATAATGTCAGTGGCCCACATATGGCTTGAAAACCTGCAGTTGTGCCCCGTGCTCCAGATAACTCAGTATTAATGCTACATAGACAAAGTTTGTGGATATTTAGCTACAGTTCTATTTTTAGGCTTCACCTCAACATTTTCTTCCATATAGCAGCAGCCTCTTTTTCCTGGCATAGCCTGTTGAGTTCCTGTTTGCCCCACACAAGTGGCTCTCAACACTGGCTGCACATCGGAGTCACCTGAGCCTTTCAAACATGCCGTTACCCTGGCTTCATTGTTGGAGACTCTGGTTAAATTGGGCCAGGGTGGGGCCCAGGCATCTGTATGACATTACATCTCCCCCAGAAAACTCTGATGTTGCAGCCGAGAGAGAACCACAGCTCTCTAGACTATGAGTCAAGATCGTCCCCGAATTATGTGGTCCTAAAACTGAGAAGCGAGGCCCTGTAGGATCCTCCTACCCAACACACTCTCCCCAGGAGGGAGCAGCCCCCTGCCCTCCCTTTCCTGGAAGCATTGCCCCACCTTTAAGATCCTGAGGCCTAAGCTCATTTCTGAGGCTCAGTCAGAAGCAGTTTTCAAAAACTCAGTCCTTTCTGGGCTAGAGGGCCCCCATTGCCTTCTCCCTGGTTTGTCACGTTGGAATCATCAGATTATTTCCCCCTCAACCTCCTAGGTGGGTCACAGGGGCCGCTTCATAGCCCAGCACTGGAGCAAGAGCTCCCATTCCCACTGCATATGTCACTGGCTGCCACATAGTGAGTGGGTCTTAATAGCATCCCGCCTGCCAGCCAGTTTACTCCAGACCTCTGTCCCAGTCAGCTGCCCCCAAAGCCTTTTCCTATAGAAGAGCCCTTGTCTGGGATAATAAAAGTGGATTGAGTTTGTGTTGACCTTTGGAAACTGTGAAGGGCCAGGGAAATGTCAGGCGTCATTAGTATTATCGTTCAGGGCCCACTCCTCCCACCCGGCTGAAGCAGAAGTGGGCCAGCTTCTACCCAGGTTTCAAAGCCAGGTGCTGTACCCCAGTGCTGATCCTCTTGGGGTTCCCCAGTGTGGCCGATTCTCAACAGCTATGCAAAAGACATTGGGAAGACCACCCTCACAGGGCCCCACCTCCATGGCTTGTCCCTCCCCAGGGAGACTAGTCCTGGGAAGGATGTGTTCCCTCTGGTTCCAGACTCCTCTCATGAGTTAACGTTCTTATCCCTTTCCCCGGAGCCCTGCAACCCCTTGGGAGAGGGTTTCTGAAAAGGGATAAAAGGAGAGAGCGGAGCAGGGGGCACAGAGGATCAGAACGGCCGTCTGCACTGATCAGGACCCAGCCTGCTCAGGAGTTGGCCACACTGCATTCAGCGTCTCCGTGTTTTTGTTGGTTTCCATGTGAATACCATCACCTGTCCTCCTGAGCTTATTTCTCCCGTTTTGTTTGATTACCAGCATTTATGTCTGTCCAGAGTCACTGCTTCACTCACCTCTTCCCTCCCCGGTCCCTTTTTCTCCCTCCCGTTCCTCCCCTCCCCTTCTTTTGGTCAAACTGTTCCCTTCGTCCAGGGAGCTTCAGGTTTGGACGGCAGGCCTGGGCCACCGGTGAGTGTCACTTCTCCATTACCCCTCACTCCACCCCACCCCACCCCCAGCCTGTGATCCCTCTCGTCTGTCCCGCTGTGGCCCTTTTTTCCCAGTGAGTCATGCCTTATCCCACCACTGACACCACAAAGGTACCAGCTTTGCTCAGTTCAGAAGTGCTTATGCAGGCCTCTTGACCAAACAGAGTGGCCTTCATCTGACTTCGCCTGTCCATAGTATGCACTCAAGGTCCTCAAATCTGAATTTCCGCTCTGCTGGGCAGGGGGTAGAAGGCCACTCCAGCAGCCCAGCCTCTGTTCCTAAAAGAATGCTGAGTTCAGCCTGGGAGCCCAGCCCTGGGGGTTTGGACCATGACACATCCCCACCAAACACAACAGTCTCTGTATGTGCCCGTCGTGCTGTGTTGTCTTCATGCTGTGAGCTCTGTTCATCTCCTGTCTGCCGGTGAGGGCTTCCTAGTCCTGTGCAGCCACCAGCCTGGTGTGTATGGGTGGGGACAGCACTGAAAGGTGAGGGCAGGTGTAGCATTTGGGAGCACACAGGCCAGTCCCAGCTCAGTGTTCCATGCGCATCTTACAACTTGACCTTTCACTTCCTGTGGTGCCACAGCTGCCCTGCAGCCCAACAAAGGGGTTTATACAAAGCAAATGAGGGACACTTGGGTCCCCTTTTTCTCCATTCTTCCTGACTCCAGAAAACAGGCATCACCTACTCATGACTGAAATGCACCTGGCCTTCTTGTGAGAAACAAGTGAAGCATCAAAAGGCACGTCCCTCTTCTCCACCTTCCAGTCCCCCCAGAGCACCCCATGAGGTCTTCAGGGCAGTGGCATTCCTGACGGAAGCCTGTTACCTTCCCATGATGTAGGGATCACTGGCCATCAATGGCCAGGAGGCTGGACTTGCCTGTTTGGGAGCCGTAACCAGAGCTGTCCGTGTGCCCAGCCCTGGCCAGCCGGTGAGCTCCAGCTCTGCCCCTTCAGGACACTTTTGAGGCCACAGATGCTTGGTCTGCTTAGAAGACGAGGTTCTAATGAGCTGGCTGGAGTGACACTCGGGGAAGATGAGAACTTGCAGGGGTTCGTTTGCAGAGGGGAGGACGTGCACACAGGGCGGAGGGAGATGTCAGAGCACCGTGGCGGCAGGACTTCCCGGGGCCTGGAGGTGGGCCTCAGAACTGACACCAGCAGAAGCCTAGAGCTCTCAAAGTCAGATGACCGAGAGTGACCCCACTCAGGGCCTCGTCCTATTGCATGCCTGTTCTGTGCCATCATAAAGAAGAGGAGGGGACGTGGCTGCCCAAGGTGACATCTTTTTCTGAGCCCCTCTCCCCACGCATTTATGGAGTTGATGCTGTAGACTCTGACAGACAGAGAAGATACCAATTTTGCAGACATTATTTTGGCTTTGCTTCTCCATCACAGTCCCCCCTTTCCATCCTCCTCGCTCCTGTCACACCTTTCCCAGGTGGCCCGTCAGGGCTAGGGGATGAATCAGAGAGACACGACATTCCTCTCGACTACTTATTCCATTCATGTTGGACAGAGGAGAGCAGTGAAAATTCATATATTCTGTTCTCTTTGGACCTGAGGTTTTATTTTTCTCATAAGATCAATATCACAACCTTAAAGGAAAATGTTTGTGGGAGGAATAGTCCTGCCTGCCAGTACTAACGTTTACTGGGCACTTCCTTGGTGTCAGGCCCATTGCCAAATGCATGACATGCATTCACCCATTTTAACCTGACAGCAGCCTAGGAGGTAGGCACTTGTTATCATCCCCATTTTACAGGTGGGAAAACTGACCCTCAGGAAGGCCGAGAAACTTCTCCCGTATCTCAGAGTTTATAGGCCTTCGAGGCAGGACTTGAAGGTGACCAGCGCCTCTGGAGTTCTGAACTGTCACCCTGATCTGGCCTCGTTCGTTTTTGACGTTCTTGTGTCCCAGATGCCCACAGCTTTCCTTTTTCTCTCGTGGTTGTAGAGGGGGCACCGAGAATGTCTTATTGCTCTTTTTTTCTTCCATGTAAAGGAAACCAGCATTTCCCCACTTGCTCCTGCCCGGCCTTTCGTAGCTGTGGCGGAGCACCACCACGCACTGCCCATAGGCCCAGCCCCGTGTCTTCATGGCCCCATCTGAGCAGGAAATATAAACACTGAGGCAGAGCCATAGGAAGCTCTGAAATACAGACTCTATGTCGTGAGGCCACAAATTGGGAACCTGGGGAAGATGTTTAATTGTGGCTTAGGAAGCCCTGCTTGTCTCTAAGCAACGCAGCTCCTGTCACTCCAGCTGCCCCAACCCACCCCGGCCCCCCGCCCCCGCTGTCCCTAGTCAGGAGCACTTACGGCACACCTCCCTGCCAGGCCAGTGTCAGCAGCCCCCCAAGGCATGCTAATTCACTGTCCAGTCCACCTGTTCCATAGGGCCTGGGAGTGAGGACGGAAGGCCCGGCCGGAGGCTGAAGGCCAGGGATAGGCCACGGTGGGAGTGGGGGAGGTATGGCTTACGACCCTCCCACGCCTGCCTCTGTTTGTGCGTCTGCATTGGTCTCTGTGGCATGAAGACCCTCCCGCTGCATGTGGAGCTGCGACAGCAAAGGGGTGCCAGCCCCCGGCCCCCACCCCTGGGATGGCATCAACTCCCTCCCAAGCGCTTCTGGGAGCAAAATAAGCAACCATTCTCCTACCGTTTTCAGCCTTGGCAAGCTTGGTTGTGAAGCAAAAGGGTTTCCTTCCTCGAATCTGGCTCTGAGGGAGGGGAGAGGCACTCTCTCCCGAGGCCCCCAAACCCAAACAGGAATGCGGCCCAGTCGAATGACCGCCCCGAACAAGCCTGGCCTCGCCAACCCTGAAAACTGGGCCTCTGGACCTTGCTCATCTCCAGGCATCGGGCGGGCCTCCCAGGGCTCCCTACAGCGTAAGGGCCCTCACCTCTGCTTTCTCTCACCTCCCCAGGGTACTCCAGGACCAATCGGAGTCCCAGGCCCGGCGGGACCAAAGGGCGAGAGGGTGAGTGCTCAGTGGGCTGGAGCCTGGGCGACCAGGAGGAGGGAAGCGGCCCGTCCTCAGCCCTGGTGCCTGTGACCCTCAGGTCACCAAGTCAGCCCCCAGTCCCAGCTCTCGCCCGCGTCTCCTACACCTCCATCCGTCTCTCCTGATGATCCTCGCCAGAGCCTTGGGGGAGCCGGCCAGCCCGGGGGTTCGTTTTGTAGCTACGAGTGGACAGAGGCTTGGAGAGCTTCCTCCTCTCAGCTTCTGTCACCTGCCATCAGTCACAGGCTCAGTCTGGCAAGGCCCTGGGCGCGGTTGGCACCAGAGAGGCCTATGATTTAGAGACAGCATGGAGAGAGTGCCAGGTGGTGTGAAAAATCCTAGGGACACCAAGAAGTCAGGAGGCCAGGCGTTAGGCGGGCCCCGCGGTCCCCGTCCCCTGAGCTCCAGCCGCGGGGTGCGGTATACGCAAGGTGAGGGTGCGGGCGGCAGCACAGAGGAGGCGGGAGCGCTGCGTGTCCTCTGCATGTCCACTCCTCCCAGCTGGCCCGGTTTCCACATGTTCAGGGCGTGGATGGCCTTGGTGCTGGCCCTCCGAGTGGGCGGCCATCCAGCTTGGCCTGTGCGAGCTCCTCTCCCTGCTCCCGGGCCGCCCACCTTTCGGACTCTGCCCAGGGCAGGTACTGCCCGCCTCGCTCCCACACCGCACAGCCAAGTGGGGAGCTTTTGAAGAGTGTGGGAGCATAAAATCCTGGAGGTCACCAGCCACTTGGGGAACCAGGATGGCAGCTCTGAGGGGTGACGCTTGCAGCTTCAAAGAAGAAATCAAAGCTGCCTTTCTCTTCCCTTTCTCTCCTTCCTGTCCGTGCCCAGTTCCTCCTCCTTGTTCTCCTGTTTATGCCTCCAGCCAGCCAGTGTCCCCAGCACACTGCCAGTCCTTCCAGAGGTCTTGGGGGAAAGTCCCTGCTGGAGGGAGGGTGAGGGGGTCTTCCAAGCCCCCTCCCCAGGGCAAAGTCCACACTAGTCACCCCACTTTCTGTTCAGCCCTTGCTTCCTGGAGGGGACTGGAGAATTTTTCCCAGGTTTCATACAAAAAAAGAAAATGGTTGATGGAAGGTTGTTACCATGTCAGGAAGGGCTCATGGGTCTCTTTCTCCCATTTCAGGGCAGCAAAGGTGACCCTGGGATAACAGGACCAACAGGAGCAGCTGGGCTTCCTGTAAGTCTCCTGGGATCAGAGGTTTCTTTCTACTAACCCCCGTCCCCCAACAGAAGCAGTGTCAAAACAGGGTACCCAAAGCCTGGAGCAAAAAATCTAGGGCCAAGGGAGGATTCTCGTTTCTATGACAGAAGCTGCCAATATAGCCCACTGATCTACGGCACTGGACCTTCCCTGCCGGGCACCGCTCAAGAAAACCCCGAGACACGTGGCCCCTGTCGGGGGTTGGGTCCTCAGTTGAGTGTACATACCGTCTAACGGGATGTAGCAAACACGCCCGAGCCTCTTCCACGGCAACCCTCTGAGTTCAGTGCAGTGAGGGTCTCACAAATGAATGCGCCACTGCCCCTGCCCTCGAGGAGGGGCAAAATCCAGTCCAGATCACTGTAACGCAAGACGGAGATGCCTCGTGAGAGGAGCAGCTTTCCCAGGCGACTACCTTTCCACCGGCAGCAGGTTTTCCCAATGCTTGGTTATCAAAGTTGATGGCCTGAGAAGCCAGGACTTTTGTCTCCCACACCTTGCAGGCTGTACATCTGCTCTCTGGTCTGTGCTCTCCTGACCGGGCGGCTTTGCTCTGGCTAAGTAGGCAGCTTGGCCAGTCTTTGCCTCAGGCTCATTCCCCAAGCCGAAGACATGGAGAGCAGCCCGTACCTGAAAAGAGGAACTTTGGAGTCATTTTTCTAGCAAGAGCCTGGCCGGAGAGCCATATGAGCACCTCCCCTGACAGGAGAGTTCTTGGCGCCCAGACCTTGTCCTCAGCACCAGTCGCTCCTCAGTGTGAGTGTTCTAGAAGGACACCGCCTCAGGCCAGGGCTTGGCTGCACAGCAAGAAAACCAGAACCGTGTTCTGGGCTTGGCCCATAACTCATTATGTGTCTCTCGGTCACATTCCTTGGGCAGCTTTCGGCTTTGTCCCCCTTCTGTGAAATGGGGATAATTAAACCTGTCTCCGATGAATTAGGCATCAGTGAAGAGCCTGGAAGGAAGGAAGGAATGGCCATCCTGCATTTTCTCATTAACGTGTCTTCATTTCTCTGATTTACTGCAGGGTTTACATGGACCACCCGGGGACAAAGGAAACCGGGTGAGTCTGAACTCCGCACTTTGGCTCTGGTTACTAATGCCTTCATGATGTGGTGGAATGATCAATTGGTAATTCCTGACCCAGCGCGGCAAATACAGTTTTTCCTGATAAATCATCCTAAATTAAAAGGCTTTATAGTGAGGGGCTTAATCCATGGCATGCAGGGAGCCTGGGGTCTAATCTCGAAATTGAAGCATGTGTTTTTCTGCATGACGGGGGGAGACTGAATCCCACAGTGACCATCAGGTTAGCATTGCCATCCAGTAATGGGAGTCACGTGCCCAGCTCTCTCTATATTGCCCTGATAATGGCCCCCTAAATGATATTTTTAAATCCATCATTACCTAGTCCTACCTTCTGAAACTTAGTTTCACCAGGCATTCCAGGCCACTGGTGAGAGAGAAAATAAATTTCATTTCTGAGAACAAGAAGACAACTCTTGCAAGCGGCCGATCCTTTAAAAAGAATCACAGCCACTATTTCTCTTGGAAAGAGTCGGCAGGACTGGAAAACAAATTGTGCCTTCCGAGGCCCCCTTGCTCTCCCTTTGGTTTCTGCCATCTTCACCAGGACACAGTTATTGAATGTCCACAGCACAGTGCTATATGACACGTGCCATGTATATGACACATGACATATTTGGGCCCAGCAGGGATCATTTAACTACATCTGACCAAGAGATGACCTTTGCGTGCCTTTCTAGAATGTTTCCTCTGCTGCTTCATCACAGTGGTCCGCACAGTACAACACACGCCCCCTAGAGGGGCAAGAGCATCTTCTAGTGGGTCACAATATCCAAGGGCCTTAGAGGTAGAAGAGAAGGGGCAGGAAAAACAGATGGAGAAACAAGGCCCAGATGGATGTTAAATATACTGGCTTCCCAGAGCGTTGGAGGCAGAGCAGTGGCTTCTAGAACCCAGGTCGTCTGGCTGATCTTTGAACATTGATAACCATGTTGATGAATAGAAATTGCCAGAATCTGTATGCTTATATCTGGCACTAGTTCCAGTGTCTTCAATTTAAGATGTATTTGTTGGGCAATTCTATATCCCTAAATTCTCCTTTCTGGAAGCTGGTCAAAAGTGATTCAGTTTGTCCCATATGTTCTGTAAAGAAGAAGGAGCAGGCAGAGCTCCCCCACCAGACCGTCCATGGGAGACCAAGTCTGGAAACCACTGGCATTAAACAGACCTCCATCCAGAGCTGCACCAGCCTGTGAAGGCAGACTGGGAAGCCCACCTTCTTTACTGCGGCATCAAAGAACTTAGGCCACTAAAAAAATTGATCATTCCTCCTCTTAGTTGGCATGCTAACTTCCTTTCTAATTTATTTCTAGTGTTCTGATTTTATTATATTCAATTAATACTTTTTAAACCTATTTCTTAAGACTTTTTCAGTTGGCTTGAGGCACTGAGCCATTTGCAGGCCGCAAGGCCAGCCCTTGCAGTGACGGTCACTGTGTTGCTCTAGAGGTGGGGGCAGGGCGGGCCAGTGCCCTTGTCACCGGCAGTGGGGAGGTGGGGAGCCGGAAGCTCTGATGTTTAAGGAACTGAGGTCATGGAATCAGCCAGGAACACTCCAGGAATCAGTGGGAAATATCTCTTCTCCACTTTCCTTCTCTAAGGTTTTACGCACTTTTCCCTGTCCCATATATAAATTAACAATATGTCTCTTAAGTCAAGTCCAGAAAGCAGTCAATTTGCGTGAAGCTTCTTTCTTTGAGTAGACCGTAAAGACCAGCTGACTTATTCCAAAAAGCAGGTTTCTGGATCAAGGAACAGCTTATTCTCTCTATCCAAGAGATTTGACTCTGAAGATGCCAGGATGTCCTGGAAGAGTCCCCCTACATGTCCCCGCCTCATTCAGGCCTCTCTAACTAGCAGCCCTAACACAGCTTTTGGGGGGAGATGTGAGGGCTTGGTAAGAAAGCCTCCAAAACAAAGAAAGGTCCAAGCAGAGTCAGCGCTTTGCCATGGACACCTGTTTCTGATGCCTGGAAGCTCAGAATACTGACACCTTGGACGAGGTAAAAAGCCAGAAGGGCCTAGATGACATTCTGGTTAGAAGCTTCATTGTTGCTTGTGAAGGTGAAGCTGGAGAAGTTCAAGCCCGCCACCCCCGCCGGGTGTGAGGGGGCTGCCTGCACAGCTGCTCCCAAACCTTGCCCCACGCCAGGGGCTCCAGCAGGTGCGCCCCAGCCTGCTGTTCTATCTCACAGTGAACTGAGACAATCTGAAAATAGTGCTTCTTCATGTCCCACCCAAGGACCGCCGTGGAGCCTTTCTCCTGTCCATGGAAGGAGGGAGGTCGCATAGTGCTGGGCAAGCCCCAGAGCCCAAAACAGGCAATTCTCTAAGGGGAGACACGTCAGGGAAAAGAATGTTCTGCCCTTGTCACTAAGGGCTCCCCCTTGTCCCTTAGCAGCTCCATGAATCTGGCCCAGGAGCCACTTTTAGGATGAAAAAATTGGTCAAAGGATAAAGGGTAGAAAGAATTTAGCAGTTTGGGCATCAGGAAAATTGGGTGTCACCGTGGAGCTGCCTGCAAGCCAGCCAACTGAAAGGTCTAAGTAGATGCAGTGAGGCGCTGTCCCTCTCCAAGACGCGCCAGCCGCGGGGCGTGAGAGTGTGTGTGTGTGAGAGTGCATGTGCATGAGTGGGCAGGAGTGGGTGTGCACACAGGCATGTGCATACGTGTGTGAGTATGGGGGGTGTGTGTGTGTGAAAGTGTGCATGCATGAATGGGCAGGAGTGGGTGTGTGCACAGGCATGTGCATACGTGTGTGAGTGTGGGGGGGTGTGTGTGTGTCTTGCTTCCAGGTCCCCCCTGCCTCCTTACCTCTCCTTCCTCTCCCATCTTTTTTGGCCTTGGCCTTCCTCTTCCTTCCTTCACTCCTTCAGCATTGCTCCCCCTAGATGTGTTCACCCCATTATAATATCCCATGTCCCTCCATCTTTCCCTTCCACTCCCCAGCTTTAATTTATTTCCTCTAAAATCAATTTTTATACATTTTTTTAAAGAATTCTCTGCTACTTCAATGTTATGAGCCCCTTTCCCTGTACAAGCTAGAGCTCCCCCTTCCCCAGGGCCTCTTTCATGTCACTCTTTGGGGTTGGAGGCAAGAAGGATGTTGGTAAAGCTTCCACTCTAATGTCTTCAAAGGACACCCAATTTAAGACCATTTCCTCTGCCCTTACAAGACAGCCCCATAGTGTGAGTTACCCATTCTCAAAGTCAAGGCCACGCAGACCCTCTGTCACCCACAGGCAAATCTCCAGGACCTGGGACCCCCACTATTCTGGAGCTTTGCCCACCCTCTGAACTTAGGAAACTGTGCTCACTTCCAGACTGGCCTGACCCGAGGAGAACGAGGGACCACACTCCTGAGAAAGTTTACCCCAGGGCTACCCCAGCCAACAGCTCCTGGTTTTGCTTGTCCACTGCTTGGGGATCATTCACGCCATGATGTTCTCATTGGTGGACGTATCTCAGAGCCAATGAAATTACACCTAGTATGCATGCACATTTCCTCTTAAAAACGTATTATTTTCCAAGCAAACATTTGCGTTTTAGGAAACTTACTTAAAACAAAGCATTGGCAACTACAGGAAACCTCTGGAATCAAGAAATCTGAGTAGTTTCCAAAGATCCAGGGAAACATCAAAAATATTCTTATCCTTTGCCTGCCTCTAAGGAACCCTGCACCCTTCCATTTCGGGGACACGGGGACATGGCAAGACCACACCTCCGGTGGCAGCCTTGGATCCTACACTAGCTAACAAGAAATGATCGTCGTTACTGTTCCCGTTATGAGGCAGCTCTCGTGTACTGAGCACATACTGTACGCCAGTCTTAAGCATTTAATGTGCATGAAGACCTCACAGCAAGGTTTTGAGGCAGGGGTTATTATCCACATTTTACAGGTGAAGAAACTGAGGCTTGGAGAGGTTCAGTAATTTCCCAAAGTCACGCTGCTGATCGCGGGCAGAATCTGCTCTCACTCTGAGTCTTTGCCCTGAGCAACGTGCTGCCGCCTTCAAGGTCTTGTTGCCTGGAGTAACGCTGTGGAAGTCCCCCAGCATTGGACAATGGGCCTGCTGGAGAGGAGAAGCGCTCCCGGGAAGACTCCCCCGGGGCACAGGGCCCCTTTCTAAGGAACCCAGCACAGGAAAATCCAAACTCAAATTCATTACAAAGAACTCCCCACAGCCCTTCTTTAGTTAGAGAGAGACGATGACACATACAAAATGGATTTCAATTTAGAAAGATGATATTTACTGAAGCTTTTCAGAAACAATTGAATTCCTTGAACCAGCATGTCCAGATACAAATAGCTGCCCATGACTTCAAACCAGGATGGGCCAGAGATACACGTAGAAGGAGAGGACCCAGCTGAGGACCCAGGGCCACCCATGAGCCCTGGACACACACGTGCATATATGCACTTGTGCACACACGCACAAGCACACACTCATACATGCACATACACACACTCATGTATGCACCCGTGCACATGCAGGAGCACATACACACTATACACCCATGTGCACAGCCTTGTATGTACACACATTCATACATGCTGTGTTCACACACACCTGCCAACAAACACATACCCCAGGGCTCTAAACAAAATCACCTTGCCTCCTGATAGAATATCAAAGGATGACAGCCAATTGGGACAAAAGTTGTCAAGCCAAAGTCTTTCAAAAATGGACCCTTAAAGAGAGGAAGTGGGTCCTCCCGTTCATCACAGACCCACTCCGGGCTCAGTGTTAGCAAAACTGGCCACTGGTATCTTCCACCTGCGTCTCGCTCCGCTTCCAGCTCTTAGCCCTCCAGCTCCCTGCCCCTTGCCTTAGCTGGATTCTCAGGTTCTTAGAAGGGTGGGGTGGGTACTGACCCCAAATCCTATTGGGGAGAATATCCTAATTGAAATAATCTATATTTCCCTCTTTAATTTTGTTTTCTTTTTCCTTTTCTGCGACCTTAACACATGAATGATCCTAAAGTTTTGATATTTTTTTTCTCGGACTAATCCATTGTTTACAGGGGGAGAGGGGGAAGAAAGGCTCTAGAGGGCCTAAAGGGGATAAGGGAGACCAAGGAGCGCCTGGATTAGATGCCCCCTGTCCGTTGGTATGTTTTCATTTGTCACTTGTATTGTTCTGGTTTTTTTCCTTGAGGTTTGCAAGTTGGAAACAAAGAAGGCAAATGAACTAAGATGAGAACCGAATGCTTACACTGATGCTACTAAAATCTGTCTGTTCATCTGGCCGGGGAAATTCTGCCTGCTGTTGGTGTTGCCCTAAAACCACAGCTGCACATAATTCTGGCTAAATCCCCTTCTTTTAAAGATGCAGAACAATTGGTGTGTGGGAATGGCGAAACCGCGAGGAGAGCGATTTTGGAAAAGGACTCGGCTCTTAGCGCCAATGATGGCTTCGGAAGCCAGTGTAGCATTTGTGAGCCACGCATTTGCCTTCTTCGTTTGGTGGCCACCTCTGTGGCCAGCAGTTCAAGTTGTCGGAATCCTCACTTGGTCAGGATGCAGGACGCCAGGGTTAGTGTCTCCTGAGGGCCACCTATGCCCAAAACTGGGCAGAATGAGGCCAGCAAGGGGACTTAGCGTCCCCACTAAGGCCATCCGGCTAAACATGCAGAGCTGCAGACCAGAATCAGTAGACAGACACCCCCAGGAACCTTTCCCCAACCAGCCAGTAAGGACTGATTTGTGGCACATCTGCTGGCCTCCTCAGGTGCCTTCACAATCCATCTGAAGGTTCTGAAAATTGTGATGCGCCAATGTTGAAGTTAATCTGTGTTTACTCCAAGTGAGTCTTTAAGTGGACAGGGGGCTGGTTGTAGGGGTTTCAAAGCTCAGCTCTCCTAGAAGCAAAAGAGAGCACAGGGGTTGAATTTGGTAGATGGTGGTCACCGGAGATTTGGGCTCTACTTGTCAATATGACCCAAAGGACCTACATCCTGGCCAGGGTAGGACAGGACCTCTCCACTACACAGTTGGAGCTGCCAGCCTTGACCTAAATAATCATCGTGCTTGGTTTTGTGAACAGGGACACCGAGGTTTTAAAGGAGAGAAAGGGGAGCCAGGGTTACCAGGGCTGGACGGACTGGATGCCCCGTGCCCATTGGTATGGCATCACCCTCCCTTGCCTGCATGGCTGATTTGGGCTTCCCCACTGTGTGGTTCCTGCCTGCGTGCCTCTCCACACTCTTCCTGTTCCGTCCCTCCAGTTTCCACTTCCTGCCTCTCCACTCTGTAGACACCAAGTGCCACCTGCCCGGCTGGTCCTCGGCCCCTGCCACGCCTCCCTCTTGCATGCAGTGTGCGCTAGGATGTTTTCTTGGCTTCCCCCTGCAGCTGCTTCAAAAACATATCACCTTAACGTGAGCCATCTCTCCTACCCTGAAGCCAGCTCTGGCTGCATCTGACCCACCTTTCAGAACTGCTTCTAAACAAATCAGCCGCCAGAAAGAAAACAAGGAAAGTGGGTTTTCTGGACGGTTTCTTAGGACTGTGACGTCCTGTCTTCTCACACTGCAGTTAGTTTGGAAGCATTGGCTGAGCGTCTGGCAAAACATTCAAATGAGGTGCCTGAGTGGGCCCACATCCCTCCTCGCTCAGCCGTCTCACAATTTGGCAGGGGACAGATGGGCATGCTCATAAACATGGGGTACACTGAGGAGTTCTAGAACCGAGGCAGAGCGGGGGGCTACCCTGACTGTTCTTCCAGACTGGGTCTGGTGTCGCTGCCCTGGTGACACCACCAGAACTAGGGAATGGTCCAAGATCAGGATTTTAGATCCTAAAGGGTTCGTCCTTTTTGCTTAAATCCCAAAAGGCACTACAGGACCATCCCTTGGTTTCCCTTTCTTTCATCTTTATATGGTTCACACCAAAAAGTCTGGAAGAGAATGGAAAGGTTGAGAATGTAGTTAAGGAAGAAAAGGGAGGACACAGGAAGGCAGAGAAGGAGGGGTGACATTTACAACCCTTCTCCCAAGCATGTCCCGGCCTGAGTGGCAGCAGTTCCGATCCCACAGGACCCAGTCCCTCTCGGGCAGGAACTTTCTAGGCCTTCGCAGCAATCTCTTCAGCTGACGGCGAGGGAAGCAGAAGATGGCACTTCATTCCAAAGCAGCAGACTCATGAGGTTCCTGCTCTCCTGAATTTCCGCAGCAGCTTTGCAGTTCAGGGACCCATTTTCATACCAGTAATAGATGAAAATTCCCGGCCCCATATCCCCACCCACGGGTCACACAGGAATTATCTTTGAACAGAAGAGAAAAAGTTATAAGAAAATATGCTGTGTGATCCTGAGACGTGACCATAGAGCCCCTCGAAGGGACTTTTGGGGACCAGGATATGCAGCAAAAGGAGAGGGCAGAATAGCATGCTTCCTACCCCCACTACTGAACCCCTCACTCGCTGCCCCGGCCCCCACGGGCCCCGCCTCTTGAACTCCGAGCATGCAGCATGCACAGGCACCTCTCTCAACCCTGGAATTTCCCAGTCCCTCCAAAGCGCCTCCATTAACCGTCGGCCAGGTCTCCTCTCTGCCACATCCCTTCCACAGTCTGAGCACCTTGAGTTCTGCCGGGTGCAGCCCTGGCCGCCGTGCTCCTCTCTCACACATGGCCATTCTCCTCTGCCTGCCCGCCTTCCTCTGTCCCCTCTGCCACCATCCATGTGCCAATGGGAATGCCGCTATGGCCCGCGGAGGCTCCTCTCCCTTCCAGAGTCCGTGTGAAGTGTCGCCCCGTGGCGGGCTGGGGAAGGGGGCGGAAGGTCTTCTTGAAGCCCTGGAAGGCACCGCCTCCCCCTGCAGCCCCTCCCCAACCCAAAGGGGACAACAAAGGTCATCTTTATTTGACCCTTAATGCAAAGTGGCATTTTTTCCAGTAACATCCCATATGGATGCGTCATTTGTCTATTAATTTTGCTGTGGAAGTGTACGTGTCTTCCCTGTCTTGTTTCTCATTGTTGCTGTTTTCCCTGTCTCCTGCACTGTGTTATTGTGGGCATGGGGGCAGCGGGAGCTATTGATCATGATTTTTAGTACAAGATAACTAGACTTCTTCGGCCCTCCGTGTCGGGCCTGCTGCCTGCTGAACCCCAGGTGAGAGCGTTAGGCGCCTGCCACGGTGGATGAAGTTGGTCCAGGGCATGGGGGCTCCCATTCAACCTCCTTGGGGCTGACCACTTGCTCCAGTCCCCTGAAACCCTATGTCCATCTCTTTCTCTGCTCTAGAGTCTGGGATTCTGGAATCTGGGCTACAATTCTAGTAGACGTAACTGGGAACCAGATCTCTGCCATGGTTCAGCCTCCCCCTCTCCACCTGTCTCTTGAAGACTCCTAGATTCCCCCTGGGTGTGCAGAGAGGCCAGGATATCAGATCAGGGCCCGACAAGACTTGGGGCATCCGAAGGCTACAGGCGCTCTGTGGGTGCCATCAGCAAAGGGGACAAATGGCACACAGTTAATTCCCATCTTGCTGCCTTTTCCCCCCAAATTCCCAGCAATGGCTGATGCTGTGCCGGGAACCCTGTCTCCTTGCTGACGGCACCTGAGGGCCATCTGCAATACGCACGAGGGTGAGGGGCCTGTCCTTTTGAGGCTCCTCCTCCTCCTTATCAATTGTCAGATAAGAACCACCTAGATTTCCTCATCCCATTGTGAAGGAAGAGAGAAAAATAAAAGAATGGGAGAACTTGGGGTGGGGGGACACCTTAGCAGACTTTTCACACTGCCACACCTCCCCCAGGTTTTACGGAGGAGGAGACTAAGGCCACCAAGTACTGAGTGACTTGCCCATGAGCACCCAGCCTCAATACGGCTAGAGCAGAGACCACTGGGTCTCTGGGCTGTCCTTCCAGGACACTCAGGTTGCCTCTGCTCGCTGACCCCACAGGCTAGGAGAGTCCCTCTTGGCCTTGCCTTGCACGGTGACTCCGTGTGATCCTGGCCGATGGGCAAAGAGGCCGACTGACTTCATGCTTGCTTCCAAGGCTCTGCCCTGGGATAAGAAAAGGAATAGTAACAGGTGGGCCACATGCTGATCAACTGCCACAATGTGTGTGGCCCTTGTCCCCGTCCTGCCTCCTTGGTGGGCCGTCCTGGAGAGTCTGAACGTCTGCCTTCCTTCCTCACTGCAGGGCGAAGACGGCTTACCCGTCCAGGGCTGCTGGAACAAGGTAAGGCTTCCCAGGGGGTTGCAAGTGCCTCGGGGGCACAGAGGTATTGGAGCTCCCTTCTCCACATGTGTGATAAAGCATGCACAATTTCCATTCCTGGCCTTTGTGCAGATGAGGCAACAAGAAATAGGTCAAAAAGGGGTGATCCCAAAGGCAGGGTGCCCATTCCACATCTCACGTACCACACACACTTGGAGAACCTTTAAAAATGCTTTTTAAGGCATCAGCAAATCTCAGTGTATGGAATTTCCATGTAGCCACACAGATGACATCTTTATGCTTTGTGTGATTAATATATACAGTACCTTTCCTCCAAAGAGTTCTAGACCATGTTTTAAAATCAGTTATCATTAGCTGTTCTCATAGGGTTCATATGAGGTCATTGAAGCCATATGATGACATTTATCCAGATGGAGGAAATCTAAGATGCTTAAACTATAAACTCGCATGGCTTCTATACCTCTTCATAGAGACTGGCTGGCTCCCCACTCTCCCCTTCCCCTTGAACTTCAGCCATCAGAGCTTCATGCTTCCACACAGGAGACCTGCAGCCCCACCTCTTCCAGGTGTCCAGAATTCCTGCCAACAATGAACGTTCATTTGTCCGCACTTGCCTTGGCATTGCCACCATTAAAGCCATCTGATGCCACTGGGCTGTGCCCTGGCACGCAATCACCCCACTCAGCCACAGGCCCCAAAGTGCAGGGCTCCCCAGCCTGACCAGGGCCCTCGGTTTGCTAGCTGCCATGCTGTCCACCCACAGCCTCCCTCCACCTTGCTTCCCCTCAAAGACTTCTCACCAGCCCTCCACCACCACGGTCTCAAGGTATTGGTTCATCCTCATAAAAGGGCTGGAGACCCCAAGCTGTCCAAGAGATCGTGCCTAGCTAATCTAGTCCTGTCCCGGGGCAGTAGAGGTACACGTACAATGAGATGAGGAGCTCCTCTGTGCTAAACACTCAGAACTCACTAGTCCACAGGATGGGGTAAAAGTGAAACCACCAAAACCCCAGGCCCTAGTGGAGTGCCTGCTCACCCGGGTCCCTAGAGCACGCCTAACCAGAGAAGGAAAAGTTCAGCCCTCAGGGAGATGCCTCCCCAAGGATCTGTGCCTCCAGCCGAGCCTCATCCTCCTGGTGAGCTCCCCTGCACCCAGTTAAGGCTCCATAGGCGCAGGTGAGAATTGTGTCAAAAAAGACCCCATGCCCTCGAAGAAAAAGATTTTCGTCTTCAAGGTTGCTACTGATGCTTAGGAGATAGAAATGGTTAAGCTTAGCAGGGGAAGAACAGCCACTGTCGAGAGCTACAATGTCTTGGAGAAGCAACTAGAGAGCCTCGTGTCAGTTGGTTCACGCCGTCAAGTTCAGTTTGGGAAGATGCAGTAATTCAGCAACTGCCAGGCCTCCCAGGGCAGCATAGAGAGCAAGTGCCCTCTAGTGGCCAGGAAGGGGAGTGACTGGAAGAGAAAGTGGCATGGACAGTCAGCGCTAGGCTCTTCCATCTCTGGGCTCATGGTTCCCCCAGGTCCCCCATCCAGAGCCCCCATCCATCTCACGACAGCATCTACCTCCTTCCCACCAAGGAGATGAGCACCCGCAGACCTCCGACGCTAACTCTGTGTTGTTTTGTGTTTGTTTTTGTCTTACAGTGATGCCTCTAACCTGGGACTGGCCTGTGTGTGTGTTTGTACATAGAATATTTATTTTTATACAGTTTTCACTTTTTGAAATTGCCAGAAGTATGATGCATCTTACAGATTATTAAAAAAGGAAAACCTGCCTATTTTGTACAGAAAATACCAACCTCTTCCCTTTTGTTTACAAGATGTTTTGTATAAGTCTACGACTCTAATACACTTTTGTTTTTGAGTACGGTCATATGTTTGCATGATATTTGTGCACACTTATTAAGTATTGAAGCTTAATAAATTATTGGGTTTCGCTGCCAAAGGGGGCCAGCCAGCACTGAGGGGCCGGCTAGCTTGTGTGTGAATTCACAGAAACGTGGAGTTCCGCGGTATTTGCCAAGCTAGGTGTGTCTAAGAATATTTTACACTCTTGTGGATTTTCATCATTAAAAAAAAGAAAGAAAGATGGCAATTCATGATCCTGATTGATCCTTAAATTAAATACATTCTTTCTCATGAAAGCAGGAAGTCCCCAAAGCAGGGGTCCTCAGAAGTAGAGAGCAAGGTTTTGAAATGTTAAGTCCACCAGAGGGACGGAGGGGACTCTGTGAAGCAACGTCTACTGTAACGTGGCCCAAGTTCACTACCGCGCCAGTCGAGCATTGAAGGTTCAGTTTTGCTGAAACCCCCCTGGGGTCCCCAGTGTTACAAAGGGCTATTTGCTACTGCTTTTGTGTTTTTGGTGGTTTTTTTGTTTTTCTTCCTTTTGAACTGCAGTCCCTAGTAACAGCTATTGCTGGTCATTCCTTTGATGTAGATTTACAAGGTCCACTCACAACTAGCAGCTGAAAATTTCGCCTCATTGCCATTCCACACCAGCAAAGAACACTCAGAAAAGACTCACAAATCTGGGCCAGATTGGTGATCTGAAGTTGTTTTTATTTTTAATAAATTGTAGAGTTCTAGTCATAGTACACTCTTTGGTAAAGGCCTCAGGAAACCTGCTTTAAAGCCTAGGTGGGCATTCCCTGTGGGGCAGCATACAGGTTTATGGTTAGATGTTTTACAACACGAATTGGTGCTTCTAAAGAGCTTGAAAACAGTGAACGGCTTGGGTAAACACCCTCCTCCTTTTATTTACATTTTAATTTTTCTTAATATATCCTTTCTCCATAGACAGTACAATGGCAAACCTAAACCCAGACCCTGTGCACACAGTCACGCACACCCTAGTCTAACGGGCTCCGCGTTCAGGAGACCCCTGCCACACGGTGTCGATGGACCACATGCCGCCCAGACCCAAGGGCACCGCACAGGCTTTCTTACTCAGAACATCCACTCAGACACTTTGGAAATCAGACAGCTTCCTCCTGAGTCTTGGCTTCCGCGCTTGGAGAGTGAAGCTGTTGAACTGGAACTGATCTCGTGGTCATCGAATGGAGCTCATCTGTCCCCTCCCCACATGGCAGGAGCGTGAGGGACCCAGGCCCGAGCCACCAGCTGGCACAAGTTGCTTTTCCTACTGAGGGAGAGTTCCAGGTTGTAGCACTTTCCGAATAATCCTGAGCCCAGGGATGCTTCTGATCCAGAGCCAGCTTCCCAGGGCCCCGTCCAGGGCCCACCTCCATCAGGCGCAGGGACACAAGCCTATGCCCATGGTACTTTCAGGGGCCACAAAAGCATCTTAATTTTCATTTCTATTAAACTCAGAAGAAAAAAATGAATATATAATCATGAATCCAGCCAGGGTCTTATTCATCCTTCTACCAGAGCAGTCATAAAATATTTCTTGCATTTTGTATGGAGGAGGAAGCCCACGAAGGTCACAGTGCAGCCCTACCCACACCCTCTGCTCCTTGAGATTGGCTCTCCCCCCACTCCGCCGACTAAGGCCGCCTCCAACGCCACCCTCTTCACCGTTTTCTTTTGCTTCCTCCCCTCCCACCCCGTCGGAGGCCCTGAGGAATCAGAGTAACCTGGTTCTTCGAGACGCACTGCCTCCTTCCCTTTCAGGCTCTCGTTCAGCAATCAGAACCCACTGATGGCCTCAAAATAGTCACATTACCTGGAAAGCTCCGGAAGCTGAGGTTCTGTGTTAGCTGAATCTCCTGGATAACTTGGGGCAAACAGAAACCTCGTTTACTTTGTTTCAGTCCTGGTGTTATTCATTGACTTACTACACCTCAGCTAATACCCTAAGGGATTCCGAGTCCCTTGCAAGAATATAGATAATAAAATAGAAATATTTGTAAAGAAAGTTTAAAAGGCAGAGTCAACGAAAAATAAGTACAGAGGAGGTGGCAGGAGAGCCCTGGGCAGACCAGGGACGGTGCTCTGCACGTTTCCCATCTCACCGAGCTTTGACCCGCACACATGCACACACTGTCCCCCCACGTAGTTGAGTGCCTCGTGTATCCTCAGCCAGGACCCGCCTCCTTCGTCACAGGGCTGCGAGCTGCACACCCCACATCCCGGGTCTCGGGGCCCCCTGGGCCTCTCCACTTGGACCTTAATTCAACTCAACTCCGTGTCAAATGTGCTGCAGGGAGATGAGAAGCAGGGAACAGATGGGCAAGAAGTTTGCAGAGTAGCTGGGACGAGAACTCCTGCTGGCAGACAGGAGAACAGGAGTAATCGGGCCTGAAGGGGAGGCATAGGCGCATGCAGGAGAGATGGCTCTGGGAAGGGCAGCGCTGCGGGGCTGGCAGCCAGAGGGAGGTTCGAGACGCTCCCTCCCCTCCTGGTGAGGACTGCCCGCCCAGGGAGCCAGCGATGCCCCAGCCCTGCCCCACAGGGCACATCATGGTCCTAGTGGTGAACGTTCTGTGTGAACTGTAGGGCACTGGGTCCTGAGGCCCATAGCCTTCTGTGCTTCACTGGTGTCCAGTGCTCCGTGTTCTGGCACAGGGGACACACTGTTGTCCAGCATTGTCTACCTGGAGACTTGCAAACACCTGGCTTGACAAAAGACTGAGCCTGTGCCCCCAAGGGTGACAGTGTAACAGGTGATCTAGGCCCTAATGATGGCTGTCACCAAGGTCAGCAACTTGTGCCTCTGTTGTCACATGGGCCAAAAGGGACCCCACTCACTAAGGAAGAGAGGGCCCCTTCCACACACAGCCCACACCCCCAGGTTAGCCTCCCCCATGCCTCCTCCCTGCCAGACCGAGGGCTGGCCATCCTTCCCCGCAGCCCTGACATCGCCTGTGAGAATGTAATGCCCCAGACGTGGGGAGGGATAGGGTTAGCCCATGAAAGGGGAAGGCACCAGCCAGCAAGTCAGGAGGCTCACCTTCCAGTCCTTTCTCCACCATTAACTATCCGGCATGGGGCAACTTACTCCAGGTCTCATTTTCCCAAAGTGTCACATGAGGAAGTTGACTTGGGTGACATCTGACACCCAGAAACCCTCTGATTCCAGTGACCGGTCAGCTCCTGGGAGGATTGGGACCCTGGAGCATTCCATGCCCCTCCCCCTGGGGTTATTTGGCTGCAGTGGTGTTATGCATGGAGTTGGCATTGCAAACTGTGTGCGGCATGTGTGTGCTTTGTAACCCTGAATAACAAGACTCCAGGGGGCCCTGGGCTGCGCGGGAGGCGGTGAGTGTGACCAGCTTCCCCAGGGAGGCCTGGCCGCAGAGGGTGCTTCTCACACTGGTGTCTACGCTGCTGAATTCCTCAGAGACTAAGCACTGCAGGTGTAAGCACTCAGCACGCAGGGGCTCCCCAAAGCCCACAAGTGTTCAAGGACCCCGTGATGCTGTGGTCAGCTCCCCGGCCTCCCCTCATCTCGGGCTCTCTGCGCCCCTCCCCGTGCACCACCCCGTACTCCACAGCCTGGCCCTGCCTGGGCCCAAACCTTGACACATTTTCAGGGGACTTGAGACATCAAGCACCTAAGACTCCACACCACTGCAACAGACGAGAAGGGCAGGCCCCTGGTGAGTGAACCAGAACAGAGGAGGAGATGCACACGGAGGTGGAGAGCAGAGGAGGAAGGCAGGAACAAGGGAGGAACCAGCCGCTCACTTCTCCAAGGGGCAGAATTTTCCAGGGTGGAGTGTCCTTGAAGCGGCCTGCTCCCCGCTGTGCTTGAGGCCTGGGGAGAAGGGCACAGGAAGGGAGCTGGATTTCATACAGTGAAGCAGAAGTCCACGCACACAGTGACCCTCTCGTTCCTGGAAAAGCCCTGCCTCCAATGAACAGCCACGCGGCTGTGGAAAGCAGACAGATGGAGCAGAGCTGAGCCCGGGACAAAGCCTCAGCACCCTGGGTGCCTCCCCAACACGCCCCCTTCTTCCCAAGGTCCCCTCACTCCACACACTTGCCCCCCATCCCCCTGCCCGTGCTGGGCCCTGGCCTGGAATGCGGTTCTTTCTCCCCTAAGTTCTACCTTCCTTTCAAGGTCCAGCTCAGACTCCATGGCCCCAGGAAGACTTTTCTGGGTTCCTCAGTTGAATGAGTCTTCCCTCCTTGGAACGACCTGGAACTCTGTGTCCTTTTCTTCCTCCACCTTTTGTTAGAGTCAGAAAATCGGTCTCCCACATTAGACAGTGAACTCTCAGAGGGAGAGGTTTTCTTACCCGTCAGGCTCCTGGGGGGGTCCCAGCTCAGTGTGTCCCTGCAGTGGTTGGGGCTTCTAAACATCTATGACCTGCTGAGTTATCAACCTACTTCATTAAGCACCTACTACGTGCAGGCAGTGGGAAGGGAGAGGAGGGGTTACGAAAGACTGTAAGACCCAGCCTGTCCTCCAGGAGCTAACAGGGACACCCAGCAGTGCCAGGACGTACGTGCGAAGTGCTAAATGAGGGTGCAGCCAGAGGATGCTGTGGCAGCTGGCATGGCGGAATGAAGAGAGGACCGAGTGGGCTGGGGAGGGATTCAAAGCAGAGAGGGAGGACTAGTCGCCACAGACAGGGGGTTCCCTTCCTTGTCTGCTTTCCCTGCTGGAATCTTCCAGTGAGCGTGATCCTGGGCCACGCTCGCTTCTCAAGTCAGGGGAGGGCAAATGGGATTGGGGTGGAAGAGAGGGGTTAGAGAGGGCAGGTCCAAACTGGGAGGGCGCAGGGCGTCTGCCAAGGTCGGCGGGTCTGTGGGATCCCCTCAGCCCAGGGGGCTCCCACGTGCCAATCACCAACGAGGCTCCTTCTCAGACATCTTCTCTATCCCTCTTCAAGGGCCAGAGTCCATGGTTAGTGGCCAAGAAGTGAAGCCAGCCCAGAGCCTTGGGGAAAGCACCTCACCCCGGAGGAGGGAGAAGATGGAGCGGCCCCTGGACAGTGGGTCGCGGGGCGAACCCTTCCCGGGGACCTGGCTTGAGGGCAGGACCAGAGGTTGA